GCTTCTAGGAGGCCCACCACTGATCCCCTCTCCTAGGGGAATGGCAAAGGAACCACTCCGGGGCAGTTGAGGAGTACCTGAACCCAACCAGCCAGGCCCCTCCTGGCCAGACCTGGTTCTGCCCTGGGGCGCTCACTGTCCACCACACTGGTCAGCCTGCATTTGCTGCCTCTCCCACCACTTCCTCGCCGGGGGCCTGGGCCAGTGCACCTTACCTATAAAAGGAGGGGACGTGCCCTGGCCAGTTGACCCACTGGTTAGAGAGTCGAGGCTTCGATTCCTGGTCAAGAGCACATACCTCCGTACCTCCTTGCGGGTTGGGGTCATGTGGGAGGCAACCAATCGATGTGTCTCTCCCTCCCTTCCTCCCTCTCTATCTAAAAAAGAAAAGAAAACCCTGGTCAGTTTGTCTCAGCAGTTAGAGCATCAGCCTGCAGTCTAGAGAGACCCGGGTTCGGTTCCTGCTAAGGGCACGTACCTCGGTTGCAGTTTGTCCCCAGCCCTGGTTGGTCGTGCGGGTGGCAGCCACTTGATGTGTCCCTTTCACGTCAATGTTTCGCTCTCTCTCTCTCTCTCTCTTCCCCTCTCTCCCTCCTACTCTATCTGAAAAAAAATGGAAAAATATCCTCAGGTGAGGATAAAAAAAAAGAAAAAGAAAAAAAATTTTAAAAGAAGAATCCACCTCTTAGGGGTCTTGCTAGGGCTGGGGTGGGGAGGACGAGGACGAGGCACAGGCTTCCACCTGTCATGGGATTGGCCACGCCTGTCAGTGGAACCCTGGCCCAGGATGGGTGCCGGGCAGTGTCACCCTGTCATCACAACCTTCCTTGCAAGGCTCCTGCATGTTCTCGGGCATCTGCTGCGTGCTCTGTCCTGTGCCCGGCCAGTTCAGGCCCTGTTATCCTAAACCTCTTACATCCTCTTAGAAGAGGGAGTAGCTATAACTGAGATCAGAAAACTCACCTTCCCTCTGGGCTGCACAAAAAAGGCCCATTTGACGGGCAGTTGCTCCCCGGACCCTTCCCGGCTGGGCCAGCTCTCGGGGAGGAGGAGCCCTCAAAGGAATGAGAAGCCTGAGGGCTGCAGCCACCCCCACACTCAAGCCCTGTCCCTCCCAGCTGACCGCGGAGGGCACCCGCCATGACCCAGGTCCCTTATCGCAGGTCATCGTCTGTCTCGGCTCCATGGCAATTGGACCACGTTCAACTTCGTGAAATTTGAAGATGTCTGTGGAGAGGGCTTCTGTCCCCAGCCCAGCACCCCCCCCCCCCGGTCAGTTTCTTGCCTTTTCCTGTAAGAACAGTTTACAGAGTTGAGGGAAATCGATCGTTAAGTGAAACTCTGGTGATTGCCTCAGAAACGTTGAGCCCTGCTCAACCCCAGCACAGTTCCCTCCAATGCCCTGACCGCGACAGGAACATCACAGGCCAGGCAAGCCACCGTCACGCATCATCATAGCAGCTTCCGCCTCCAGGGTATGATGAGGAAGAGGGGCTCAGAGAGGTTAAAGCGCACAGCCGGTCACACAGCTGGCCAGCAGTGCGGGACTCAAGCCCAGGCCTCTGCCTCGGTCAGAGCCACTTGCACCTTGATTTAGCAGATGCTCACTGGGCACCTACTATGTGCCAGGGGCCAGGTCACTGTGGACTTGACAGCTGCCGGATACAGACCACGCCACGCTCAGAGCTCAGGACAAAGCAGACAAGGCAGCGGGTTCTCTGAGAACCAGGACGGGACAGACTGCGGCTGGGCGGGGCTCAGAGTGGTTAGGAGGAGAATGAGCTCTTGGCTCACACCTCAGGGGTGCAGCGTGAGCCCGGCTAGAGGTCCGGTGAGAGTACACAGGAGGTGCAGGGCCTGGTGGCTGGAGACCCAGAGCCGCACAGGGCGTCAGTTCCAGGGGAACGGGCACTCCGGGTCGGGAATGGGAAGGGAGCCTAGCTCCCCAGACAGGCCGGAGCCTGGAGATGGGACTGAACTGTGCCCCATCTCTGCCCCTGCCCTGCTGACAGTCTTGGTAGGTTGTCTCCTCACCTCTTGGCCTCAGTTTCTTTCCCCATCCTGCCTGCCCCCGGCCATATAAGGAGGCCATGTAAGCGAACGCTCGTGGGGATGGACCTTCAGGTGGGAAGTGGGGCAGACAGGAGCCCGAGGTTCGGAGTGCCTGCCAGGGGAGGTGACCCAGTCTGACAGGCTGACTGAGATGTCGGGGAGCACATCCCGGGCAGAAAGAGTGGATAACAGAGGAAGGCCCAGAGGTGGGCAAGAGCCTTGGTGCTTAGAGCCAGTGAGAGGAACCCCAGGGGACCAGTCCCTGTGAGCAGCTTCTGGGGATTGGAATAAGGGTGCTGCCAAGATCCCACCTACCTCCGAGCGGGTCCAGTTACAATCTCCAGCTTACACGCAGGAAATTGAGGGCGGGGAAAGGCAGGATTTGAACCCAGGCCAGGGCTCGGACCCCCACCTGGGGCTCCTCAGGCAGGCCCGTGAGTGGTCCCAGCCCTCCCGCCCTCTGATCTTCATGCGTGACCGGACACAGGCAGCCACAGCCGCCCACTCCGTCGCCATCCAGATACCCAGCCCTTCCTCCCGCACCACCAGGCCTGTGTGTTTAGCAGTTTCCACACGTTCAGCGCCTGGGGATGGACTGATTGATCTGTAACACCGAAAAAATAATAATGGCTTGATCGTTACTGAGGATTAAAAGTAATCCTTTCGCTGTGGCTATTGCGACTCTGTTATTCACGAGTCAGCAGGCTGACCCGGGCCTTCGAGCCTGCGGGCTCCATGAATTCAGGGAGGCTGGGTGCCGGGCCTCTCCCTGGGCTCCCTTCCCGCGGCTGCAGCCCCATGTCCTGGGCCTGTGAGTCCTCGGGTCAGAGTTGAGCCCTGAGAGGGTACGGAAAGAGGGGTGCAGCAATTGCTCAAGGCTCCCCCCTCGAGGTGCAGCCCCAGAGGCTGCTGCATAGGCTTCACCCCCCTCTCATCCAGGCCAGGTGCTGAGCCGGTGTAATAGGTGCTCAGTTAACAGTAATGACTAGTGTTAAGCATACGTGTCACACAGTAATGTCCTCTGCAGGCTTGTGAATGAGGGGCCTCACCTATCCTGGGGTTCGTGGTTTAGGCGGAAAGGAGCAGGAGTTGGGTGCAAGTGGGCGCCCGGGGCCTCAAGAAAGCTTTGCCTTTTTTCCCCCATTGATTCAAGAGAGGGAGAGAAACATCCATCGGTTGCCTCCTGTACATGCCCCGACTGGGCATTGAACCCTAACCTGGGCATGTGCCCTGACCAGGAATCGAACTGGTGACCTTTCTGTGCATGGAACAACTCTCCAACCAACTGAGCCACAGCGGCCGGAGCAGAAGCTTTGCCTTTTACATGCAGAGCCATTGGGAGTTGCCGAGGATTTAGGGGGGGCACAGCCATAGGCTCAGATCCCGTTTAAAGGCTCCAGGGGCCATGAGGAGAATAAATGACAAAGGGCCTGAGGTAGGACAGAGCCTGGGCTGGGCACATGGGTAGGTGGTTGGAGTGATATCAAGGGTAAGATGTAGGGGGCAGCAGCTCCAAGGTGGGCTCGTTCCAAGGGGGCATAGTGTGAGCTCCGATGGGCCTGAGCATCACCCCAGGAGGATGTCAGGAACTCAGGAGGGGCCAGAATTGAAGGCAAGACATGGAAGGTATCTGGGAGCAGAGGCCTATGGTTTCTGGAGCTGGGTGGGGGTGGGGCCACGCAAGCAGGCACTGTAGTCATGGTAGCCGCGGACGGAACTGAGCCAGGTGGGTGAGCAGGAGAGGGAAGCAGAGGCAGGAGGGGCTCAGCATTGTGGTGAAGGGGTTTGTCTTCAGGAGGGACTTTTCCATCTGCCCCCAGGATCCCCAGCCTCATAGCCCTCCCAGCATTCAGTGCTCTTGGCTCGAGGAGGCGGGGAGCCAGGCACAGCAGGAGTGGGGATGGCCCTGGACAGCCCAGAGAGGAGGCTGCGCCTCTGCAAGGGTTCCCACCATGCCCCCCACTGTTCCATGCTGGGAAGGGGGAAAGGCTGCTCACCCGTGTGCTGACTCCCATTTCTCCCACTGGGCAGCTGCCAGGCTTTATCAGAATCTCCCCTCTAGGGTGCACTGAGGAGGGCGTGTGTCCTGAACACCAGGAGGCCAGGAGGCAGGATGTTACTGTCCACACCTGGGATGGAGTGGGGTCAGGGTGGGGGACCAGAGCCCCTCTTCCCGCCAGCTACTCCATCCCTCACTGGGCATCGTGGGCCCTGTGGAGTGTGCCTTCTGACCTTGGTCATGGGCTGGGCAAGGCAGACGCAGTGGTGAGAGCCAGGCTTAGGGCTCTGCAGCAGCCCAGACTCACTCTGACCGTGGCCAGGCTGCTCACCATCTTCCTACCTGCGCAGCCCCCTCTGAGGGGGACATGTCAGGCACGCTGTGAACAGTGACAGGCACATGTGATAGGTTGCTGGCCTGGGGGAGGGCTTGGCATACAGGTGGTGACCGGTTCGTGGTGACAGTTGTCATTAACAGGACTTCATTTAGCTTTTCAGGAGTCCTAAGTCTTCCTAGAGGGACAGGATCCATGGGAGTGCAAATTAAGAACCTCAAGGTCTGGGCACCTCCTCCCTGACATCCCAGGTTCCCACAGTGCCGAGCGTCTCAGCTACTCCTGCCCTGGTTGCTCGGCCAGTTACGTTTCTGTGTCCTCCTCTGGGCGGAGAGGGCGGGGCTGGCATTGCTCTATCCCCACACATCCGCATGGTGTGGTGCCAGGCGTGCTGGGTAACAAGGTGTGAGATGGGCCAGACTGGGCGGACCGAAGGCTTGGCGAGCCTGCTGGAAGGGGCTCAGGAAGCCAGAACGGGGAGGGTGGTGGTGGGCCTGAGTGGGCAGAGGTGAGCGATGGCAAAGGCGCATGGGTGAGGCACTGTCTCTTGAGGCATTTCGCCCGTGGCCGGGACGGCCTTCCTCAGCCTCTGACCTCTCTGCGCTCTGTTCCCAGAGGTTGGCCGACGCTGCCGAGAACTTCCAGAAAGCCCACCGCTGGCAGGACAACATCAAGGTAAGAACTCTGTGCCCCCCCAGCCCTAGCACCTGCCCACCCCCATCAAGGGTGGACGTGAATGGGGAGGCTGGCCAGGCCCACTGGGTGTGCACTGTGGGCTATGTCGAGTGGCGTGGGGACGCCTTGGCATTGGGACTCGGGTGCAGATGGGAACCTGTCGCTCGCTCCTGAGGAGGTCAGGGGATTCTCCCAAAGTGGGCGTCGCCTTGGTGGTTAAGGAGGTGCCCAGACCCCTTGGAGAGCCCCTGGGGCAAAGAAGCCTCTTGACTTCAGGACGTCAGAAGTTGAACACAGTGACCCGCGGGCCCAGCTGAGGGGCACTGGGGGAGGGACCCTAACCCCTCCCAGGACAGCCCTGCGCAGCAGCCCGCCTTGCAGGAGGCCTCAGGCTGGGGTCCACGGGCTGTCACCGCCACAGAAGCCTCTCCTCCCACTGGTGGACTCGGGCACTGAGGGGTGGCGGTGTGAGACGGTGATAGTAGGACTGTTATGGGGGCAGAGGGCCCAGGTGGTGGGGAGGGAAGGGCAGCCTCTGCCCCAGCCTCAAAGCCAGGTGGCCTCATAAATGCAGGCAGCTGTGTTTGACGGGGGCGGGCTGGGTACACATGCCCACTTGTCAAGCCAGACTCTCAGAGGGTCCCAGGAAGACAGGGGCTGAGGCAGAGGTCCTCCCAGACGCAGGGACCCTAATGCCAAGGATGAGGGAGCCCTCAGGGGCCGGCCAGTTGGCAGGGCTCGCTGCGTCCCTCCACAGCTGCCCAGGCACCTGGGCCACGCCTCCTGCTGGTCTGTGCTAAACCCTGGGAGAGGCACCAAGAGCTGCCCCCTTGGACCCATGAGGAGGCTGGGGATGGGGCAGGACCTCACCTCACTCCAGCGCCGGGCCGGGCCCATCTAGGGGACAGGTGGCATAGTCTTCACTGAGTGGTTTGACCTGCCTGAGGTTACCTGTTGGTGGCAGAGACTCTTGGCTGGGGTGTCAGGTGCCAGGGGGTTTATGCCAATGACCCAGGCCCCCTAAACCTGTGCCTCCTCATCCCCATCCCCCCGGCCACCCCGAGCCCTGCGCCACTATGTCCACACCATGGCTTTCCTCCTTTGCTGTTTGGTGGGTTCTGGGTGCTACCCTCCGGGAGTTCGTGCGCGGTGGGGGTAATGGGTGATTTTTCACAGTGAGCATATACATGAGCTAATGACTCCCTGGACCAGCCCCCCACCCCACCAGAGGCTCCAGACTGCCCCCCATTCCAGCGCCAACACCCATCACTGGACCCCTGCACCTCCTCCACCCCGTGATTAGAAACATACATGGCAGCAACCACTTGCACTCATTCTCCATACGGAACCCCGCCCCTGCAGATAACAAGGCCCCGGGGCCTGGCTGTCCCTGGCTTTGTCAGCCTCACCCTCCACTGTCCCCTGTGCTCCCGCCACAGGAACACCACTGCAGGCCCTTTCCTGGTCTCCACCTGAGTGCCCTCTTCCCCCTGCAGGCCCAGCTCCTCGTCCCTTCCCAGGGATGCTGCTCCCGCCCCAGCCCATCAGCCCCTCCTCCCGGCACTGCGCACCCCGCTCCTGCTCCAGCCCATCCTTTGTGCCTGACACATCTGCTTCCTCTCATCCCTGCCCAAGACAGGTGTGTAGAGTCGAGGAATCAGGGAACAGGAAACGAAGAGGCTTGGTTTCCTCTCTCTCCCAGTCCAGGCCCCAAACCTGGTTTCTCTTCCCGACTCTGCAGAAAACCCAAGATTTCCAACAGCCATCCCGCCAGACCCCTGACCCCTGATTTTCAGGTCCTCCCTGGGGCAGGGACAGCTTATCCCAGGCCAGAGTGGACACCAAGGGGGCCTTTGAGGAAGGAAGGCCAAGGTGTCTGGGGCACCCAGTGGGTGCTGAGAGAAGTGCTGCTTGCGAACCACTCCCTGCAACCGGGTCACAGTCCCCGTGCACACCAGCAAGGGCGGGCCCCACTCTGGGCTTCAGGGTCCCCCTTTGACAAAGGACTGGCTGGTGTTGCTGCTGCCAGTCAGCTCAGCTGTGGGGTATGAAAGGGTCGGTCCACTTGTCAAGCCATCATATAGACGCCAGGTCAGGGACGGTGTGGGTGTCCTCTGGCCACACCAGCCCATGGGCCCTGGGGGCTCCTGTCCTGAGATGAGGCGCGAATGGGTTCTGGCTGGTTCCCTGCCCCCAGCATGGCCTGAGACGCCCCCTCCCCAAGCTGTGGGTGTGACAACAGGGCCAGCTGGGCCCAGCCTTGTTTCCTCAATGCTCACGGTGCCCCACCCCCGTCCATCAGTTTTCCTGTCTGTCTGTCTGTCCCAGGGGTCTCTTGGGCAGGGTGGAGCTGTGGTCGCTCCCTCCTCCGCTGCAGGGTCAGGGCCCTGCTCTCCCCAGCTACCAGGATGAAAGGCATTGCTCAGTGCTAATGGTGGGCCACTGGGGAGAACCGACCGCCGCTGCAGATGGAGACTGACCAGGCCAAGGGGATACAGGGACTTGAGGCTGGGGGAGGGATGGTGTTTTTGTCCCTTGCAGGCAGGCACACCGCCCACCCTTGAAGCCATGTCCTTCCCAGTGACCTTCAGGAGGCAACAGATAAGAAGCCATGTTCCTCCCCAGCACCCAGGACGGGTACCTGGCCTGTGCCACAACCCCAGTGTCCAACTCAGGCCCTTTACGAAAGCCTGCCCATGTGCCTAGCTGGGTGCCTTGTGGATAGCATGACCAGGAGCAGCTGGAAGTGGGGAGGATGACACCCGATAGTTCTGGGCACAGAGGAGATGCCTGATCCATGGGGCCAGCCTGGAATCCACTTCATGGTCGGTAGGGTGTGGCCCTCCTGCATCAACAGCACACAGTAGGTCTGCATGTAGACTTCTGTACCCATATTCACACACTAACACCCTATCAACCCCAGCCTGGGGACTCGGGGGGTCCTAGAGCCTGCAGGGTCAGAGCTAGGAGAAGAGAGGGAGGGGGAGATGTCTGAACATGAAGCCCCCCGCTCCCCTTCCTAGTCCCAGGTCATGACGTCACACCACTGGCCACAGCAGGAGCAGGGAACCTGTAATCACAGCCCTTGGACACCAGAGAAACCATGGCCCTTGTTAGCAGGCACCTCCCATGGCCCCTGCAGACAAGCAGCAGGTGCTCTGGTGCCCATAACACTTAGGGTAGAGAAGATGACCCACCTGGCGGGCACTGTACCTGGCACCAGCACCTCACTGTGCCATCATTATCTGCCATCTAAACCGCCAATGGAAGGAACTGGGCTGGGGCACGGGTGGGGGAGGCGGGGGAGGCCATTGGCTCCAGGATCTCAGTGCCAACACCAGGACCTGTAGGAGCAAAGCCCTGCCCTGAGTCTAATGGAGGAAGCAGTCCGACCCAGGGCGTCGGATGGGGGAGACACAGCCCTACCTCGGAGAGTCCGACGAGAGAGGTAGTTCTGCCTGTCATGGGGTCGGCTAGAGGAGAGGCCGGACAGGACAGGTGGCCTCCCTGTTCTGAGGTCTGCCCCAGCCCTTAGGCTGGCCGCCTGCCTCTCTGCCAAGCCAGCGACAGACGGCTCTCTCAGAAAACAGTCCTCTTGGCCGAGTCGAGCTGGCAGTGAGCCAGGACAGGAAGACTAAGCATCCTCACTGGCAGCGCCGGGTAGCTGGCCGGGCCCTGCACAGAGGCCTGGTGGGCAGGCGGTAGTCAGGTCCGGCCAGGCCACGGCCTCCCGCCTTCCACGGCTCCAAACCGCTGTCCCCAGGCCCACCCCATGCTCACATCCTCATTCTCTTCCCCACCTGCCAGCACCCCTCGTGTCTGGGCTAAGCTCCATCTAAGGAGAGTATACGTGTCCTGTACCAGGGCCACGTGTGCCCCGTAGCCCCACCTTTCACGTGTCACCTGTGTATAGAAATCCACATGGCCGGGGGCATGTGAGTTCAGAAGGGGCAACTCCTCCACTCCTGCCCAGGTAATGAGGGGGCTGGGAGGATGAGCAGTGTGGACCCCAGACCTTAAGGATGCCTCTTTCACCCCAACCAGAGGGTTTCGCACAGCCAGGCCCCTCCCATGGCTGTGGCTTTACAAACATAAGGGGCCCCAACTTGGGTAGGGTAGGCCTTTCCCCTGGGGAGGCCCAGCCCCTGTCCCCTAAGCAGCCTCAGAGGATTGGCATCACCCCAATTTTATCAGTGGGAACCCTGAGCCTGAGGTAAGGCCTCCTGAGGCTGCAGGATTTAACAGGCACCCCTGCCCCGTCAGTGAGATGGGGTGACACCTGGGCGTCCCATGGGGTCCGCACTCACGGCTTGGGATCCCAGACTCACGTGTTCAGATCAAGCTCAAGGCCATGACCCTTTGCCAAGGCCCTTGTGTGTCATCACTAGGTGGTGCTGCCTCCTCGTCTGACCCAGAGGTGGGCACTAATGTGGACACTGAGCACCGTACAGGCCAAAGCAGATACAGGCCTTTCCAGGGACCCTCCCCCCGTGACCCCGATGGCCCCGCCCTGCCACACCTCCAGCTCCACATCACATCAAGCATAGCAGCCACCGCTGTATTTTCACACGTGTGACCTTGCCTGTCACGGGCTGGCCCTCCACCGTGGGAGAAGTGGGGAGGTGTCCTGCCTACATGCACCCCATGGGGACAAGGGTGGCATACAGACTCCTGAGCCTCACCTGTGGTCTGCAGGAGGCTGGAATCCTCCTGCGTGACACAGTCCCCGTGTCCCTGATGCACAACATCTGATCCTCTGCTGAAACCATGAATCAAGACAAAGAAAAAGGGAGCCCAGGGATCCTGGAGGCCTGCGGGGGACCCACCCAGCCGTGCCCTTTCCTGTCCTTGCAGAAGGTTGGCCTGAAAAGGTGGCGGGTGGAGCCCGTGCTGATCTGCAGTCCTCCCGCCAAGCAGCCCGTTTTCACTGCTGGGGGACGCGCCAGAGCCGTGTTTATAACCCTTTTAGATAACAAATCACATTTTCTTTTCGCCAGCGAGTGTGTTGAATTGATATTTTTTCCCCTTGGTTTAATGGGTTTGTGTGTTCAGGAATGATCTTCATCAACCGAAACTCCTTATTGTGTTTGATGTAATGTCAGCTTTCATTATGCACTTCAGTGGGAGCCAAGCGGGAAGGGCTGGGATCCGGGGCTCTGGCCCAGCCCAGGCCCACCTGGGTCCCGGCTTCCTGAACTGGTGGTGGATCCCGGAGGTGGTTTGAACCAGAGTTCGGAACCTCTGCCATGTGTCCCCACCTGTCAGGCCGGGTCACGGGGCTGTTGGGAGAACCTGTGGCTCGAAGTGTGGGAAGCGTGAGACACAGCAGACCCCTGAGACGACCGAAACCAGCAGTGAGCCGGGCTTACCCGCATCGGAAGGTTGTGGGCCTGCCCAGGGTGTACCAAGCAGGTAGTCGGTGTTCCAGAATGCTGGCACTGTGCCTGCAGGTTCAGCCCGTCACCTGCACTCCCCAGACCACTAGTGGGAAACACCTCACCACTGTTCCCACAACAAGCCCCCTTGACCACCTCACACCATGGCCTCAGACCCAGCACATGGGCAGCCACCAAGGCCAAGCCCCTCCCTGAAGCATGAGGAGCCTGAGCTCAGAGAGGGAACAGTGCAGCCCTGCAGTCACACAGCAGATGGGGCCCAGCCAGGCCCAGGTGAGGGGAGGCCACCGTGGAGTGAGTGCTGGCTCTGTGCCAGACCCTTGAGCGTCCACTTGCTCACCACAAAGATCACAAAGAAACAGGGACTGCCAGGGCCATGCTGCAGGTTTTACTGTACAAAATAGGGCTGAGGAGCACCTGGGACGGTGACTCGGACAGTGGCCCTATCCCATGTCCTGGCCCTGGGGCCCATTGGGGCAGGGGTAGGGTGGCCTCTCCTGAGCCGGTGGCACTTCATGGCCCCAGAATCACCTTCTGGCAGCCTTTCTCAGCCACGCTCAGTTCTGATTAAAGATCATTAAACATGAAATTAGCCCGTTTGTGTTCCGGGTCTCCTGGGTGGCCAGTGATTATGACGTGCAGATGGCCAAGAACCCAGGCCGCGGGCGGGGCGGCTGGGTGGGGCCGGCGCGGCCAGCGGCGGGCGCTGGGCCAGGCTTTGTTTTCTCCCTGCCTGTTGTGTAAACCTCCTTGCATTTCACAACAAATCACAGATAATTAATAAGTACATGCCCGTAATGAGCAAGCTTTTTAATAGAAGAAATTGGAAGATGCAGTGTGGAGTCATTATTTCACTTCACCCCCGGACGGCTCTATTTTTTCATCGTCCTCACTCCTGGTGCCTCAGCCAGAGTCTGCAGCCGGGCTGGCTCTGACCGGCTCCCAGCAGGGCAGAGAGCCTGCGCCTGGAGTCGGCAGGGCCCTGAGGACCGGGCCCAGTCTCCTGGGGGAGGGGCCTTCCCAGCCTGACTCATCGCACCTCCCTGGATGGAGGAATCTAAGGGGGTCGTTCTAGGCCTTGGGGCTGGGGGTTCTGGCTGCACCTCAGGAGCCCTGAGCCATGACTGTTGAGGCCTCTCTCCCCAACCAGGAAGAAGACATCGTGTACTATGATGCCAAGGCTGACGCTGAGCTGGTAAGTGCCCACACCTATGGTGGAGGGAGGGAGAGAGCCACACGCCCTCCCTGGGCCGTGGCCTCAGCTGGAAAATGAGGGTTGGGACTCGGCACTCTTTGGTATCCTGAACTTGAGCCTGCAGGGTTGTGGTGGCACAGATTCCCACCCTACACCTTCCACAAACTGACCCCTGGAGGCCAGGCCCCTCCAGGGCTGTGTCTCTGGCACTAAGGGGCTCAGCTTTACACACAGTGTGCAGCCGGCTGGGACCTAGCACGTGGGGTCCTCTCATGGGTCAGAACTGAGGGATGCTGAGTGCTACGAGAGCAGTTGGGGAGGGCTTCCTGGAGGTGGCAGGCAGGGCTGAGAAACAGGATGCAGTGCCGTCCAGGTGTGTTTCAGGTCCATGCAGGCACCCTTCCCTGTGGTGAGGGGAACAGCTCAGTGTGCTGAGCCCCCACAGCCCGGCCCATGATCAGTGCTTGGCCTGAGCTCAGTCCGATCCTCCCCAGCTGTGGAAGCAGCCCAGGTCCTGTGCCTGCTCTTCAGATGACGGACACCATCTGGGAGGGCGGGGCCTACAGGGAGACAGGAGTGTTGAGGGGCGGAGCACGTAGAGTAGACAGCGTTTGGTCAGCATATCAAGGCCCAAGTCCATCTGCCTGCCTTTGAGGCAAACATAGTTGAACCCAACTGTCTCCTCTGAAAATAGGTGTCACAACAGCTGTTTCTGGGGTCCATCCACCTGTGCTGGCTAGTGCAGGAGACCCAAAATCCAGACTTTCTCTCCTAAGCCTATTGGCCTGAGGGGTGTCTTTCCGGGAGCAGGAGGTGTCCAATGACACCAGGAGGTGGGCAGGCAGGAAGGGATCCCTGCAGAGGGCTCGTGGTGCCAGGCTGGCCTGGAGGAGCCTTTAGGAGGACAGGCAGGCAGGGGCCCCGAGAAGGAGGGGTGGGTGGGCTCAAGCAGGTGTGCTTTCCCCCTTGGCTGAGCCTCTGTGGCTCCCAGAGAAGTTGCTAAAATTAAAGCTGGAATCTGAAATTCAAATGAAGAGCGAACCTTTAATTAGACCCTGAATCTAACTCCTTACCCCCCTCGGCAGCGGGCTGTAATTTTAGCAATCAGTGCATTAGATGTACACCAGGAGACTCGTTGCCCACCATACCCCTGGATGGGGGGGTGGCACAGCGCTTCTTGGCCAGGGTGGAGCCCTACCCCCTGCCAGGACACCCTGAGCTCCCTGCTTCGAGCAACCCCATTGTATTCAGGACCCCTACCCCTGGCTCTAAGTCACTGAGTCTGCCCCTAGCCCTTCGGACAAGTGCTGCAGGCGGGGGGTGAGGCGGCCCAAGGAGGGAGCTCTGCCCCAGGCAGGATTGGGCAGAGGTCAGGTAGCCCAGAAGCCCAGCCCAGCTTGGACCTGGTATAAGTCCTGCACGTACACAGGCTCCCCTGCTTGTTGTGTTGTTTTGTTTTTTCCATCTTTGCCAGGGGTACAGTTAGAGATCTTTCTAGACCATTTACTTTTAAATTACCAGCCAGAAGGTGGGGGTGGGGGAAAGAGAAGGAAGGAAAAAGTTCGCCAGCTGATAGCTTATCAGAACGGAATCCAAATGTCACATTAGTTGGGAAAGTTGGGAGATTAAATTTTCCAGCGCCCTTCATCTGCCGCTGACATTTCGGGGGCTTTCTTCTCCCGAGCGCCCCCCCCCCGCCCCCCCGCAGGCAGAACGTGAGTGGCTCACGCCTCAGAGGCGGCTGCTCCCCCTCTGGCCTCCGCTAGGCAGATGCCGGCCGACTTCCTCCAGCATCCAGGAGCTTCTGAGGGTCCTCCCGGGTGTGCAGAGGTGGTGGAGAGGTGGCACGCTGGGAGGGCAGCACATGGCTTGGGTTGTGCAGTACAAAACCGAACCTTAAAGAGATGAAAAGGGGGTTTGCTGCAGGCCCTTCAGAGCTGCTGCACCCCCTCCAGGAGTGCTCCGGGTTGGGGAGCACAATCGCCCTCTCCCCAGACAAGACAGCCTGATCACACACAGAGGCAGGAGCCGAGGTGTGCCCAGGACCCCGGCAGCCGTGGGTCTGCTGTCACTGCACAGTCCACAGCGCAGAGGAAATGAGCTGAGCCTCGTGCCCAGGGTGGTCTCAGGGGTCTGGTGGAGCAGTAGGGAGCATGTGGGTAGTTCAGCTGCTTACTAGCTTCCTCCCAGGGCATAAAGCCCACCCCAATCCTGCCGCTGCCCGTGCCCGCCTTTTCCCTGTCTCCCCTTTGCTCCACCACCATCTTCCCTTCCCCCCTCCCCGCACACCTGCACCATGCCTGCCCACCCCCCTCAGCTGCGGCAGCACTGTCACTGCAGACCCGCTCCTGCCAGCCTTGGTGGTGGGCGGGGGTGCACGGCGCATGCCCAGCCTGCCCGTCCAGAGATGCAGTAATTGGCACCTGTCAGATGGCTGCAGCTCATTTTAGAAAGTCAACAGGGCCTTGACAGTCGTGCTGGCAGGCGCCGCAGACCCTCCCTCCAGAGGTTACTGGGTCTCAATGCTAGCCTCTACCCAGCCCTGCTCTCCCCAAGACTCCCCAAGCTCAGCCTGGGAGTCACCCTGCTGCAGGGGGTGGTGCCCCTCCCTCGGGTGGGGCCAGGGCCCCTTCCCTGCTGCCAAAGGAACTCCATGTAAGGATGGGCAGGGCCCATGGGGGTGTGGGTCCCAGAGCTTCTGGGAAGGACTGCCAAGTCCTCCTCCAGGGATGACACACGTCCTGGGGCAGAGGTCTGCAGCCGGAACCTCATTGACTTCAGGACTTGCCTCCTTCGCTGATAATTGGCTTTCAAGGATGTGGGGAAGGGGTCGGTTTGGTTTGGGTTTTGGAATCTGGGTTTAGCAAATGTGGGGATGGTGTGGGGGGGCGTGAACAGGGACAGGTGGAAAGCACAGACCTCCCTAGTGAGGGGACCGTACCCCGTGTCTCTCCATCTCTCTATCTGCAATCGTCTAATTCTGAGATGCCCCCACCACCTAGACTCTGGCCCTCCCCTGCCTGCCAGCCTCTCTGACCCCACTTCCCATTGCCAGCCCTGACCCTGCCATGGTGGGGGGGGGGTCCCTTTCTGCAGGATGACCCCGAGAGTGAGGATATGGAAAGGGGGTCCAAGATCAGCACCCTGAAGCTGGACTTCGTGGAGGACTCAAACTTCAAGAACAAGGTCAACTATTCGTACACGGCAGTGCAGATCCCCACGGATATCTACAAAGGCTGTGAGTGTAGCGGGATTGGGAACAGCAGTCCCCACGCCATGGGGCCAAGACCCACTGCCCGCCAGGTCCCAGGTGCCTGGCCAGTGCCACCCGCCCTTAGCCCCTCCATCCAAGGTCACACGAGCTCAGCTCTCAGACACCCACACACAGGCAGCAAACAGCTCTCAGGCACAGCCGGCCTCCCAGTAGCTACAAAACATCGAGCCTCTCGCCCTGTGCATGGTCTCCTGTGTGTGCACATGTGAAGCGGGCACACAACTGCTCCTTCATACGCTGGGCCAGGTCCCCACCCGCCCTCGAAGCAGCTCCTCCCTCATTCCCTGGCTCCATAGGAATGATGGGAGAGCAACCGCATCAGATGGACATTGTGCCTGGGGGTCAGGGAGCAACTCCTCGCACATCCAACCCTGTGACACTTCACTCCTCCTTGGCATGGGCGGAAGGAAGAGGGGAGGGAGACTGGGTAGAGGGTGGCTGAGATTCCAAGCTCCAGGTGGGGCAGTATTGCACAATGAGGAAACTGGGCACTACAGCTAGAAGGATTTTAGTCAGACACGAGGAGGAACTTACTGAAGGTCTTGGGAGGTGTAGGGGGAGGAGGCCAAGAGTGGAACACTAGATGGGGAGCTCTAGCAGCAGGATTTAAGGCTCCTGGGTCCGACATAATTCTGTGTTCACCTACAGGGTAGCCTCAGAATTCAAGGTGCCAACTGGGTGGAGGGTCTTGGGACAAAGGTAGTCCCTGGAATGCAGGGAATCCTCCGGGGTCCTCAGGGAGGCCCCTTCTACCCTTAGGGTCAGCCAGGCCTTCTGGGCAGCTGAGGCGGGGGAGGGGATGCTGCCCCGCCCTCCCACAGGCCCCCCGCCGAGCCAGTGGAGGAACGCTATCACAGGCAGCACCCTAATTAAAACCGGAGCTGTGCCGCCCTCCCCAGTCACCCCTCGCTACCCACACAAATTACATTTTATATGTTTTTTATTTACTGTGTCACTTTTAATTAAATCTGTAATCGCCTGCCTGAGGGGGCATGGTCCCCGTTTCCAACTCAGCATGATCTGAGAGTGTGCACGTGGGTGCGGGTGTGCACGTGGGGGGCCGGGGAGTAGGCTCCTTCCAGGCGGGGGGCTGGCAGTGAGAGTGTGTGTGTGTGTAGTTGTGGACACCTGCAGGGATAGCCCGGGGGTCGTGTCTTGGCTCTTGACCTGAGTCAGGTCCAGCCCTCTGCCAGCAGCTAGATGACCTTCCCGGGCAACCTGCTCTAAGCCTCTCATTGTGTGGATGGGGAAACTGAGGCCCCGTGATGAGGGGGACGTACCAGGTCAGCTCTCCCAGGACAGCCAGGACTGTGTGAAGCATTTGAGAGCCTGACTTTATTTTTTCCTTAAAGAGAAAAATAGAAATTGTTCAACTCACTAAGTTTCTAAATTAGGAACAAGACCATAACATACTGCTCAATAGGCACAGCCAATGCTAGAAATGTGTTTTGTTTTCACATTACGGTCAGTTAAGGGGAGCTGCAGGGCCAGAGAGGGGAGCGAGCGCAGAGGGGGGACCGGGCAGCAGACAAGACACAGCAGAGGCCCTGCCGGGTGGGGCACAGCGGAGGGAAGGTGCCAGGAGCGTGTGGGTGCCGGGCTGTGGGCAGAGCCAGCGGCCTGTGTGCCTTGAGCTCAGGGCTCTGCACCTGCCCTGAGGGTCCAGGCCTGGAGGCTGTGCTCTGGGCAGGCCTCGGCTTTCCATTTGCAGTGGATCTTTGATAGGGACGTGGGCTGGGGGGGCTCACAGTCTCAGGGCTCCACCTGGGAAGAAAGGAGGTAGAAGAAATAGCCCCGGGGGCAAGGTGAGTACAGGTACCTGGCAGTAGCAGGTGCCCAATTCCTGCCGGGGCTTCTTTGAGTCCCACGTGCAGAGGCAGGTACACTGCACGTGTGCAAACACGTACCACACATATATTGGCAGGTTCAGGGCTGTCCTGAGTTGGGGGGCAAGGGCACTGCTCTGGCCATCCGAGTCCCTGCGGGGCGGAGGGGTCAGCAGCTGGAGTCCATTCACCTCAGAGGAGCCTGGCTCTGAGTGTGTACGGGAGTGGGGTACCCGGCCGTGGGGGGCTGTGAGAACAGGATCCATTGGTGTCCGGTAGGTGCGGAGTGGTGTGCAGGTCCGAGCCTGAGTCCCGCTGCCCATGGCAGCACTTGGGCGGCTGGGCAGGGCGGCTCGGGGCCAGGAGCTCGCTCACCTAGCTGGAGTCGCAGTTTAGATCCAGGCATACGTGTGGGGAGTGCAGGCTGTGTGAGCGTGCGTGTGCGTGCCTGTCTGGGTCGGAGCAGGATCCTGCACAGAATCGGCCCCTCCAAGAACCCCCGCCCCGCCTGCTTCTGGCCCCAGTTGATTAATCATGGAGCTGAGTGGCTTCCAGCTTATCAGGTACCTTAATAGCTGAATAATTCCAGCCCCATCATCGAGCCCTTAATTGCTTTCTTGTGGCTGCAGCCCGGAGTGCATGCTGAGTGGGTGAGCTCCCGGGGGACCAGCTGCCAGCTCCAGGCAGCACACTGGATCGGCATCCCAACTTAAAACTCCCTGCACCTGGGTGGCCCCCTCCAGGGCCACAGGTCACAGCTGCCCTTCCCGGTCATGTAGGGCCTGGCGGAGGGGTAGGCCGAGCTGTTCCTTCGCTGACTGGGGAGGGCGTGAGGACAGTCCTCCTGGAGGAGCTGGTGCAGTCCTGGCTGAGCCCTGGGGATGAGGGGGAGCCAGGATAGACAGAGAGCGGGTGCGGCTTTCTAAGAGGGGGCATGTGCATGGTGTCGTGAAGCTCAGCAGTGGACAGCCAGGTGCGCCCCACCCCAGCCCCTGCCTCCCCACAGCCACTGTCATCCTCAATGAGCTCAACTGGACGGAGGCCCTGGAGAATGTGTTCACCGAGAACCGCAGGCAGGACCCCACGCTGCTGTGGCAGGTCTTCGGCAGTGCCACGGGAGTCACTCGCTACTACCCAGGTGGGTGCCAGCCCGCCCCTGGGGCGTGTGGGATGGTCAGCCCGTAGGCTGCAGAGGGGCCTGGCCACTTCCACAGCTCCTGCCTGCATGGGGCCGTGCCCTCACCTGCCAGACCTCTCTCCTTCCCCACAGCCACCCCATGGCGAGCCCCCAAGAAAATTGACCTGTACGACGTCCGAAGGAGACCCTGGTGAGCGAGCAAAGAGGGGCCGGGCAGGGACACCCCCTCAGTTCCCACCTCTCCCGCCTGCTCCCCTCCCTCCTGATATCCAGGCCTCCGAGCAGGGCGCAGCCAGCTCTATCCAATTTTCATTTCACACATCGTTGCCACTGGAAAATGGATCCCATCACCCAGGCAGGCCTCCCAGCTGCCTCTGCCCCTGTCCACTGCCTGGCAGTCCACCCCCTCGGGACTGAGGGATGGGACCAGTGGAAGTTCCCAAGGGTGGCTGTATCTATCCTCTGGGGGGTTAGCCAGCCCCCACCCCACCCAGCCGAACCCTCCCCTCCCCTCCACTCTGCCTCTCCTGCAGCAGCCCATGACCTTCCCCCTCCCTGCCACCTGTTCAAGCCTATACACAGCCAGGACTTTGTCCTTGGGACCTCAACCTGGGCTAGGGACCACGACAGGCCACTGAGACCAGGGACCACGCCTCCAGCCCTCTCTCTGGATTACCTGATCACGCCTCCTTAGGGTCATTCATGTGCTGGGGGACCGGGTCACTCATGTCATGGGCAAGGACTTTCATTAAATTCACTATCCTCACTGCCTAGAACCCTGTGTGGCCCGTGTAGGGGATGCTCAGTGGAAATACGTTGAATCAGTATGTGGGTGGAAGGAAGGACCCACAAGGTCTCAGTGGGGCTGACCCTAACCGAAGCTTTTCCGGGGCAGGTATATCCAAGGGGCCTCATCACCCAAGGATATGGTCATCATCGTGGATGTGTGAGTGAGCAGCACTGGCAGAGGGGGCGGGGCAGGGCAGGGGCTAGAATCCGCTGCCTGGGAACATCCAAGGGGAATGGCAGGGGGACCCCTGAAGCCTACTGGCTCCTCCGCGATCTCCCCAGGAGCGGCAGCGTCAGTGGCCTGACCCTGAAGCTGATGAAGACGTCCGTCTGTGAGATGCTGGACACGCTGTCCGACGACGACTACGTGAACGTCGCCTCGGTGAGTGCCACGGCGGCAGGTGGGCCAGGAAGGGGTCGCCCTCCGCAGCCCGGGGCATCACCACCCTCGCTGTCCCTGCAGTTCAACGAGAAGGCACAGCCCGTGTCGTGCTTCACACACCTGGTGCAAGCCAACGTGCGTAACAAGAAGGTGTTCAAGGAAGCCGTGCAGGGCATGGTGGCCAAGGGCACCACAGGCTACAAGGCCGGCTTTGAGTACGCCTTCGACCAGCTGCAGAACGTAAGCCTCCTGGGTGGCCAAGGGCAGGCAAGGGCCTGGGATTGGTGACGCCGGGGAAATCAAGACAAATGGCCTTGTTAGCACCCCACAGGCAGCCCAGGCAGATAGCACCATGTGCTGTAGGGGAGGAGGGCCAGGGGGTCAGACCTGCCGGGGGGGGGGTAGACCCCTCCCTGCACCAGGAAGGGCTGAGAGCCACCTGACCCCACACCTATGCCTGCCTAGTCCAACATCACCCGTGCCAACTGCAACAAGATGATCATGATGTTCACGGACGGGGGCGAGGACCGGGTGCAGGACGTCTTTGAGAAGTACAATTGGCCCAACCGCACGGTGAGGCTCAGCCCAGGTGGGGAGGCCCGGAGCTGGGCCCAGTCCAGGGGAGGGCTGTGCTCTGGTGGCCACAGCATGACCTCAAGCCCCAAACAGGTGCGAGTGTTCACTTTCTCCGTGGGGCAGCACAACTATGATGTCACACCCCTGCAGTGGATGGCCTGCGCCAACAAAGGTACCTCATCTGGGCAGCATGTCACGGAGCCTGCCTGCCATGTCCTGCTGTCCATCTGTCCTTCCATATATCCAGCTGCTTCTTCATCCTCTGCCTGTCCATCTTTCCATACATGTGACTGTCTGTCTCTCTATTGGTAACTTGCCCATTTTATCGAGCACCTTTTTGCCCATCTGTCTGAAAGCCCATCGTCCCTCTGTCTCCCAGCTTGTCTGCTCCTGTGTCTGTCTGCTGGTCAATCTGTCTCTCCATGCATGTGGACCTGAGTGAACTCTGAATGGCACTGCCAGCCTAGAATGAGGGGCTCCAGGCCTTAGATTCCTCTTCACTCCAGCTCCGCTTCTCTACACCCCTGCACTCAGACCCTTCCACAGCATAGCCCCTCAGCAGGGCACTGGCAGGTAGCACCACAGGACATGATTTAGGGGCAGTGACTCCAGAAAGAAAGGGAACCTGACGGACAAATCAGGGCTGCAGACACACCCCAGCGCCCCTGTCTGCGTCCTGAGCACCACTCAGCCCCGCCCCTGCCTTGCCTTCCCTCACAGGTTACTATTTTGAGATCCCTTCTATCGGTGCCATCCGCATCAACACACAGGTGAGACTGTGGGGGGCCCCTTCCTCCCAGCCCCTTGCTTCCAGGGGACAGTGCCTATGAAGAGCTGCTGTGGTGTGAGAGCACCCCCTGGTGGCATGATGACACAGGAGAGGCAGAACAGGGAAGGTACAGACTTATGACCCCTGCCCACCCTCCGTCCCCAGGAATATCTAGACGTACTGGGCAGGCCCATGGTGCTGGCAGGCAAGGAGGCCAAGCAGGTGCAATGGACCAACGTGTATGAGGATGCACTGGTAAAACCTCCGGGCAAGGAAGGGGTGGGCTGGTGACCTTCCCCCGCGATGTGCCCACAGGGTCATGTCCCCTGAGGGCCCCGTTATGGGGGTAAACCAAGCAGAGGAGCAAGAAAGGTAGCTTGCACCTGAGCTCCTGCTCTGAACACTGGGGTGGGGGCACGGCTGGCCACAGGAGACCAACCCATCCTCCTCTCCCTTCAGGGGCTAGGGTTGGTGGTGACAGGGACCCTCCCAGTGTTCAACCTGACACAGGATGGCCCTGGGGAAAAGAAGGTGAGGTCCCCTGCTGGGGAAGGATGAGGTACGCCTGGGAAGGGTTGTCATGCCCGTAGCTGGTCTGGGTGGAGGAGGGGTAGGCAGGCCTGCACATTGGACAAGGCCCAGAGTAGCTTGAGGCCTTGGGCGTGGGGGTGGGCAGGGGGCGCCCCATAGGATTGAGCCCATTGCAGACCTGCGTCTCTGCTCCCAGAACCAGCTGATCCTGGGTGTGATGGGTATCGATGTGGCTCTGAACGATATCAAGAGACTGACTCCCAACTACACGGTGAGTGTCCGCCTTCCATGGGGGCACAGCCAGGCTCCGCAGAGGAGACTGATGGTGTTCAGAACACCCCCGTGGAGACCTCTGAGTTCAGGCGGTCAGGGAAAGCTTCCGGAGGAGACGACCTTGGGCCTAGAGCTGGGGTCGGCAAACTTTTTGTAAAGGGCCAGACTGGCTGACTGAGGCCCTGCCAGCCATGTTCATACTCCATTCTGCTGCCGTATCGGCAGCACGGCCACAGACAAGACAAACAAATGGGCATGGCTGTGTTCCAACACAATTTTGTTTGTGGATACTGAAATTTGAATTTCAGATGACTTTCCCGTGTCATGAAATAGAATTGTTCTTTTGATCTTTTTCAAGCATTTAAAAGTGTCAAAGCCATTCTTAGCTGACAGCTATATGTTAGCAGGCGGCAGGCCAGGTGTGGCCTGTGTGCTGTAGCTTGATACCTGGACTGTCGCGTGGCAGCAGTGTCCGGGGTAGAAAGGTGGGGAAGGCGCACCTTAGAGGCAGAGGGGGTTCTCCGGACAGAGCTGGTGAAGCTGAAACACAGAATCATAAGCCAGGGAAGGGGCAAGGTTAGTGTGGCTGCCCAAGGCCTGTGGCAAAGGGAGCAGGGGCCTTGGCTGGAAAGGGGTAGGGATGAGGCACACAGGCCCGTGTCACTGTCCGTGTGCACTGAGGGAACTGCCAAGAGGAAAGGGCCGGTCCAGGGTCTCACTTCTCTTTCCCTCCACCTGGATGGGACGCCCCAGGCCTGTGGGATTACGGGCCGCTCCTCCCCCTGTGCTCTGCTGAGCTGGGGACCAGGAGGAGGGTGGGGAGAGGGGACCAGCAGCCTGTGGGGCCGGCGGAGGTGGGGCGGTCCACCTGACTGCCACCTCCCGTAGATCTGGGGTGGGGTGAGAAGTACAGACTGCCAAGTGAATGATGGTCCCGCAGAGCTGCTCAGCCTAGGCCAGGGCTGCTCCATGAGGGGCCCCAGCCTGCTGGGCTTGGCTTGAGATGCAGACTTGGGGCCCTGTGGCATGTGGGGACCTGGCATGTGGGGACCCCTTAGCAGCATGGAAGGTAGGACAAGGAAGAGCTCCAGAGCCCAGGGAACCCCTGCCCAGCCCTCCAGGCCCTGAGCCCCCAATCTACACCCCCAGCTTGGAGCCAACGGCTACGTGTTTGCTATCGACTTGAACGGCTATGTGTTGCTGCACCCCAACCTCAAGCCCCAGGTAAGCCATGTGGGCGGCCTGGAGGGGGTAAATCCTATGAGGAGACGCCTGAATTCCTGCCCTGCCTCTCACAGACCACCAACTTCCGGGAACCTGTGACTCTGGACTTCCTGGATGCAGAGCTGGAGGACGGAAATAAGGAGGAGGTGGGGAAGGGCAGTGGGAAGGGCCCCCAGAGCAGGGCAAGGAGGACCCCACCCTCACGCCTCTGGCTCTTCCAGATCCGTCGGAGCATGATTGATGGCAACAAGGGCCACAAGCAGATCAGAACATTGGTCAAGTCCCTGGATGAGGTGAGAAGGTGGTGGGGGAGGGACAGGGTCAGGGTGGACATTGTCCCCCCCCCGACACACCTGTTCGCCCAGACACCTGACCCAGCCTCTTCTCCCAGAGGTACGTAGATGAAGTGATGCGGAACTACACCTGGGTGCCTATAAGGAGCACCAACTACAGGTGAGTGGGGCCAAGGTCGGGCAGGCAGGGAGGGGGTGCCCCCAAACCCAGAGTCCGAGCCCAGCTGCCCCTACACCAGTGTGCCAAATCTCAGTGGGGCACCAGCAGCCAGGGCTGCTCACTTCTCACCCCATGACGCTCAGTCCCCGAGAGGCTCTTGCTGACCCTTCAGGAACAAGTGTGCCATCTCCTGGGAGCACAGGACAGAGACAAGGTGGTGTGTCTGAGGCCTCCCTGCGACCCCCCACCCTCTCCTGGCCCTCACGCCTGGATTGCATCCCTGGGTGTCTGCACCCAGATGTCTTCCTCAGCACATTGGCAGGCCTGCTCCCGACAGGCATCGCAGCCCGAGATCAGGCCCCGTGGGTCAGGCCCAGGCTCTGTCAGCATCTCATTCACACCCCAGTAGCACCAGCTCTGCTTTCAACTGGCTCACACCGCCTGAGTCCCTGGGGACTGGGGACCTCACTCCCACAGTGTTCCCGCCCTAGCCTAGCTCACTGGCAGTGTTCTGTCCCTTGGGAGTTTGCTGCTGGCCAGATGGAGGAGGCTGGCTGGGCAGTTGGTATGTTGGGGGAGGCTGCTGGCATGAGGGCTGGGGTTGAAATTGCTTTGGGGCCTGAAGTTCTGAGGCCTGGAGGAGAATTTGGGGAGTGGAGAGTCCAGGCCCCAAGGCCATGAATCTCCCACAAGTAATTAGGAAAAGGTGTCTCTGGTGGTCAGGGGAGGGCAGGCCACAGCCTGGGTCTCTACCCAGCTCCAAGGCCGCTGGGGTGGGGGGTGCCAACGTGGCTCACCTCTCCCAGCAGTGACCTGTGCCCCTCCCCTGCCCCTTCCCAGCCTAGGGCTCGTGCTCCCTCCCTACAGCACCTTCTACCTCCAAGCCAATCTCAGCGACCAGATCCTGCAGGTCAAGTGTAAGTGGCCAGCCCCTGCCTGTGCCCTGCACCCCTGCCTCTGCCCAGCACCCGGCCGGCCTCAGGCAGCATAGCCAGCTGCCTGCAGCCAGGCGGCCCCTCCTGCCCAGTCTGCCCAGCCCAGGCGCCCGCAGGCTGGGACACCAGCCCGGAAAGTCTGTGGAAATCTGCATGCTCTCCTTTTCTCAGATTTGGTTCCAGACCATTCTCTCATGGTTTCCGTTGAGGTTCTGTTTTTGGTTTCTCCTACTCCGTGTCTTCCCTCCTTAGCCTGCCTCCCCCGCACACCCCTGGGGGCTGCATTCCTGGAAGACACCCTCTCCTCCCTCCTCTCCCTGCAGCTCTGGCGCCACCCCCAGGGTCTCTCCCCACCTCTGCCCCCTCTGCTGCTCCCCCCACTCATCCTCACTCACCTTCCTCCTTCTCTTCTGCTTCTCTCCCTTCCTCTCTTTTTGCCCTTCTCTCTCCCTCCCTCACTCTCTTTCCTTTCCTCCCTCCTTTCTTCTCTTTCCCCTCCCTGTACCCCCACCTTCTCTATCTCCCTCTTTTTCCCCCCTTCTGTTCACCCCCTCCATTACTCCCCCACATTTCCTCCCTCCCCTCCCCCGGCATCCCTCCCCTCCCTTTTTCCTTTGGTCTCCCTCTGGGTCTCAGGCCCTCCCCCCTCCCTCCCTCTCCCCTCTCCCCTCAGCTCTGCTCCTTTGCTCCCTGTCCCTCCCCCTTGCTCTCCCTCCCTCCTCTCCTCCCTCTCCCACTCTTCTGCCTGTGGCTCATCCCTGCCTGCATGCCCCACTCCCCCTGGGCCTCTGGGAGCCTGTGGCCCCGCCTGCCCACTGCCCGAGGTCACGGGGAGGGAGGCTGGGGCTCCAGCCCCACCGGGCGCCCCCCACCTGCCTGGCCCACTGGGGCTCATCTCCTTTGAGTTTTCTCGCTCTCTCTTTCTCTCTCATGTCGTTTTTTGCAAGAAGTTTCCTTTCGGTATGATGATAAGACACAATATTTTCATTCAAACAGCCATTGAATAAAATATTGTTTGTGCCCCTCCCCTTCCCCTCCCCCTTTTCGTTTGTTTTTGTGTTTGTGTTGTTTTTGTTTTCCTCGCTTTCTCTCTTGGTGGACTGTCCCAGTGCCAATCAGCAAACTGAAGGGCAAGTATATTCAGAATCAGTGCACCCTCCTCTCCCCACCCCACCCACCCTCACACCCTTGCTTGCCCCCCTCCCTGCCCAGGACCAGCCACACCCCTGCTCTCCAGGGCCCCCTCCCAGCATTCCCTTGGCTCCTCCAGTTCTTGCCTTTCCTCTGATCCCTACCAGAGCCAGCGGCCCTTTCCCCTGGCCCTACCTACAGGGTGGTTCTCCAGCGTGTTCTGAGAGCTCAGGCCCCCTCCTCACCCTCCTCGCTCCCTCTGGGCAGGCCCTGCTCCCCCTTGTCTGATCCTCCAAGACAACTCAACAGTGGGGACAGGGCTGGAAGCCTCTGCGCCACCTCCCATCCAGCATTGCAGGTACTGAGATGCAGGGGGTAAGTCAGACCTCAGAGAACTTACGTAAGGCTTATGGGAAAGGGGAGCCACACGAGGCTTCCTCTGGGACAGTTCTCCCTCCTCTGATCCCTGGCACTGGCTGCAAAAGCTGGTGGCATTCCCAGGGGGAGACAGAGGCTTTGGAAGCCTCGGAGCCCTGGCCCTGAGGCAGGGGGGCAGGATGGGCAGCAGCCAGGGCACCTGGAGAGCAAGGCAGACCAGACTATCATGGGCGCTGGCCGGGGTGCTGAAACCTGTCCTCTGCCGCCCCCTGCTCCAGAGAGGTTGCTAAGGCCACCAGCCCAGCACTGCCCTGGGGTTCTCTCTGCTCCTGGGGAGAGCGGTCAGGTTGGAGAAGGTGCTCCCCTGTTAAATAAAGGCAGACTCAGGGACAGTGAGCCTGGCTGGGAATGGAAGGGGGTCTGTCTAGAACCCAAAGACAGCAAAAGAGCTTAGAGGGAACCAGGCTGGATGTGAAGGAAAAGGCTCTGGCACTCAGAAGTACCCAGACCAGAGACTTCCAGGAAGGGCAGGCAGGGAACTTGTAGCCCCTGGTGAGAACAAGGGGCGAAAGAGCAGCACCAGGGTCTCTGCCATGGTGCGCAGACACGCCCCTTCCCCGGAACACCTGGGCAGAGGAGGAGAGCCATGAGGGGTGTCCCGTCCTTGGTCCCATGGCCTGGAAGCATGGGATCCCCAAGAAGCCCTATGGGGCCATGTCCAAACAAGTTCAGCAACGAGAATAGATGTCCCCACTGGCCCAGGTGGGGATGAGGGACATGCCCTACTTCCACTGGCTTGAGTTGTCTTTTCTCCCCCTTCCACATCCCTCCCAGGGACCCCAGAAATGCAGGGCCCTGGTAACAGTGACAACTATAGTATAGTCTCCCTTCCTGCTCCTTTTTCTTTCTCCTCCTCCTCTCCCCCACCCCTTCCCTGTCGGCTTGTGTCCAAACCCTGCCTCAGCCCTGTCAGAAAGCGACAGTCCAACCAGTGACTGCCCAGCCCCTCCAGGCACCCCAAGTCTCTCTTCCCTGGAATTTTGCAGTGCATTGTGGGAGTGTTGGGGAACAGGGAAGCCCTGGGGTGACCAGGAGGTTGGAATCCGGTAGAAGGATGACTGAGTGGACTGCCCAGAATGGGACAGGCCGAGAGCAGAGAGATACCTCCCAGATGATGGCCAGCAAGGTGGCCAGTCACCCTGGGCAGAGAGAGACCACAGAGCAAACTGAATGGCCCCATCCCCAGACTCCCCCACAAACCCACACAGACAGTTGCATACACATACACACTCATGTTTCTCACACACATGCACATGCCCAGTTGGTGGGTCCCTCAGCAGTACCCCACACCTTCTCCAGAGCCCCCAGCATTCCTCCCTGGCTGCGCTGAGCTCAGACAGGTCCCAGGGAGGGGGACAACCAGTCCTTCCCACCTGCCCTCATGCTGCCGGCCCAAGAGAGCAGGTGTGCAGGCTCGAACAATCCTCCTGTCCCCTTCCAGCTCCCAGACTCCTCCCGCAGTGTGGGAACATTCACAGGTGCCTCGAGGTCTCCCCTCACCCAGCTCCTACCCTAGGAAGGACCGCCAGACCCCACAATGCACTGCAGCCCGCCCCAGCTGCCCACACCGTCTCTGGTTGGACTGTCTGTGCCCATGAGAAACCCCTTCGGTTTGGCCATGTTGATGCCTGACACAGAACAAAGAGACCTACCAAAATGCAAACAGCTACAGCAAAGAAAGACAAAAATCCGCAGCCAAAAGCCAATTCCCTTCCTCGAAGTCTCTTCGGAGGCGAAGGGAGTTCAGCATGCGGTGTTTTCCATTCTGGATGTGATAAGAGCGAGACTGGTACCTCCCCCAGACCATGCATATATATAGCAGTGTGTGTATATATATGTGTGTGTGTGTGTCCGTGTATATGTGCTATACAGCCGTATGGAAGCATATACAGCCTGCCGACAGAGGACCGGGCCCGGGCAACATATTGGCTATAACTGCCCTCCTCCTGCGATGCTGTAGTCTCCACAGGCCCTCCACCCTTCCCCCCCCACCCCTTCTCTCTGGCTCGAACTTGAACATGGAAGTGGCGGGTTCCCTCTATGCTGGTGTCTCCCCCTCCCTCCAACCACCCCCTTCCCTGTCCCTCCAGCCCCTTGAGCTCTGAGCCCCCTGGCCTCTCGCCTCCCCAGCCCCCGCCGGATAACCCCCATTTCTGTTGCAGATTTTGAGTTCCTGCTCCCCAGCAGCTTTGAGTCTGAAGGACATGTTTTCCTTGCTCCCAGGTAGCTTGCGTGTGGCCTTGCTGAGGTGTCCTCCCCAACCCTGACTGCCCTGGCCCGCCTCCTGCACTGCTTCCTGGAGCTCTGTGTGTCTGTGTCCTGTGCAGTGTCGCCCCCCCATGCATGGCCCCGTATGTGCGGCCATGTGCATACCCGGGCCATGCACTGAACCAGGCAGCAGTGGCCAGCTGCCCCCAGCTCCGGCTCCCACCTGGGGCGGGAGGGCTCTGGACCCTCTGCTGACCTCCCTGACCCTCTCAGGCAACCAGAAGGAGTCTATGCCCTGGGCGGGCGGGCTGTCCGCAGCAGGCCCCTCACTGGGCAGCTGCTGCTCTGGTTTGCGGTGCCCTCCCCACTCCCCACCCTGCACTCTGTCCTTGTCCTGTGTCAGTCAGTGTGTGTATGGGTCTGGGGATGAGCCGGCCAGAGCCCCTATCGGCAGTGCTGAGTCTAGGTGTGGTGGCTCACTGAGGACAGGGTGGAAGAGGGGATGTGGGCTTTGAGAGCTGCCTGGACAGGTGAGGGGTCAGGGCGTAGCGCAGGTCCAGGCCTGGACCATCCTTCAAGTGCCCTCAGCATGCACATACATCCTCGTGTTCACACCCTCTGCCTGATAGCCCACATCTGAAGAAGCCCGTGGGCCCCGTGTGGTAAAGCACTCCCCTGTGACCTGGGAGTAGGGTGAGGGCAGGTGGGCACTGTTAACAGAGACCCCTGGGCACTCGCGGGCACCACACGGGCTCCAGACACGCCTAACCTTCGTGTGTGCACGTGTGCGCATGCAGTGACAGAGACCCATGGGCACTCGCAGGCACCACACGCGGGCTCTGGACTCCTAACCTTCGTGTGTGCACGTGCGTGCATGCAGTGAACAGAAACCCCTGGGCACTAGCAGGCACCACACGGGCTCCGGACACGCCTAACCTTCGTGTGTGCACGTGTGCGCATGCAGTGAACAGAGACCCCTGGGCACTCGCAGGCACCACACGCGGGCTCTGGACTCCTAACCTTCGTGTGTGCACGTGCGTGCATGCAGTGAACAGAGACCCCTGGGCACTAGCAGGCACCACACGGGCTCCGGACACGCCTAACCTTCGTGTGTGCACGTGCGTGCATGCAGTGACAGAGACCCCTGGGCACTCGCAGGCACCACACGCGGGCTCTGGACTCCTAACCTTCGTGTGTGCACGTGCGTGCATGCAGTGAACAGAGACCCCTGGGCACTAGCAGGCACCACACGGGCTCCGGACACGCCTAACCTTCGTGTGTGCACGTGCGTGCATGCAGTGACAGAGACCCCTGGGCACTCGCAGGCACCACACGCGGGCTCTGGACTCCTAACCTTCGTGTGTGCACGTGCGTGCATGCAGTGAACAGAGACCCCTGGGCACTCGCAGGCACCACACGCGGGCTCTGGACTCCTAACCTTCGTGTGTGCACGTGCGTGCATGCAGTGACAGAGACCCCTGGGCACTAGCAGGCACTACACGCGGGCTCTGGACTCCTAACCTTCGTGTGTGCACGTGCGTGCATGCAGTGACAGAGACCCCTGGGCACTAGCAGGCACCACACGCGGGCTCTGGACTCCTAACCTTCGTGTGTGCACGTGCGTGCATGCAGTGAACAGAGACCCCTGGGCACTAGCAGGCACCACACGCGGGCTCTGGACTCCTAACCTTCGTGTGTGCACGTGCGTGCATGCAGTGAACAGAGACCCCTGGGCACTAGCAGGCACCACACGGGCTCCGGACACGCCTAACCTTCGTGTGTGCACGTGCGTGCATGCAGTGAACAGAGACCCCTGGGCACTCGCAGGCACCACAAGGGCTCCGGACACGCCTAACCTTCGTGTGTGCACGTGCGTGCATGCACCCACACATTTCTCCGTGACTCTGTAGATGTGTGTTTGTGTTTGTGCATCATTGTGGGTGTTTTCAAGGGTCCAGGTGTAGATGTGGGGTGGGCTGTGTGCGTCAGTGACTGTGGAAATGTATGAAAGGCCTGTGTGACCCACATGACCCTCAGGGAGCTCTTCGAGGACAGGGACTATTTGTTTGTTTGTGTCAGCTCTGTGTCTTTGGCTCAGGAGAGCTCAATAAATACATGTTGAGTGAGTGTGTAACAACCCACAAATATAAATACACATATGGGGGACTGCAGGTGACATGCATCTCAAGCCCAGCTGTTTGGGTGTCGCTCTGGGCATATCAGGAGTGGCCTCTACACCCAGGAGTGCCGGCTGTGCACTGCACAGAGGCCCAGGGGCCAGGGGGCAGGGGGGCTGAGATGAGTCCCAGGTGTCCTCACAAGCTGTGGACCCTAGCAGAGCCTGGGGAAGCAGCACATTTAAAAAATTCCCGCAGCCCTGGCCAGTTTGGCTCAGCGGTTGGAGTGTCAGCCTGCGGACCAGAGAGTCCCAGGTTCGGTACCCACTAGGGGCACATACCCCACTCCAAAAAATAAATAAATTCCCACAAAGTTGCTGCCATATGGGCCAGTGGGCGGGTCTCTGGTGGCAGGGGTGGGAGTGAGGAATTGGGTAGGAGAGACAGCTCCTCACCAGGACTTCCTGGGGAGCCAAGCCTAAACAGGCCTCCGCATCCCCCCCCCCCACCACTCCCATGCTTTTTGAGCCCCTTAAGGGCGTTGAGGTGAGGAATCTGGTCTTCACCTCTGGGGCAAAAGCACTCCAGGCAGACGGAATAGCCAGTCCGAGGACCCATGTGTTCCCACTGACTTCATGACACCCTCTGTGGTATGATGGAAAAACAAGCTCAGGGAGCTTGAGTGAGTTGCCCAGAGGCCTCAGCCAGGAAGCGGCAGGACGAGGTCGGTGCTGGAACTCCACCCACCTTGTGCTCCTGGACTGCTACAGCACACAGGTGGGTGAGCCCACCAGGAGGGCCACAGGTGTTCCATCCGGGTCCAGATAGCAGGAGAGGTGGGAGGCTCTGCAGGGCCATGCCCAGGAGAGAGAATCTTCCAGGACGAAGTAAACCCTCATTCTCCTGTCAGCTCTGCCCCAACTCAGACCTGGGAGCCTGCCAGGCACGTAGTGGCTGCAGCCTGTAAGAATACACCTGCCCCTCTCTGAGGCCTGGGCTTCTCAGCAAATGACCAGGAAGACTTGTTGGGAAGCCTTGATGCTCTGTCCGTTCCAGCCCCCCAAGCCCACTTTTCTTGCCCCCCCTCCCCCCCAGAGAGTATTGCAAGGACCTGAATGCTTCAGACAACAACACCGAGTTCCTGAAAAACTTCATTGAGCTTATGGAGAAAGTGACTCCAGATTCCAAGCAGTGTGAGCCTGACGGGGTAGCCCCAAGGAACCCAGGGACTGGGCATGTGTGGGAATACGCAGGCCTGCTAAGGGCAAGGCCTGGCCAGGTCGTGGGGAAGGTTCCTATTGGAGCCTTGGGGGGAGGGGCAAGTGGGCAGGGAGCCATGAAAAGATGCCCCCTCCATCTCTGCCCTCCCATTGCAGGCAACAACTTCCTTCTGCACAACCTCATCTTGGACACGGGCATCACACAGCAGCTGGTGGAGCGTGTGTGGCGGGACCAGGATCTTAACACGTAGGCACCACCCAGCCTGTGGGGGCAGGAGGCTGAGATGGGCCCAGGGGCCTTGGCTCTGCCATGCCAAAGGCAGGCCTGTGACCTCACCTCCTTGCTGCCCCCAGGTATAGCCTTCTGGCCGTGTTCGCTGCCACTGACGGTGGCATCACGCGGGTATTCCCCAACAAGTAAGTGACCTACCCCACTACCTGACCCCTGCCCTTGCCTGGGACCCTGCCTCTGTCCCGCTGCCCAGAGCCCTCTTTGCACCTGATGAGACTACTGTTCCCCACAAGTCACCCCTTCCATCAACTTCTACCTTCTTGGGTGACCAGGGCAGCGGAAGACTGGACAGAGAACCCTGAGCCCTTCAATGCCAGTTTCTACCGTCGCAGCCTGGACAACCGCGGTTATGTCTTCAAGCCCCCACATCAGGATGGTGAGTGTCCCCCCAGGTGCACAGCAGCAGAGGGCGCTGAGGCCTCCCTGTGTGCTCATCCAGGGCCCGCTGTGCTCTCTGAGGCCCCTCTCGGACATGAGGCAGGCTGAGGCTGGGCAGATGAGAGAGGGCGAGGCTATGCGGAACACTACGCTGGGTGCTGGGTGCCTAGACTGGGGTAAGCCTTGGCTTGGGCTCCTGGGTCCTTAGGGCTCGGCGTGGACTGGTCAGTGTGATTGCCCGCTTCAGCTCCTGACTGCCTTACCCCCAGCCCTGGTAAGGCCTCTGGAGCTGGAGAATGACACGGTGGGCATCCTTGTCAGCACAGCTGTGGAGTTCAGCCTGGGTGGACGCACGCTGCGACCAGCAGGTAAATGCCCGTGGCGGAAGCAGGGAGAGACAGTGGGCAGGGTGCTGCCTAGGCAAGCAGGCATTTTGATGGCCCCTTGCTCTCCCCCACAGTGGTGGGTGTTAAGTTGGATCTAGAGGCCTGGGCTGAGAAGTTCAAGGTGCTAGCCAGCAACCGTACCCACCAGGACCAGCCTCAGAAGGTACTTGGGCAGGGGAGGGTGCAGTAAGCCCAGCAATACCCATTCTGGAGCCCCCAGGAACTTGTACCAGTCCTCCCACTCAGAGCGTCTCTGGTGCCTGTGGGGAGGACGGGCTGTTACAGATGGCCTGAGGACACACATGGGTGAGGGTGATGGGAAGGGGGGAAATTGGTGGGCACCTTACAGTCCTTGCTCTCTGCCCAGCAGTGCGGCCCCAGCAGCCACTGCGAGATGGACTGCGAGGTTAACAATGAGGTGCGTGTGTCCTGAACCCTAGCTTACCCCATTCCTGGACTTCTTATTCCCAACTGCAGCTCCTAGCCCATCCGTACCCTGACCTCACAGCTTTACTAGAACTGGGGGAAGGGGTGCCCCTTCCCCTCCAGCAGTGGACTGCCAGAGCCTGGGGAGGAAGGTCTGGGCCCAAGCCCCTCTCCATCTTCTTCCCCCTTCCCCATCTTCCTCCCCCTTCCCCACCTCTCAGGACCTGCTCTGTGTTCTCATTGATGACGGGGGATTCCTGGTGCTGTCAAACCAGAACCATCAGTGGGACCAGGTGAGGGTCAGGAAGAGGGTAGAAGGAGGGGTCTAGGTTTGAGCCTCTCGGGTGTGGCCCTGCCGGCCCTGTGACTGTGGTTCCCTCCCTTTCTCCCCAGGTGGGCAGGTTCTTCAGTGAGGTGGATGCCAACCTGATGCTGGCGCTCTACAATAACTCTTTCTACACCCGCAAGGAGTCCTATGACTATCAGGCAGCCTGTGCTCCCCAGCCCCCCGGCAACCTGGGTGCTGCACCCCGGGGTGTCTTTGTGGTGAGCCCCAGCAATGCCTTGCCTAGAGATGGAGGTTGGAGGACTGGGAGACCTGCCCAAAGATGACCCCTACCTCTGACGAGAGAGCTGGGGATGACACCAGTCCAGGGGCGGCAGGGGCAACCCATGTCTTTCTCCGTTCTGCAGCCCACCGTTGCAGACTTCCTGAACCTGGCCTGGTGGACCTCAGCTGCGGCCTGGTGAGTCCTAGTGGGGACAGGGGTCAGGGAGGCCTCGAGAGCAGTGGAGCAGGGCACTGGCCTGTGCTGACCACAGCCCCTCGGTGACCCGTGCCTTGCAGGTCCTTGTTCCAGCAGCTTCTCTATGGCCTCATCTACCACAGCTGGTTCCAGGCAGGTAGGTAGGGCCTTGGAGTCCCCTCCTCAAGTCCCTTCTCCCCAAAGGGAGGGTGGGGTTTATAAAGGCTGAGTGCAGCTGAGGCCCCCAAAAAAACGGTGGCAGGGTCCAGGGCTGTGGCTGAGGCGCTCTGGGCCTTCGCAGATCCCGCAGAGGCCGAGGGCAACCCCGAGGCGCGTGAAAGTAGCTGCGTGATGAAACAGACCCAGTACTACTTCGGGCCGGTGAACACCTCCTACAACGCCATCATCGACTGTGGAAACTGCTCCAGGTGCGTGCGGAGGGCTGGCGAGGGTGCTGGGGGCGGGGCCGCGGGGCGGGGCCGGTCGGGTGGTTGCGCCCAGGGGCGGGGCCGCGGGGCGAGGCCGGGTGGAGGGGCGGGGCGAGCCGCAACGCCCCGCCTTTCTGTGCTGCCTCCAGGCTGTTCCATGCGCAGAGACTGACCAACACCAACCTTCTCTTCGTGGTGGCGGAGAAGCCACTGTGCAGCCAGTGTGAGGCTGGCCGGCTGCTACAGAAGGAGACGCACTGTATCCTCCCCCCGCCGCCGCCCCCCCACCCACCCGCCCCCTCCCGCCCCACGCGCCCCCCTTTGTGCCACCGCCTCCTTGACTCCCCACCCATGCCCAGCGGACGGCCCGGAGCAGTGCGAACTGGTGCAGAGACCGCGGTACCGGAGAGGCCCGCACATCTGCTTTGATTACAACGCAACGGTGAGCAAAGGCCGGTGGACTTGACACCCGCTCTCATCCTGCAGGGCCGCTGCAGCCCTGCGTCCTCCCCTGTCCCGGCTGCCGAGGCCGACCAGTTCCCTGTCTCTTCCACAGGAAGATACCTCAGACTGCGGCCGCGGAGCCTCCTTCCCACCGTCGCTGGGCGTCCTGGTCTCCCTGCAGCTGCTGCTCCTCCTGGGCCTGCCTCCCGGGCCGCAGGCTCATCAAGTCCACGCCCACACCTCGCGCCGTCTCTGAGCACCCCCAACCCCCTACCCAGGCCTCCCGCCATTCCCCGCTCCCTGCCCCACACTCCACACCTTAGATCCTCACCCCCTTTCTCACTGAAGGACCTGAACGCACCAGGCCCCTAGAGTCTTAGCCTTGGAGTGGGAGGCCAGGGGTGTCCCACAAGAGGGCGCCCCAGGTCTTTGGCCCCCAAGCCACATCTGCTGCTGAACTGTCAGTGTCTCTAGACCCCTCATTCCCACTGGACTTACCCACCCCCAGGGTTGGGACAGGGAAGCCACAGTATTGGTGCCAAACCAGGCCCCACTGCCGGCCCTGCCCGGAGGATCCCTATGTGAGGGAAAACTAGGCCCTGCCCCAGCTGGACTCCTCTGACCTGGCCCTCTGCCCCACCTAGGACCAAATCTGGATTCCCTGGGAATAACGGAGGAAGCTGCGATGGGCAGTTTGAGCTCTATACATCCCAGCTTAAGTCCTGGCAGGAGAGAGGCCTTAGGGCAGCCCCCAGTGGTCTCCTGCTCCTCTCGGCTATATCCTCTTCCTCCTCCACCCAAGCCCTGCAGGTGTCAAAGCAGTGACAGTGAAACTGGCTGACACAACCCCTCATACACCTGGAGCCCTGAGGGCAAAAGCGACTCACATTAGACATATCCCAGAGGACACACACAGACATGCACATGGGGTGGGGTGGGGTGGGGTGGGGGTGGGGCTCACAAAGCCTTACAAAGGGTGAAGGGTTGTGGGAGGGTTGGCATGTGCACACTCCATCTCCTGCTCACTGCCTGCCTCTAATCTGACCTGCAGCCCAGCTGATCCTCCATCTCTAAAGCTGAATGTCAAACAGTGCCAAATGCTGGGGCAGGGGGTGAAGACCCCTCTGTCCCACCCTAGCCGCCAGTGTCCCCTAAATGCCCCTCATCCCCCCAGGTGCTCATTGTAACCATTTATCACTAGTGTCAGGCCCCCTGTGGGACCACACGCCACTGCCTGCACCCCTTGGCAGAGGAACCCTCACCAGATATCGCCCTTTGCCTTAGCAGGGTGACTTAATTATTCCTGGCTGGGCCATCCCACCCCAATCTGGCCCTTACACACTCAGGCCTCTGCCCACTTCCTATCTCCTTCCCATTCACACATACAATTCCCTGCCCCCAGGAGGCCAAACTGCTCCTCCCTGCTGAACACACACTTGCACACGCATACACACATATACACACACTCTGTGCACACACAGAGGCTGGGCCTGGGCACACATCACACCATTCATTCTGGTCATTTCCTCCAAAGGCATCCCAGCCTGGGGGCCAGTGGGGGACTGAGGGCAGGGGATGTGGCCATGGGGCTCAGATGGACTGGGAGGAGGGGGGAGGGTGATGCATTAATTAATGGCTCCGTTAATTAATGTCATGTTGCTTGTTGCTTTCTCAGTGTGTGTATGGTCCATGCCTGCTGCTGGTGCCAGGGTGGGCGTCCATGCTGTACACCCAGCCTAGATGCCAGCCATGTCTTGCAGGGGTGTGTGTGTAACTGTAGTGTAGTCAGGTGCTCAATGGAGAATATAAAAATACAGAATCAAACATATACAGAAAAATATATATTTTAAGTTTAAAAAACAGAAAAACAGACAAAACAATCCCCATCAGGTAGTTGTCCAACCCCCAGCTGGGTCTGATCCTTCTCATCGCCCACCCAACCTGGCTGCCCCCTCACCTCAGGCTCGGGGGATCTGTGGGGGACTAGGGGCCATTTCCTTTTCTCTGCCCTTTTTTTTTTTTTTTTTTTGGTTATTCTATTTTGTACAGACAAGTCAGAAAAACAACAGCGACAAAAAAGTCAAGAAACTTTGTAAAATATTGTGTGTGTGATTCCTTGTAAAATATTTTCAAATGGTTTATTACAGAAGATCAGTTATTAAATAATGTTCATATTTTCACTTCAAATGGTTCCCATCCACTGTGTCTGCCCTGGGGTGAGAATTGGGTAGTCTGAAGACAGGTCACCTTGACCTCAGAGCCCCACTTAGCACTCAGGCGTGAAGGCCATAGCAATCGGGCCCCCAGGTGGTGGAGGGCACAACAGGCATGCCACTTCCCAGACCTCCTAGATACCAGATACTTGAATCCTTTGTCTTGTAGAATTTCAAAAGCATCTGGGGAAAACTTAAAAAAACACACACACACACATAGCCCTGGCCGGTTTGGCTCAGCGGTTAGTGGCGGCCCGCGGACCACAGTCCTGGGTTCGGTTTCCGCTGGGGGAATGTACCTTGCTTGCAGTTTGTCCCTGGCTCCAGTTGGGGTCGTGTGGGTGGCAGCCACTCGATGTGTCTCTCTCATGTCGATGTTTCTCTCTCTCTTCTCCCCTCTCTCCCTCCCGCTCTATCTGAAGATAAATACAAAGAATGTCCTTGGGTGAGGATAAACACACACACACACACACACACACACACACACACACACACACAGCCCCAGAGGCTCATGAGATGAGATGTGGGTTTAGGCAGGCATCCAGCCATCAGGTCAGACCACCCCGGCCTAGGGGGCAGGTCCTCCACCTGAAGTGGAGGGAGGACCTCAGTGATGCTATTCAGAGGAGCCAGGGTCTAGTCCACCTAAAGGCATGAATGCTGCTCTTTCCAGCCCAGGGGAACCTCAAGGACCGGTGCTCTCCATGGTCACTGCTGCTCACACTACAACCCAACTCTCTTGTTCGTTTATTTATTTATTTATTTATTTATTTATTTATTTATTTATAGAGGAAAGGTGAGAGAGAGAGAAACATCGATGTGAGAGACAAATGATTGGCTGCCTCCTGCATGCCCTTTACTGGAGATCGAGCCCACAACTCGAGCATATGCCCTGACCAGAATCAAACCCAGACCTCTCAGTCCACGGGCCGACGCTCAATCCACTGAGCCACACCAGATGGGTTCTCTTGTTCATTTTTTTAAAGTTTTTTTAATCCTCATTTGAGGATATTTTTCTGTTCATCTTCAGATAGAGTGGGAGGGAGAGAGAGAGAGACATGGATGTAAAAGAGACACATTGACTGGTTGTCTCCTGCACAACCCCCGATCAGGGCCAGGACCAACTGCAACTGAGGTACCTGCCCTTGACCGGAATTGAACCCAAGACTCATTGGTCTGCGGGCTGACGCTCTAATCTCTGAGCCGAACCAGCCAGGGTTCTTGTTCATTTTAATCCCAACTCTTAATAGTCATAATAGTCAAACCTAATCTGTGTGACCTTCTAGTTTTTTTTAAGGGGAAAGACTTATAACCACCAGTGTAGAGGTTTCCTGGTGCTATTAACACAGTACACACTCAGCACTCACCAATGGCTTCTGACTGAGTCCTCACCAGGAGTTAGGTACTGCAGATGAGCAAACTGAGACTTGGGAGAAACCCTTTCTCCCCAGATAACAAGGGCAAGAGATCAGCAAAGGTTTCAGAAAGGAAGTGGCTTGTGTCTGGGGGGTGCTTAGATGCTAAATAAATGGAGGAGGGCATTCCAGGCCTTAGGGAAGAGACCCTGCAGGAGCTGGCCACAGAGCAACGCCCAACTAGCAACCTCTGATACAGCCCCCATGCTCTGCAGTAGTCCCAGAGGTCCTGGAGTAGGGCTGCCAGATAAAATATAGAACAATCAAATTTGAATTTCAGGTAAACAAATATTTTTTGTCTCTCTCCAATATGCATGGGTCATAACTATACTAAAAAAAAAGGGACCCAGCCCTGCCTGGTTTGGGTCAGTGGTTCAAACCTTGGCCTGTGGACCAAAGAATCTCGGGTTCGATTCTGGTCAAGGGCATGTACCTTGGTTGCAGTTCGGTCCCCGACCCTGGTCAGGGTCAAAGCAGGATGCAACCAATCAGTGTGTCTCTCTCACCTCTCTCTCTCTCTCTCTCTCTCTCTCTCTCTCTCTCTCTCTCTGTTTCTCTCTCCCCCTCCCACTCTATCTGAAGATAAATGAAAAAATATCCTCAGGTGAGAATTAAAAAAAAAAAAAATGGGGCCCTGGCTGGTTTGCCTCAGCGGTTGGAGTGTCGGCCCGGGAACCAGAGAGTCCCGGGTTTGGTTCCCGCTAAGGACATGTACCTCGGTTGCAGTTTGTCCCTGGCCCTGGTAAGGTCGTGCAGGTGGCAACCACTCGATGTGTCCTTTTCACATCGATGTTTCTCTCTCTCTCTCTTCTCCCTTCTCTCCTTCCCACTCTGTCTGAAGATAAATGCAAAAATGTCCTTGGGTGAGGATTTAAAAAAAAAAAAGGGGGCCTGGCTGGTGTAGCTCTGTTGGTTGAGCATAGTCCCATACACCAGGAGGTCGATGGTTTGATTTCAGGTCAGGGCACATGCCCGGGCTGTGGGCTCAACCCCCAGTAGGGGGTGTGCAGAAGGCAGCTGATTAATGTTTCTCTCTCATCAGTATTTCCTTTTCGTTCTTTCTTTTTTTTTTTTTTTGTTAATCCTCACCCTAGGATATTTTTCCATTGATTTGTAGAGTGGAAGAGAGGGAGAGAGAGAAAAACATCAACGTGCAAGAGACACATCGTTGGTTGCCTCCTGCACCCACCCCTACTAGGGCCAGGGATCAAAACTGCAACTCAGGTACGTGCCCTTGACCGGGAATTGAACCCGAGACTCTTTGGTCCTCAGGCCGATCCTCTAACCACTGTGTCAAACCGGCCAGGGCTCATCGATATTTCTATCTCTCTATCTCCCATCCTCTTTCTGAAATCAATAACTACTTTTTATTATTGGAGATTTTGCTTATACTAAAAAAGTGTTCCTTGTTTATTTGAAATTCAAATCTGATCGAGCACCTTGTATTTTGATTTGTTAAATCTGGCAACCCTACCCTGGAGTGGCATCTAGTGGGAACCCAGACCCCAAAGATAACGGGTGTCAGCACCCTTTGTAATCTAGAAGGCTATGCACATGTTGGCAATACTACTGAGATCAGTAGCTGAAAGGATGGGATTCTGCACTTTATAAATGTACTTTGTCAAATAATTATTTTAATTATATGCACATTTTTTAAAAGTAACTCAAGATACAAAAAAAAAATCAGCTTGCACAACCTGCCAGAAGCCACCATTGCAATGAAGTAAAGACCCAGAACCAGTCTTGTACAAGTTTGTGGGGAGACCTCTCTTCCTCTGGGCCAGCAACAGAAGTTTGTGGAGGGCCCGGCTGGTGTGGCTCAGTGGATTGAGCTTCATCCTATGGACTGAGAGGTCCCAGTTCAATTTCCCTTCAAGGCACATGCCCAGGTTGCAGGCTCGATCCTCAGCGGGGAGCACGCAGGAGGCAGCCTGATCAATGATTCTCTCTCACATCGATATTTCTCTCTCTCCATTCCTCTCTCTAAAAACTCAACATAAACAATATTTAAAAAGAAAAGAAGTCTGTCTGGGACAGGAAACCTGAGTTTGAGTCGTGGCTCCACCTTACTTGTAACAAGAGCAGCCGGTCAACACACTCACTGTACACCCAGGGTGAACTTGCATTATACATTCCAGTCCTCGTAGACCCTCACAGTACGTCCTGTCTTCTCCATTTTACGGTCCATGAAACTGAGTTTCTACAAAGTCCAGGACCTTACTAGCCAGTGTCACACAGCTGCCAAATGGCAGAGCAAGAATTCCAACCTGGTTCAGGCCCCATACATCCCATACAGCCTGAGTCAGGCTGATTCCAAGCCATGGAATTTCCAGTTCCCGCACACTGGTACGTACACCAGGACCATCCAACATTCTTACCCGCATACCTAACCAAAAAGACACACCCACTCAGATGTACATGCACAAGAAGCCACCCTTTCCAGGGAATTCAGCAAGTGTGTGGCACGCAGTTGTGGTGCCGCCGGTACCCGCCGCTTTCCCAAGGTGAGCGATGCTCCGTCACCCACGCCCATCGCCCGAGGATCGGTGGAAAACGGTCCTGGAAACTACAATTCCCAAGCACACCTCCTCTCACCACCTACAGGAGCGGCCCGGGCGCACGGCCTTCTGGGACTTGTAGTTCTACCTGGAACCCTAATTTCCCGCTTCGGCGGAGGACTCGGTGTCCCAGCAGGCGCGGACCCGGAAGACCTACGCTGAGAGGGCATCCCGCCGCCGCCCGGGACGCGCAGGCGCAGCAACCCTGTTTGTCGGCCCCTGAGAAAGGAGGAGGTCCGGTCGAAGCCAAGACTCCGGCCGAACCGGAGCTGACCAGACTTGACTCGGGCCCGGAACTAGGCTCCAGTCCCGCGTGGACTGGGCCACAGGACCCCGGAGTGGATGGAGTAGGCCCAGTCCTGAGATCAACGCCAGCCCACTCGGCCTGGCTCCGGGCCTACGGGGCGGGCAGGCAGGCGGGCCGAAGCCGCCCAGGGCCTTCCTTCAGGGCCCCGGCGAGGGGCCTAGGCCCCGGCCCCGCAACAGGCCCGGCCTGGCCCTTTGGAACCGGACTCGACCCGACCAGAAGTGGCGTCCTCACCGGGGCCATAGGCCAGTGACTAGGCCGGACCCGGGCCTCCCGTCGGGGCCGGACTGGGACGAGGCCCCGGGGAGGCCCCTAGTCCACTAGACCCTTCCCTCAGGCCGACGCCCGCCGGGAAGATGCAGCGCGCCCTACCGGGCGCCCGCCAGCACTTGGGGGCCATCCTGGCCAGCGCCAGCGTGGTGGTGAAGGCCCTGTGCGCGGCGGTACTGTTCCTCTACCTGCTCTCCTTCGCCGTGGACACTGGCTGCCTGGCGGTCACCCCAGGCTACCTCTTTCCGCCCAACTTCTGGATCTGGACCCTGGCCACCCATGGGCTGATGGAACAGCACGTGTGGGACGTGGCGATCAGCCTGGCCACGGTGGTGGTGGCTGGACGTTTGCTGGAGCCCCTCTGGGGGGCCTTGGAGCTGCTCATCTTCTTCTCAGTGGTGAACGTGTCTGTAGGGCTGCTGGGGGCCTTCGCCTACCTTCTCACTTACATGGCTTCCTTCAACTTGGTGTACCTTTTCACCATCCGCATCCACGGCACCCTGGGCTTCCTCGGTGGTGTCCTGGTGGCACTGAAGCAAACCATGGGGGACTGTGTGGTCCTTCGAGTGCCCCAGGTACGTATCAGCGTGGTGCCCATGCTGCTGTTGGGGCTGCTGCTGCTGCTGCGGCTGGCCACGCTGCTCCAGAGCCCGGCACTGGCCTCCTATGGCTTTGGGCTGCTCTCCAGTTGGGTGTATCTTCGCTTCTATCAGCGCCATAGCCGAGGCCGAGGGGACATGGCCGACCACTTTGCTTTCGCCACCTTTTTCCCTGAGATCCTGCAGCCCGTGGTGGGGCTGTTGGCGAACTTGGTGCACGGCCTCCTGGTGAAGGTAAAGATTTGCCAGAAGACAGTCAAGCGCTATGACGTGGGGGCCCCATCCTCCATCACCATCAGCCTCCCAGGCACAGACCCTCAAGACGCGGAGCGGAGAAGGTACTGTGGAATCTTCTGAAACCTTGTCGAGCTAGGAGAGTATTTATTAAGTCACATTCCATCTGTCAGAGTACTTGCTGTATATAGGATGGCGGCCAAGGGTTGGGTGTTGGGGCAGAGTCACAAAGGAGTCATGTGGCCTTGAGACTCAGCATGTAGGTGTCTGGGCTCCAGTAGGTGCTTTCCAACCTCAGGGAATATTGCTTTTCTCACCACTCAGGCCACTTAACAAGTCTCAAGAAATGCCCAGTTTCCTTTGGTGCTGTGTGAGGGGCTAATGGAGAGCCAGGTACACGTAACTGACCTTGTCTCAGAATCTTGGAATCCTAGACATTGGTTCTGTGGAAACCAGAAACAACCTGCTGGTCTATGAGAGGGATGGACAGAGGAGACCTGAGATCCTTAAGAGGCAGTCTGGGCCACCTCAGTTTCCAATTGCTGAACCATGGCCTCTTCCTGGACCTTAATTCATATACTATACTTCTCTGCCACTTACGGAGAGGGAAGCTTGATATTACTAGACTTCACCCACCCTCCTGCAGGTAGACCTGTGTTACCAAACCCAGGGGACAGGCCACGTGACTCCAGAGAATGAAAACAACCTTTTCATTATCTGTAAACCAAGCCATCTGCACCATCAGGAGGCTCATCTGAGTTACTCACTCAGTGTGCCTTGGTCAGGGCAGGACAGATTTTTTTTTTTTAATTCCTCACTCAAGGATATTTTTTCCATTGACTTTTAGATCAAGGGGTGCAGGGGGAAACATCAGTGTGAGAGAAACACATCAGTTGGTTGCCTCCCACACTTGAAATCAACCCTGCAACCCAGGTACGTGCCCTTGACTGGAATTGAACCCATGACCCTCTAAGCACTGAGCCACACCGGCCAAGGCAGGACAGATCCTTTTAAATCCAGTTCTTTCTCTCCCAGGTCTGTGGCCTCACCAGAGTGGTCACAGCTCTGTTTCCAACATTATCTTGAGTATTTTTGAAGCAGTTACTTGTGCAGCGAAATCTGGAGCAGGCTTTGTTCCTGTTTTCTGCATTTGTCAAAGGCTTCTGCTTTTGCTCACCTGTGGAATAGGTTCCAGGCAGCTTTATGAATTCAGCTGAAGAGTTAGCCCTGTGCTTACTCTCCACTGGGGCTGTGGAGTTGAGTGTGGGATATATCCCTTTCTTGAAGGAGTTTCCAGCTGGCAGCACAACAAATCACTGCGGTCCAAGGTGGCAGGTGCTGCAGGGCACAATTGTGGGCCCTACAGTTTGTGTCTCTGTAGCCTGTCTTAACCTTAACTAGCGGAGGTAATGGAGTCAGCAGGGCTGGGCCTAGTAGAAACAGCTGTCCTCGGAGCTCTTCAGGTGGGGCCAGGCCACAGTGGCAGCTCCAGTGCCAGTGAGAGGTCTTGGATTGTTAGGGTTGCCTGGACATTCCAAACACCTCTGCTCAGGCCCAAGAAAGTGGACAGGTGGAGGCAGGTTGGGAGCAGGGGGGAGGGGAGGTAGATTCTTGGCGTAGCCTGATGGTTGTGAACTTACTTGGGGATGGGGTTACTCCTCCAACCACTTTGACATCTGGCTGCATGCCACTCCCAGACCCAAAGGGCTACTAGTAGTGAGCTACAATGTTTCCTATCTCTTACCCTTGTGAGGAGGTGACTAGCAAGCCACTACCTCTTTACCTTGGCAGGCCTTTGACAGAATTGACAAGTCAGTCTCCAAAATGGGAGCCTGGGTAGCAGCAGAGGAAGACTGTCCCGTCTATGCCAACTTGCCATGTGCCGGTCTGGATGAAAGAATGGAAGTGTGCTGGGGCTTTTTGTGCCCATGTCATTGTTGCCTCTCCTGCCATGTTCCCTGACATGGAGATTTCGGTTCTCTGCTAGAACTTGGAAGGCTATACCAACTGTCCCCTATGCTGGTGGCACAAAGAGGTTGAAGCATCAGGCCTACAGTAGCACTGTTGGTAGTGTTACCTGGGAGCATTCCACCTCCTGGTGGGCCAGGGTACCAAGTGCGCATATATACCTTCTTCTGGTGAACTTTCCCACCTCCCCCCAGAAGTGGGTTCTCCAAATCTGCCAGTAGAACCAGGAGGCTTTTGCCTATGCCCTACCTATGTGGGCTGTTTCTCCTTCCTCTCTTCCTGCAAGAACTCAGTGTGTCCCTACTTTAACACGGGCCCTGGTAGCTTTAGGGATTCTTCTGGGAAGGAGAATATTAGAATTGGTTAGGAGGAGTGGGCTTACTCCAGTTGACCCTTCTTCCCAGGCTAAGAGCCAAGGCAGCTGCTTGAATCCCAGCCTCCCCCATAGACCCTTGTGAGGAGGCTCAAAGCACCCCTAACAAGGAGTGGGGGGACAGGTAATCCTCCTCTCCAGTGATAACAGTGTCCAGGCAGAAACTTGTATGTCCAGGGACTTGCCCTTCCACCCATCTGCCTTGGGGCACCAGCTCTGCCCACCCTGACACCACCCTCAGAACCATTCCTGGGGCTGACGTGATGGGCATTCTGGCAGATACCCAGCTGGCCTTCTCAGCCTGGAGGTGCCCTACCTAGCAGGGAAGGCTTTACAGCCTTTGGCTCCTCGTTCTGATAGTACAGTGGGCCCTGGTCCAGTCCCTGGAGAGCCCTGGGCCTGCATGGGGAAGGGAACATAAAATTCTTCTGAGAGGAAACTGAGGGGAGGGGAGTCAGCTTCACGGGGGAAGAAGGTAGGGCATGAGCCAAGTCCAAACCCAGAGTGACCTGTCATCTTTCCTCTGGCCCCAGGCAACTGGCTCTGAAGGCCCTCAACGAGCGACTGAAGAAAGTGGAGGACCAGTCTGTCTGGCCAAGCATGGATGACGATGAAGAGGAGGCTGGGGCCAAGGTGGACAGCCCTGTACCCTCAGAAAAGGTCCCCACACTCCCAGGGAAGGGGGCTGCCCCAGAATCCAGCCTGATCACCTTTGAGGCAGCTTCCCTGAAGCTGTAACTCCAGGCCACCTCGAGTGTAACCTCCTCTCCCACATACCCTTGATACCCTCTGCTACTCTGAGGAGAGGGAAGATGGTCTGCCGGGGGTTTCCACAGCCTTCTGCTACTTCTCGCCAACACTACCCAGGACTCTTGCGACCTGGTTCCAACTCCAGACAACCACTATGTCAGGCATGGGGCCTCCAAAGCATCAGCCAGCTGAGGCCATCTGAGGTAAGACTGCACCTCAGTAGGCAGCCCCAAGCAAGTGGCTGCAGGGACACTGGTGCCACAGCTTCTAGGCCAACCCTCATACCTGATACCGGTTGCCGAGAGCCCTGAGCCAAGGCAAAGATTTGCCAAAAATGTTGGGGGGTCAGCCAGTGCAAGAGCCAGCACAGGGCTGCACATCCCTGCCTACCCCCAGAAGGACTATGTTCACATCAAAATTTCTGGTTCCTTCTGCTGTGGCCACAGCTGTTTCTAAGCCAGAACAGCCACAGCTCCCAGGTATTTTCTACAGGACCACTTGAGCGGGCAGCTGAGCCCAGCTGTGCAGTATCAATAAAGCAGTTATTTGAGGTATGACTCTTGGGCTGTCAGATCACCTTGTGCAGCCCTTTCATCATGCTCAACTACAAAATTAGACAGGGACTTTAGGTTCAAGGGCTCAGTCCCCATGGCAACTCCAGCTGGATAAGAGGCCCACTGCCCCACTCTCTCTCCCCCCTGCCCACTGTCAAGCAACTTTCCAAAGCTGTCACCTCACACCCTTACTCATGTTCTTTCTTCCTTCTATCCCCAGAAGGGGAGGCCTTGCCAGGGGATCTGAGGACAAAGGGCTTCTCTATCATAAGGAATCGTTCTTACCCATGGCTCACCTCCAAGCCGGAGTACTCGGTGCTTGACACTTAAGGAGGCAGCCCATCCCCAGCTCCCATCTTGTCATCGTCCAGATCTAACTAGCACAGTGGGCAGCTGGGAGACTAAAAGGACACACAGCTATACCATTCACAGCCACAGTCCTAGGGCTTTCTAGGGCCCTGGATGGCATGGGATGCTCAGCAGCCAGATCCTGGGGCTTGTGTGCTAGGAGAGCTTCATCCCCTCAGTGAGCAGCCAGGGACAGGATCCCCATGGTGTCCAGCAGCCCCTTTTTCATCCTGATGGTATTAGCGAGAACTATTTCTAACTCTGGGCTATCTCCCCATCCAGTCTTTTCCGTCTTTTTTTTTAGTCCTCACCCAAGGATATTTTTCCATTTATCTTCAGATAGTGGGAGGGAGAGGGAGAGAGAGAAACATCAATGTGAGAGAGACACATCGACTGGCTGCCTCCCACACCACCCCAAACAGGGCCAGGGACGAACCACAACCAAAGTATATGCCCTTGACCGGAACTGAACCCACGACTCATTGGTCCACGGGCCGACACTCTTAACTGCTGAGCCAAACTGGCCAGGGCTTTTCAGTCTTTTTAAAATTTTATTTTACTTTTTTTCTCCTGTAATTTTTTTTCTCCTGTAATTTGTGGACATACCAATACAAGTAGGAGTTGAGCTGCTGGGAAGGCAGTCTTGCAATTCCAGTTTCATCCAGACACATGATCCAAGAGCTCCTCTGGGATGGTAGAGCAATGAGGAAGGAGGAGGCACTCCAGTGTGAGGAGAAGCACAAATGTCACACACAAGACTCAACGTTGAGTGCCCCAGTGTCTGAGGTGTCCCTGTGACCTAGTCAGTTGAAAAACTCCAGGAGGTCCCGGCCCCAGTTCCTACACTGGGGCAAATCCAGGCTTCGAGGCTGAGAAGAGATCATGGCTGAATCCTTTTGCGGTACAAGTAGGCATTGCTCACCTGGTTCATGATGACCAAGCTGGTAATGACAGGGCATAGCATAGCCAGGTACCAGACCCCACCAGTGACTGTGGCAGTGAACCAAAGTGAGCACATGCCCAGCAAGAGGCTGGCACAACCCAGAAGGTAGCCCACTAGCCCAGAAGTGGCATGGTACAGCTTGAGTTTGGCCAGGGGCCACCGGGGCAGCAGTTTGGGGTAGAGGAGCCCCACCCCACCTGAGCACTGCAGCCCTGCCCACAGCACAGCTAGCAGCCCTGCCCGCCCATGCCATGTGGCCAGGTGGGGTTTGCCAAGTTGTTCCTTGTGGAGGATGACAAGGCCCAAGCCCAGCAGTGCACACAGTAGGGCCAGCAACTGGAGTATCCAGTGGCAGCGTGCTCGGCCTTTCCGCGCGAGGGAGCGAAACAGCGAACTCTCAGGAGAGAACACCAGCAATGCCTCGGTCATCAGGAAAGAAAACTGGGGAGACAAGGATGGGAAACGAAGTGAGGGTGCTGCCAGCAGAAGAGAAGAGGGATTTAGATAACCTAAGCTGCCAGTCAATCTGAGCAGATTCCCTTCCATTCTCTCCCCACTGACAGAGTATCCATTTGGTGGGGCAGGAGTGGAAAACTCCACCTGGGACAGAACATCTGCCCTGAGTAACCTGCAAGAGGTACCCCTCCATACCTCTTCCTAGGTGCTATTCTGAAATGACATCTCTGCTCTTACCCAGCAAACACAGGGTTTGAGATGTGGCATTTATAAATGATTTACAAGCTCTGTTTCCCCAACACAGGGCTGGATAGAATTTCTTGGCATAACTGGCCAAGCAGGTGCAGTGTGTCAGGAGAAATTAGATGCATCACTATAAGTTAAGGTAAAAAGGAACAGAGGTGCACCCAAATGCATTTTCTAAGCTTCCTGCCTGGAAGTGGGTGAAGCCTCGTTTTGTGCTTAGACAAACCCCACCCATTTGCCCTGGGTCTTGAATACTCTGGTCCAAGTCTGGGATATATATTTCATGGGCAAGAGTCTGGAACATGCAATTCCAGCAATCCCACATCTTACCCTCAAAACAGATATTAAGTGACCATAAAGATTCAGAGGCCACCAGGGCCACCACCCATATCTATGCTACCTTCCACCCCTAATTGCTGACCAGGCCCACTACTTACAGCCAGAGACATAAGCACAGGGTGCCAGGAGAACAGACCTGGAATGAGAAAAGGAGGCCTTGTGAGTCTAAGGAAGTCGAACCCAGCCACACCAATAACTACAGGCTGAATAGAATAAACTGTCCATCACCCAAGGAAGTGCTGCCAAAAGTCAAGCCCCCTCTTGCTGCAACAAGCTGACCCCATACCTATCCTCTTCCTGATCCCTCCCAGATCAGAGAGGCCATGCTTTACCACTCCTCTGGCAGTCCTCCTTCCTGCCCACCGCATTTGCAAGAGGCTGCCAAGTGGAGCACCAAGGCAAGGAAAGAAGCCAGGTACTCTGGGGCCTGGCCAACCTGCCAGAGCCCCCACACTCATCTACTTCACCCCCCTCAGCCAGGCTTTTCCCAGGAAGATTTCCTACTGCCCTTGCTCCCCAGGAAAAGTGGCACTTTCCTTTCCAGACGTTAATTATAAATTATACTTACTGGAGCCAGGCCTGGCAAGCACAGCCACAAAGATGGTGAAGCCCAGGGCCACAAGGTGGGCAGCAGCCCCAGAGGCAGTGCGTAGAGCTCGATAGATGTGCGACTCCGTCTCCACAGAAAGGGCCATGGTCAACCAGGCCGGTAGCTGTAGCCTGAAAGCATAGTAGAGTAAGCAAGGGTCTCGGATGCCCGCGGTCCACTCCTCTCACTGGAGCAAGTGTTACAGGGCAGGAATGCCACTCTCTTCCAAGAAGTGAAAGTAGAAAGACTGGCACCAACAATAGTCGAGGACCGGCGGCCTGGCAGGCGGCATGTACCTGCATCTGAACTGTGATCACCGGCCCACCTTCCAGGTAGGATGCGCAAAGCCTGTAATAGACTATAAATCCCGGCGTGCACCACGCCGTCGCCAGGCGGGAGCGCCAGCTGACAGGGCCTGAAGCACTACGGGAATTGTAGTTCCCAGCTGTGACCAAATTGCAGCCTGAAGCCCTTCGCGCGCAGCCTCCTCACTGCCGCAGGCATGCTTCCCCTCCACGCTAGGGATTCGCCTGCCTCACCCGCAGCGCCGACCGGACGCGGTGATTTCCTCCCGAGAAAGCGGAATACTCTGAACCCTGCCGCGCGAGCCGCCGCTCCGTCGCGGAGCCGCTCACTTCCGGGTGTGACGACTGCCCACCCGGGACTTCCTGGGACGAGCCCCCTCCACAGCCACGCCTCTGAGCCGCTCTGCGCAAGCGCTGTTGAGCCGCCGGGTTCATGGGTGTGTGAGTGCGCAGGCGTGCTTGACTCGGTGGCGAGGCCTTGGAGCTTCTGAGAGGTGTTCCCAGAGGTCCCGGGTCCCACGAGCGCCATGGGCAGCGGCTGCCGCATCGAGTGCATATTCTTCAGCGAGTTCCATCCCACGCTGGGACCCAAGATCACCTATCAGGTGCCATGAGGCTCGCGGGGTCGGTGAGGAAATAGGGACGCTCTCGGGAGCTCATCCTGCTGTCGAAGCGGTGGATCCCCGTCCCCGCGCCGCACGCAGGCTCGCTACTCTCATTCGCGGAGAATCGTGAACCGAGAGGATACTCAGACCCAGGTCCCAGACTCCTAGCGTGGCGGAGCAGACAAACATCACATAGGCAGTGATTGTGGGAAATCGGCCTATGGGGGTGCCAGGTCCCACCAGAGGTGGCGGTGGGTGGTCCATTAGTATCCCTGGATGCATAGGCATTCAGGTGAGTGAGGAGAGAGTGTGCCAGATAGAGGAAACAGCATGTGCAAAAGCCAGAAAGCAAGTGAGAGCATAACATGTGTTTGGAAACAAAGGAGTAGTAGGCTTGGGTGGATGGGAGAGAGGAGAAACGCTGGAGAGGAGGGCTTAGGTCTTAGGAAATTTCCTGTTTACCCTGCCTAGTACCAAGGTCCGCTATGGAGCCTTTTGCCACTTCCCTTTCCAGGTTCCTGAGGACTTCATCTCCCGGGAGCTGTTTGACACAGTCCAGGTGTACATCATCACCAAGCCAGAGCTGCAGAACAAGCTCATCACTGTGTGAGGCCCTAGCTGAGGTGTTCCCGGGAGGAGTGGACAAGCTTGAGAGTGGGAGGAGCCTGACTCTGTTCCCATCTGTTCCCCTATCTAGCACAGCCATGGAGAAGAAACTGATCGGCTGCCCTGTGTGCATCGAGCACAAGAAGTATAGTCGCAATGCCCTGCTCTTCAACCTGGGCTTTGTGTGTGATGCCCAGGCCAAGACCTGTGCCCTTGAGCCCATTGTCAAAAAGCTGGCAGGCTACCTGACCACACTGGAGGTCTGCAACACGATGGGCTTGGGTGGATGGGCAGGCAGAGTTGGGGAAGGTATTCACATGTCTCCAGAGCCCTTCAGACCCAGGAAACTGCTAGGGCAGGATGCCAGCCAGGGGTCCTGGGGTGTGCCCACCATGATATCCATGCTCCATCCAGCTAGAGAGCAGCTTCGTGTCAACGGAGGAGAGCAAGCAGAAGTTGGTGCCCATCATGACCATCTTGCTGGAGGAACTAAATGCCTCAGGCCGGTGTACTCTGCCCATCGGTATGCTATGGCCCAGCCTCTGCAAAGACAGCGGAGGGGTAGAGGAGGGATAGGAAAGTGATGGGATGGTGAGCCCAGCCAAGGACAAGATTCGTGAACAAATTTGTGGCCAGGAAATAGCTATGAGCAGAGTTGATGATGTCCAGGGTCCAGTGCACGATAAGGATGGGGATGGGGCTAGGGTGGCCAGCAGAGCTCTCCAGCTCTGTTCCATGGGCATTTCCCTTCTCTGGGTCTCAGTCTCTCACTTTATAAAAGGAGAAGATTGGCGCTACCCAGAGCCACCTGCCTGCCTCAAGGGTTGCTGGAAAGACTGAATGGTAATTGAGGTTGAAGGCCTCTTGAAAGAGATGGCACTGAGAATATGGGTGGATTCCCTGCAGATGAGTCCAACACCATCCACCTGAAGGTGATTGAGCAGCGGCCTGACCCTCCTGTGGTTCAGGAGTATGATGTTCCCGTCTTTACCAAGGATAAGGAGGATTTCTTCAACTCACAGTGGGACCTCACCACACAACAGGTGTGCTAGCCCTCCCTGGGCATTATACCCGAGGCAGGCCACATCCTTGGCCTCATCCCACCCCTACTGACTTTTCCCTGCTCTGCCCAGATCCTGCCCTACATCGATGGTTTCCGTCACGTCCAGAAGATCTCAGCTGAGGCTGATGTGGAACTCAACCTCGTGCGCATCGCCATCCAGAACCTGCTGTGAGTGGAGCAGCATTCACACCCAGGATAGGGTTGCTAGCCAGGGAAGAGCCCAGGGGCCCTAAGTATGGGGGCTGAGAAGGCATGGCCCTCAGAAGCTGAGCACAGCTATCTCTCTCAGGTACTATGGCGTTGTGACCCTGGTATCCATCCTCCAGGTAGGTGAGTCTGGGGTCTGGTTTCGTGGAGAGTGGATCATGTGGCTGGGCCAGACTGGGGCTATGTCAGACTGTCAAGCCCCTCACTCAGGCCCCTGTGCCTCCTGCTACCTTCCTCCAGTATTCCAATGTGTACTGCCCGACACCCAAGGTCCAGGACCTAGTAGATGACAAGTCCCTACAAGAGGAGTGTTTATCCTATGTGACCAAGCAAGGTAATGGTGGGCTCTGGGGAGGCCATCTCGGGGAGGGCAGGGCTACCTGGAGAGCTGACCCCTGGCCTCCACAGGGCACAAGAGGGCCAGTCTCCGGGATGTGTTCCAGCTGTACTGCAGCCTGAGCCCTGGCACTACTGTGAGAGACCTCATTGGCCGCCACCCCCAGCAGCTGCAGCGTGTTGATGAACGGTCAGAGGGGATTTCCTGGGGTGTGAGGGGTTTGCCCGAAGACAGATACACCCTGTCTGTCTCTTTGGAGCCCTGGGTTAGAGAGAAAGCAGGAGATTCCTAGTGAACAGATCATGAGGCACTGCTAGTCCAGGCAAGCTTCCTGGAGGTGATGGGCTTGGAAGCCAGTCTGGTCACTGAAACAAGTGGAGGGGAGACTGCAGGAAAAGATTGGCCTGGTGGAAGTAGGCCTACCCACAGCATTACCCCATCTCCTTCGACCTGTACCCCAGGAAGCTGATCCAGTTCGGGCTTATGAAGAACCTCATCCGGAGACTACAGAAGTACCCTGTGCGGGTATCTCGGGAGGAGCGTAGCCACCCTGCCCGGCTTTACACAGGCTGTCATAGCTACGATGAGATCTGCTGCAAGACAGGTAGAGGCAGCCAGGACAACTGGGGTGGGATCTGGGCAGGGTGGCCAAGCCAGGTGTGCTGACGTCACCTCCACCATCCAGGCATGAGCTACCAGGAGCTGGATGAACGGCTGGAAAATGACCCTAACATCATCATCTGCTGGAAGTGAGGCTGGTGGGGGCGGGACACAGCTGCAGCTATTCTCTCCTGCTAAGCCCTACCTGGTGCATGAGGGCTAGACCAGCAGACTGGTCCCTCCTGCCTCAATGTTGACTGTCACTTCTGTAAATAAAGTCATCCATTTCAACCTCCCTTGACTGAATACCACCTCTGAGCCAGACACCAGAGAACCTGCGGTGAGTGACAGAGCCATGGTCCTGGTGCCCTGGAGCGCCATCTGGTGCATAAGGCAGATAATGGACAAGTAAATGTGCCCGCTATTTTTTTTTTTTTTTTTTTAATTTTTGTTTTTATCCTCACCCGAGGACATTTTTCGATGCTTTGTTCAGATAGAGTGGGAGGGAGGGAGAGAGAGAGAGAGAGAAACATCTGCGTGAAAGGGACACATCGAGTGGTTGCCGCCCACACAACCAAACTAGGGCCGGGGACAAACTACAACCGAGGTATGTGCCGTTAGCGGGAACCGAACCCGGGTCTCTCTGGACCACAGGCCAACGCTCCAACCACTGAGCCAGATCAGCCAGGGCTTAAATATGTTTTTATTGATTTTTTTTGTGTAGAGAGAGAGAAACATCAATGTGAGAGACATGGATCAGCTGCCTCCTGCACTCCTTCTACTGGGGATCCAGCCCGCAGTGCCTGCTATTTTTAAAAGTTAAGAAACAGCCCAGCCCTGGCCAGTTTGGCTCAGCGGTTAGAGCGTCGGCCTGCGGTCCGGAGAGACCCGGGTTCGGTTCCCGCTAGGGCGCGTACCTCGGTTGCAGTTTGTCCCCGGCCCTGGTTGGTCGTGCGGGTGGCAGCCACTCGATGTGTCCCTTCACGTCGATGTTTCTCACTCTCTCTCCCTTCCTCTCTCTCCCTCCCGCTCTGTCTGTACAAAAAATTGAAAAATATCCTCGGGTGAGGATAAAAAAAAAAAAAAAAAAGAAACAGCCCAGCCGGTGTGGCTCAGTGGTTGAGCCTCCACCCATGCACCAAGAGGTTGCGGGTTCGATTCCTGGTCTGAGCACATGCCCAGGTTGTGGGCCCAATCCCCAGGGTGGGGCATGCAGGAGGCAGCCAGTTGATGTTCTCTGTCATCGATGTTTCTATCTCTCTCTCCCTCTCCCTTCCTCTCTCTGAGATCAATAAAGAAAAAGAAAAAAAAAACTAAGAAAATCAGAAAGCTGTGATGAAGGGTGAATTGGGATGGGAGCTGGGATGGCTCTGGATTAGATAGGCAAGGAAGGCCTCGCTGGGGTGACTTAAACTGAGCCCTTAAGGAGGAAGCGAATTCCAGGCAGAAGGAACAGGTACGGAAACCCTGAAGCAAAACCACTTAGGAATGTATAAGGAACCCGAGGCCCATGGGGTGGAACATTGGAAGCAAGGGGAGGGGCAAGAAACAAAGTCCCGAAAAAGGAGAGGAAGCAAGAGCCTGATACTGCGAGCTGCTGGCGAGCTGCTTTGGACGTAGTATTTGAGGGCCAGAGGCAACCATAGAGTCACCCTCCAATAATGGCTCGTGTACACCTTTAAAAGTCCAGTAAAAAGACCCAGCTGTAACCTCATGCGAGGTGATGGTAGCTTGCACTAAGATGGAGAAAAGTTGTGGGCCCTGCACAGTATTTCGGGGGTCCAGCCAACAGGTGGAGCTGGGTGCGAGGAAGCCCTGAACAGGAGCTTCGGTGTGGGCTGGCTGTGAGGAGGAAAGCATCCCTGCTGGGGAGGTCCGCCGGGCGCAGGCTCCGGGAGGGGGCGGGCCCATGACGCAGACGCTAGCTGGCCAGCCGTTTCCATGACGGCGAGGCCCACGCGCGCCAACAGTTCAGCAACTGTCGGGCCTTAGACTTCAGCCCCGCCGGATGCCAGAGCCTGTCGGTAACCCCACCTCAGCGCCGGTTGCTGCCCCGGGTCAGCCGAACCCCGCTTTTTCTGGCCCCAGCCCCGACATGGGCGACCTGGAGCTGCTGCTGCCTGGGGAGGCTGACGTGTTGGTGCGGGGACTTCGTAGCTTCCCGCTGCTCGACATAGGCTCCGAAGGGTGAGGCAGCTGAATCAAGGGTCAGGCCGAGTCATGGGGTCAGAGCCCTTGAGTAGGGGGAATTCCGACATTGGGGGGAGGGGTTGTCTGGTATGGAGGGGCCCCAGGTGGGGAGGTAGAGTTCTTCAAGATAGGGGTATATGGTCCTGCGCCCTCTCTGACCCCTCAGGATCAGGTTAGGCTTCAATGGGACTCAGCCCCAACCCCACTCCTACCGCACACATGTGCACCCAAATGCACACACACACACACCCTCTGGGGCAGGTGGAACCAGCAGCATGAGAACCTGGAGAAGCTGAACATGCAGGCCATCCTTGACGCTACGGCCAGCCAGGGTGAGCCCATCCAGGAGCTGCTGGTCACCCATGGGAAGGTACGCTGGGGTCACAGGCAGGGCTCCTGCCTTCCCCCAACCCCCATCCCACCACTTCTCCCTCAGAAGCACCCTGGGTATCTCTTCTTCCCTTCAGCTGGTATACCTGTCCTTTCCAAAGGGGGAGGAGTGCATCACACATGTGATTTTGCACCCCTATTGGACACGACCCTGGCATGCCAGGTTGGGTGCAGAGTGTGGGTCGACAGGGACACAGTCATGGATCCTACTACAACAGCTAGACTACAGAGGAAGGGCTCAATTTCTAAAGGCATTCCTGAATAGACTTTTAGATTGGAGAGGGTCCCCACTGAAGTGGGGGTGGAACTTGGGCAGAAAAGGAGGCAGCCTTCCCAACTTGAGAGAGAGGGTGTTAGAAACCAGGATGGGCTTGGCTGGAACATGAACCAAGAGGTGGCACTAGTAGAGGACCTGAGATATCACTTGACAGAAGGGTTCCTCTGCAAGGAAAAAATGAAGACACCTCCTCCTCTGGAATGGGGCACTTGAAGTGCCCTGGCTAAGGATGAAATCAAGGCACACAAGAGCCTTGGAAGGCCAGAGGATTGGGACAAGAGGGAGAGCATGAGCAGGAGGGCTGGCCTGAGAGATACCTGAATGGGGGAAAAGGGGACAATGGCACATATACAGGGAGAACAAGGCAAGGACCAGTCACAGGAAGCATGGGGGAATGTCCCCACAGAGATGTCAGAAACAGCTAGAAATGAAGGTCAAGGTGCAGGAAGGTACTCATGGGGCATAGAAGAGTCTAAGGGGTCCAGGGGTGTTTGATGAGAGCTGGACTAGGCTGAGCCAGGGATGGGAGGGTTGCCAGGCAAAGGGAGGCCTACCTCACCCCTGTCCTTTCCCATCCCCGCAAAGATCCCGACGCTGGTGGGGGAGCTGATTGCAGTGGAGATGTGGAAGCAGAAGGTGTTCCCTGTGCTGTGCAAACTGGAGGACTTCAAGCCCCAGAACACTTTCCCCATATATATGGTGGTGAGCTGGCCCCTGGCTCACACCCCGCCCACCCTGTCAAAGGGCCCTGGACTAGAGAGGATAGTTGACAGTCCCTATCCCTTCATTAGTAGCCCTGGACCCTGTTCTCTTCTTTATTTGCCAGGTACACCATGAGGCTTCCATCATCAATCTCCTGGAGACCGTATTCTTCCATAAGGTGAGGTGCCGGTCCTACCCACTCGCCACTGCCCCAGACCAGGGCCTGGTGGCATGAGGGACTGTGTCTGGGGATGGGGGCACCAGAGAGAATGTTTCCACTCTGCCTGCCCCCAGGAGGTGTGCGAGTCAGCAGAGGATACCGTCTTGGATCTGGTGGACTACTGCCACCGCAAACTGACACTGTTGGTGGCCCGGAGTGGCCATGGTGGCCCCCCTGAGGAGGAGGAGTTCCAGTATAACACCCCCATGAAGGTGAGTTGAGGTTCCCTGGGGTTGGCAAGGGCTAGACCCAGGCTCCCCCAGACCTGAAAGCCACACACTCCCCAGGAGCTCCAGAAGCAGGCAGAGCTGATGGAATTTGAGATCGCGCTGAAGGCACTCTCAGTGCTCCGCTACATCACTGATTGTGTGGACAGGTGGGCTGCCCTGCCCAGCCTGGGCCCTGCAGTGGAGGCCTGGGAGGCTGGGCCTGCCGCCTCTACTCACCTTCCTCCACCCTCGCCCCTAGCCTTTCCCTGAGCACCCTGAGCCGCATGCTCAGCACCCACAACTTGCCCTGCCTCCTGGTGGAACTGCTGGAGCACAGTCCCTGGAGTCGGAAGGATGGAGGTAAGGTCCTCCTCCACCTGCCTAAGCCCCAGCTAATGGCTTCCAGGACATCCTCCAGGATTGATGGGGGTAGGCAGCTTGCACACAGGTAGGCGAACTCTGTCCCCTAACCCACAGTGAGTATCAGGATGGCTCATCCAAAAGTGGGCCTAGACTGGGCTCTGCAGCAGGCAGGGCCCATGTGTCCACTACTGAGGACTCACTATGCTTTGGAGTGAACAGCCCCACAGCGTGGGCAACTCCTGTGCCCAGGGCAGTGGTCAGTCCCCCAGCCCACGCAGCTGGCTCACTCAAAGAGCAAGCAATGTCTGCGCCCAGTATGCTGCTTCCTCTCCCCAGGCAAGCTGCAGCAATTTGAGGGGGGCCATTGGCAAACAGTGGCCCCTTCAGAGCAGCAAAAGATGAGCAAGTTGGACGGGCAGGTGTGGATTGCCCTGTACAACCTGCTGCTGAGTCCCGAGGCCCGGGCCCGCTACTGCCTCACAAGCTTTGCCAAAGGACAGCTACTCAAGGTAGGGAAACTCCTCCCTCACCACCCCCAGCACTGACCTTATGCCATCTCTGTTATTTGTCTTTGCCCACCCACCTCAGCCCCAGTCCTGTTTCCAAGACCCTGGGCCTCAGGAAACAGTAGTTGTGGGACATGGGCCCCGAAGGTACACTCAGCCCAGCCTAGGCCCTCCCTGTTCCTTGACCCTCTGGTCAGTACCATTTCACATTGGCCTCCCCTGCACACCCTTGCAGCTTCGGGCCTTCCTCACAGATATATTGCTCGACCAGCTGCCCAACCTGGTAGACCTGCAGGGTTTCCTGGCCCAGCTGGCCCTGGCCGAACCCCAGCCCCCTAAGAAGGACCTGGTATTTGAACAGGTAGGCAATAGGAAGTTAGTTGCTCAGGACCACTGCCCACTTTGCCAGCTCCTCCCTACCACTCTCCACTTCTCTCCCCCAGATTCCAGAAATCTGGGAGCGGCTAGAGCGAGAGAACAAAGGCAAGTGGAAGGCTATTGCCAAGCATCAGCTGCGGCATGTATTCAGCCCCTCAGAGCAGGACCTCCGGCTGCAGGCACGAAGGTAAGTCTTGCTGGGCTGGCAGACAGCATGGAAGGGATGCAGAAGACATGGACGTGGGCAGGGGTTCTCCTGTGCCCCCACCCACCAGGCCCAGCCATGCTCTCCTGCCCCCTTTCCCAGGTGGGCTGAGACCTACAGGCTGGATGTGCTAGAGGCAGTGGCTCCAGAGCGGCCCCGCTGTGCCTACTGCGGTGCAGAGGCCTCCAAACGCTGCTCACGATGCCAAAATGAGTGGTATTGTTGCAGGTGAGGGTATCCTAGGACTTGGGCCCCCAAACCCCACTCCCACACCCCCCACAAGCACTGCATCTCACTGGCCCACTTGCCTGCAGGGAGTGCCAAGTCAAGCACTGGGAGAAGCATGGAAAGGTTTGTGTCCTGGCAGCCCAGGGTGACAGAGCGAAGTGAAGGCTGCAGCTGCTGAGGGCTGACCACCAATGCCATACCACCCAGCTAGAAGGTGCCTCTGAACCTCAGGATTTCAACCTGGCCTCTGCAAGAGCCCCAGCCTCCCAGGTGGTGAGGAGAGCTGGTAGGGTGGAGCTGCTGTCCCATCTCCTCCAACAAAGCGCTCCCCACTTCCTGCCCCACCCAGCGGGCATGCTTAGGGCGCTGCTGCCTCAGCTGGGGCAGGCTGGGGCAAGGGCGAGGGCCGGATGTGGGGACCCTCTTCCTCTTGCAGTGTAAAGCTGGTCTCCAGAAATACGCCTGTCTCCCGCGTGGTCCTTTGCCCTCCTCGCCGTTGTCCTGAGGGGGAGGAGAGTTGCTCTGGGGATGAAGGGAGGGCGGGGACTTCTGCCGTCGCCCCTGCTGCCCCACTCAGCCTGCCGGTCGGCTGTCACAGCCCTGGCGCCCAGGTTTCCATTGCGCCGCTCTCCTCAGCTCTCTGCGGCTCTGCCTGGATCTCCGGGGCGGTGCTGCATCGGGGCCCGCCCCACGGTCCCGCCCGCCCCACCATCTCTTACTCCCAGAACTGGCCGGAGCAGGGCGGACCGGGCCATGTCCGCTGAGCCTGAGTTCATTGAGCTGCGGGAACTGGCACCCGCAGAGCGCTCCGGCCCAGGTCGCACCCGCCTGGAGCGTGCCAACGCGCTACGCATCTCCCCGGGCACAGCGCGAAACCCAGCAAGGCAGCCGGTCCGGGGCCGTGGCCACCGCTTCCAGCCTGCGGGGCCCACCACGCACACGTGGTGCGACCTCTGCGGTGACTTCATCTGGGGCGTCGTGCGCAAGGGCCTGCAGTGCGCGCGTGAGTAGCAGCCCCAAATGCTAGTTAGAGCGAGATGGAGTGGTTAAAAGACAGCACTGTCTCTGCGGGTCAAGTTGCCACGGAGGGGGTAGGCTGGGACATCTCTGAGGACCAGGTCCATTACTTTACCCCATCACCGAAGAGAGTGTGGGCACACGTTTTATGTTCTTGCCACACTGCACCTGCGTCGGGGGCACAGCTGGGTAGAAGCAGTTGCCTGTGTGTACCTTGGCCCTTTTTGAGAAAGGCTTTTTGCCTACCAGTCTCTTAAGTCCATATTCCCAGGCCTGAGCCTTCCCAAAGATTCATTCACCATGTCCCCTCCCAGGATACCTGGGGTGAAAGGAATTTACCCACCTATGGGAGGGACCCTGGAAAAAGTTAGAAACTTGGGTGGGTCTCCTGAAAGCAGGAATTTTGTTGCCTTCATATAGCAAACACCTATCACAGACCAAGTCACCCAGGTGCTAAAACGTGAAATATAGCCACCCACATACCTGAGGTCCTTCTGCCCTCCCTGGTACCAACAGTAAGCAGAGGTTGCTCTCCCACTGGTTATTCACCAGCTAGAATGCTTTTGCAGCCCTCCAAAACCCTATGCTTGGCCCAGACCTCAGACCTGTTGAATTGATCACTGGGAGTATATCGACTTTTAAAAACATCTTTCTAGCCCTGGACGGTTTGGCTCAGCGGTTGGAGCGTTGACCTGCGGACCAGAGAGTCCTGGGTTTGGTTCCCACTAGGGGCACGTACCAAAAAAATAAAAATAAAAATAAAATAAAAAACACCTTTCTAGTGTGCAGCCTAGGCTAAAAATCACTGCTCTGGTCCATTTAAGAACTTAAGGAAGATGTCCTAGGCCTGTCTGTGTGTGCATGAAGACCCTCACACCCAGTACAGAAGCCTGTCCTGAATTCAGCTGGGAGCAGAACGGGAGGTGTGACAGAATACAAAACATGAACAAGGGCTGGGACCTTGCAATGTTCCCCAGAAATAAAGTGACCAAGGAAATGAAAAACAGGACAATTTGGGTGTGTGTCAGAGGCAGAAACATGGCGGAATCAATGATGAGTTGGGTTTTTTTGCCTCAAACAACTGTGAGAATAGCAATTTTTACTGATATAAGGAACTCTAGTGAGGGTCAAGTGAGGGGAGAAAAGTGAGATAAATTTTGGCGTTGTTGGGTTGAAATATTTACTAGACACCCAAGTGAAGGTACTGACGCATAGGATTTGACCGGAGGGGGAACTCAGTGATGGACGCCTTGGATCTGGGGTGGGGTGAGGGTACACAGAGCAGGGCAGTGATCCAGACTGAGTCTCCATGGCACTCCTCCATCAGATCTGGGAGTTGAGACAGAAACAAAGGAGCTCAGCAGGAGCTGTGGGGAAGTAGGAGAAAACCGGGGCCGTGGGCGCCCCGGGAACCGATGGGAGCAGCATCAAACCATTCGGGATTCAGCAGTGTACAGGTTGCTGGAACCCTGACCAGGGCGGTTTCCCGGAGAGAGGGGCAGGCCTGACTGCAATGAGTCCATGTAGATCAGAGTGTTAGGGGGGCAGAGGGAGGGGGCTGACAATGTGGATGGGGTAAATTCTGCGCTAGGCGGTGGGGCTTCCACTGTTGAACAGGCCTGGATCCGTAACCACCTGAGGCCGCCCGCCTGTTTACAGACGCCAGGACTAGAATCTGTGTAACTGTGGGCGGTAATGGGGCCTCAAATAAAGCCAGTTAGGTCAGGGCCTTCACCCTGCGGCTTCTCTTCCGTCCCTGGGACCCTTCTGGGAGCTGGAGCTGGGGCTCCTCCGCCTCACGGCCACGCTTCTCTGCAGACTGCAAGTTCACCTGCCACTACCGTTGCCGTGCTCTCGTCTGCCTGGACTGCTGCGGCCCCCGGGATCTTGGCTGGGAACCAGCGCTGGAGCGGGACACGAACGTGGTGAGTTTGGGTCCTGGGCGCACAGGCGAGGCAGGGGCACGCAGCGAGCGGCCCCGTGCCGGGCGTAGCTTAGGGCTGGCCCTCCTGACGCACAAGGAGCGTTCTGACCGGACTTCCCGCGGCAGAGTGGCCACCACGCGCGGGCTCGAAGGGGTGCTGGAGTGCTGCCTCCGCTCGGACTGTCCCAGCCACCCAGGCCCGCCGCCCGCGCAACTTCCGCACCTTTCCGCATCCGGTCCTGAGGCCACGCTGGTGCACATGCGTACACGCACAGACCCGCCGACTGCTTCCCCAAGGGAAGTGAGACCTGCGGGCGGAGCTGAGCTCAGCTGCCCCGGCGATGAGCTCATTCCCGGGGGCGAGGCGCGCGTGGCCCCGCCCCTGAGCGTTCCTCCCCCAATGAGAAGAGAGCAAGATAGACCCTGCCGCCGCGTTTCAGCGGTTAAGGTTGCCGCGCTGACTCTGGCCCCGGCGCACGCGCACAGCGACGCGTGCTCGCGCTTGGGGCGGTGGTTGGAGGCTTCGGGAGCTCAGGGCTCGGTGAGTTAGCTGGCCGGGGGCGCAGCGATGGGCGAAGCGGACGCGGGGACGCCCTCCTTCGAGATGACCTGGAGCAGCACGACAAGCAGTGGCTACTGCAGCCAGGAGGACTCGGACTCGGAGCTTGAGCAGTACTTTACGGCGCGTACCTCGCTGGTGCGCCGGCCGCGCCGGGACCAGGTGGGGGCCGGAGGTGGTGGGCAGCGGGCCTGGGGCGGTCACTGGGACCCCACCCCTCCCCGGTGAGTTTCCCTGTGGAGAGTTTGTGGGCAGCCCCGCGCTCCCGTCAGCCGGATCCCGGGTCAGTTTGGGGCCAGCTGGTGGAACATGTGTCTCGGGCTCTCAGCGCCTCGGCACTGGGTGCCTGAGGCCTTGTTCTCTGTCACATACCGGTTGGACCAGGGGCAGCAGCTACGTGGCTTGGGGTAGTCCAGGGACGGGCATTTTCCGCCCATGACTAAAGCCGACTACGCAGTCTGGACCAGTACCTCGATTTCCGCGTTCGGGCGCACCCACCCGCCCTGGGAAGAAACCAGGAGGAGGAAGTGGAGAGGGAGGAGTCCTCGCAAGGAATCGAGAAGGGTTTTTAGGAGAGAGGCGAGGATGGTTTTCGCCCCTCCATATACACTCCTGGATGGGACCAGCTGAATCTCCACCTCTTGCCGGCCCTGGCCTGTCACCAGCTGCTGGAATGTGGAGGGTTCTGATCCCCACTCTGGAGTGGATCTGGAGTGCCCCCTTTGGGAGCACATATGCTAAAATTGGAGTGGGTCGGGATGTATGGGATTTGGGAATGGATGGGAAGCAAGCCTTGTTTTGGACTGTAAGCATCCCGGAGCATTTTATCCGCAAGAGGTGGGGAAGGCTGGATTGTAAAATACCAGAGGGAGGGGTCAAGAGAGAGGAGTTACTAATCCAGGACTATAAAGTGTGGTGCTGGAGCAGCTAGGCCTCGGGTAGTCTCCTAGGTGTCCCCTTTCTTAGAGACCTCTGCCGTGTGCCATGAGTGCTACGGCCAGGCTCAGATGACTAACTGTTCTGGAGCTGGTACACCTCAGGGGAGCACTGTGGCAAGAGCATCAGGAAAGATGGGGACTGTGAAGCTCAGTATATATGGCAGCAATGGATTAGAATTCCTTACATGAGCCAAGAGAAGGGAGTTGTGGATATTTCTTTAGATGAACATTTTATACCACAAAACCTCAGCCCAGAGCTTGCATGCAAGGTTTGAGTGTGGATCCCTGAAACTCTCATGCCTGAGCCATTTTGTGGAAAGGTGAGAAGACCACAAGACACTAACCAATTGAAAAGGAGGCTGGGAAGTCTCCAGCTGTATGTAAAATAAGACCATGCGCCACTATGGACAGTGGCAGAGTGGAAGGTGGGTTGCTGTGGTGTAAGAGATGGGAAATTCCATGGTACTGCGGTGCAACCCTCTGGGATGGCTGTTGGAATCCTCCTCCACCAGGCAACTTTGGAAGCAGAAAAAGAAACTCTTCCTCCTCTAAAATCCTGGTATGGAAAGTACAGTGCCTCCCGTCCATGTCCCTTGTATTATGAGTAAATAAACCTAGAGAGGTTCACCTGGAGAAGGAAGGGCTGCATCCCAGTCCAGGGCCCCTGAATTACTTGAGAAGGGAAGAGGAAGGAGCAAATTTTCTCTTTTCCAAGCTGGAGCTCAGAGCCATCACAAGGAAGGGGAATAAGTTAGTGCCATCCCTGTGCCCACCCTGCTCTATCAACAGAATTATCTTCCTTCCTGCCCTGGCACTACAGTCTGCTCAGCTTTCCTCTTGTTGCTCAGCATCCCTCTCATCCTGGCACTCCTCATTGGGGCATTCTTTTCAGTCCTAGGCCCTCTCCTTGGGCCTGAACAACATTTACACCCTTTATTCCCAGCCTCCACAACATTTGTTCTTACAAGCCTTATGGGGTTTCCCACAGTCCTCAACAAGGTTTGTGCTCGAGTTTTCACTTCTCGATGCTCTCCTTCATCCAGGATACCTTTGGAAGCTTGAGAGAGCAAACAGGCTTCAGTTCCCACCTCTCTCCCAATACCTTTTTCCTGGAACCCCAGCCTTAATCCTCAGCAGCAAGTTTTTGGTAAAGAGCACAGCTAAAAGACTGTGAACTCTACCCTATGCCCTCATCTGTCTTCCTGTTTTGTCCCCATCAGATGGTTTAAGCTTAGGGGACTCCAAAGCAGCAGTCAGGGAGAAGCTTGGCTGTCCTGGGCACAAGGTTATTCTTGTGGGAACTCCCTTGGAACTTGGGACAAGGCATTAGTCATCTGTGATCTCAGCTGTGCTTGTGACACTCCCATTCCAAGTAGGGCCTATCTGACATCAATAGGAAAGGAAGTAAGGCTGATGCAATGGGGCCAAGGGAGTTTGGTAGAAGAAAGTTCATTCAGTGCCCTGTCTGCCCTTGTCCATACTCCACCTTTCCGATAAGAATCTAATTCCTGGAGGCTGCGTGGTGGAGCTGTAATCTTTGCACTAAATATCCACACAACAGGGAGGAGGCGCAGCAACCTACCTTCTTGGCATTTGTGGGACTGACTCTACCAAGATGCTACCTGTTCACCTGTGGCAGATTTGGAACCTTGCCTGAAGCTACCTTTTGTGCAGCCTGGGTCAAGATCAAATGGCATGATCACTTGTCATTTGGTTTCCTCACTATGTCTGAGACATGCAGGGCTCGCCCCAGGTCCTCTGCCAAGGGGTGTTCATGTCGTAGAGGTTGCCCTTCCCCTTCTGTCCACTGGTGGCAGGGCTCCTGATGTGCACCAATCCTCACACTTCTCACCCTACAGTGGGTCTTGGCCCTTTGCCAGAGCAGAGTGGCAAAGCGGGCTTCCTTCTTCAGGACACACCAGCCCCACCTACGAAAGTGCTGGGACCAGTCTGTGCAGTTGAGAGTTAGTTTCACTGTAAATTAGAGTTCTTCCTCTTTTCCTGGCCCCGGGCCTTGTGCCTTTAGTTGCCTTGGTTTTAAAGTACCCTTAGGGCCTCACCCAGACTGTTCCCAGTCAGCGGGCAAAGAGGAACCAAATGATTCTGCCTTTGTTGTCTTCATCCATAGCTTGCAGGACCAGGAGCAGTGATGGGTTCTTCTCAACAGACTTGAGATTTATCAGTTTCCAAAGGCTACCCCAGAGCCCTTTTTTTCAGAGTGGCCCACCCAGGGCTTACCTCTCTGCCTGTGACATGCATTGTAGTGGGCAGGGTTCCTCAAGGGTGCGTGCTGACCCATCTTTCAGGACGAGCCTGTGGAGTGGGAGACACCTGACCTTTCTCAGGCTGAGATTGAGCAGAAGATCAAGGAGTATAATGGCCAGATCAACAGCAATCTCTTCATGAGCCTGGTGAGTAACAGCCTGGGAAGGGGTGTGGAAAGAGGCAGGAACCCAGCTGTGTGCCAGATGTCCAAAAGGTCACAGCTGAGGTATTCTTGGGTGGGTCCAAGCAGTGATTTCTTCACACCCAGCCAAGCGCCATGTGAACTAGCAGTGCCCAAATCAGTTCCTTCTCACCTGGAACCTAGTCATGGTTTGGTTTTTCTTCTTCAGAACAAGGACGGCTCCTACACAGGCTTCATCAAGGTTCAACTAAAGTTGGTGCGCCCTGTCTCAGTGCCCTCCAGCAAGAAGCCACCCACCTTGCAGGATGCCCGGCGGGGCCCAGGGCGGAGCACAGCCGTGAGGCGCCGCACCTCCTTCTACCTACCCAAGGATGCTGTCAAGCACCTACATGTGTTGTCACGCACACGGGCACAAGAGGTCATCGAAGCCCTGCTGCGCAAGTTCTTGGTAGTGGATGACCCCCGCAAGTTTGCGCTTTTTGAGCGTGCTGAGCGCCATGGCCAAGGTGGGCTTTCCACCTCACCACACCTTGTGTGAGGGTATATATGCATGCACCTGTGCATGGAGGGGCTAAGGGAGCTGGGCCTCACTAATCAAACACTTCCTTCCCCTGCCTGGCCTTCAGTGTGCCTCCGGAAGCTGTCAGATGATGAGCAGCCCCTGCGGCTGCGGCTCCTTGCAGGGCCCAGTGAGAAGGCCCTAAGCTTTGTCCTGAAGGAGAATGATTCTGGGGAGGTGAATGTGAGTACACAACCCTCTTTCATTTCTTGGTTGTCGCTAGGCAGGGTTGATGGGTTGCAGCTACAGTAAGGCTTAGAGGAGGAATAGGGTAGAAGGGCAGGCCCTACAACACCTCTCTAGGAGTGTGTGAGCCTGGTGGCTAAAGTGAAGGTTTCCTGGCCATTAATGCCAAGGTCTAGGGTCTGTCTCAAGAAGCCAGGGAGGATTGTCTTGGTACTCTGCTCTTTCACATTGTGGAAAGTCCTTAGGAGGTGCAGGAGTCCATCTGACAATATGGTGATCCCAGACCTGATCAAAGCCACAGAGATGGACCCAGGCCGTCCTGGAGGCTCCCCTTCAGACATTAGGACTTTTTACCTGGAAGCTTTCTGGTTCCAATGTATTGGGGGTGCATGAAGTGGGATTAGACTCATAGACTGTGGGAATGACCTGTTAATGTAAATGGGAACATCTGGTTTGGCCGCCTGTCTGTGAGGTGACTGCTCTACTTTATGGGACCTGTCTTCTATACAAACCTGGTGGGAATCCTAGCACAGATCATTCAGGCAAGAACCTAATATTTAGAAAGCCCCATCCTAGCTGTGTGACCATGATGCTCTGGTCTTCTCTGGGGAGGGCTTGCTGGCTTCGCTATGCCTGCTGCAGCCTTTGTCACCCCTTCCCCTACAGTGGGATGCCTTCAGCATGCCCGAACTACACAACTTCCTGCGCATCCTACAGCGGGAGGAAGAGGAACACCTCCGCCAGATCCTGCAGAAGTACTCCTACTGCCGCCAGAAGATCCAAGAGGCCCTGCATGCCTGCCCCCTGGGGTGACCTCTTATACCCCTGGGTGGAAGGAGGAGAGTAGGCAGCACAAAGGGCATGCCGTGTGAGTGTGACAGGGCCTGTGTGGCCTGAGGAATGAGTGTGCGTGGAGGCCCTCATCTTGCTGGTGGAATGAACCTAGAGAACAGCGAAGGAGCTGGCTCCCTGTGTCCACCCATGGGTGTAGCAGAGCATGGCTCTGCACCCTCTGCCATTCGTGAGTCATGGTGGGCCAGGGTTGCCCTGGGAAGCTGCTCCAGGCTTGCAGCTAGGGTAGAGCAGGCAGAAGTCTCCTTAATTCGTGTCTCAGATATGAGAATCTTGGAGACCCAACAAACAGAATAGGGTCATGTTTGCAAGGATGAGGACCCTCATCTTTGGGGAAAGGTTCTATGTTTTGGGTCTTGGATGGGGTCTCAGGACAGCCCTATCAAAGCCAATAGTGGGTGTTCAAGATAGGGCAGGCATCAAGGAAGGATCTACGTTTCCCTCTACAGTGCCCTCTGGTTCTGCACACACCCGGGAATCGGTGTGCTGGCTCACAGTGCAGCAACAGTGCCCCAGTGCTTCCTCCAAGGAGGATGTCCCTGGGTCACGGTCTGTGTGAGTGTGGGCACTGGTCCGCGTCCATGCCTTGTTTGCCAATCAAAGCCAGGGTCTTTACTTCAGGTATTTTGATGATGTGAGTGAATGTACACTATTTTGTGGCCTCAGATAAATGCCTCCTGTGGGGAAAGGGGTGGGGGTAACAGTCATCATCAGGGCCTGGGGCCTGGGGCCTGGGAAAATTTGGCTGAATAAAGATTTAAGATTCTTCCACTTTTGAATTCTCTGTTACGGGCCCTCAGCCCTAGTTGCTCTTCATGGCAGGGTGATGGATAGGCTCACAGAGCACCTTTTCAGGGTCACCATGGGACCGATTTGTGAAGGATTTGGGGTACAGATATATATCATCTCAGCACCCTGGGGCTCAGGTCTTGGTGGGAGCAAGAATAGCAGCTGCAGCTGGAGCTTAGGGAAACCACACACCCCGCAACCTGTGGGAGGCGCTTCACCAAATACTATTACCACTAGTGGCTCATGGCACCTAAACTACAGCTGTTAATTCTTGCCTTCATGAAGCATATTTTCTGGTGGGTTTGGAAAGAGCACTGAATTTGAATTCGTAAGGCCTAATGTGGCTATATGACATTTGGCCAATTCTTTAATTTTCCATAAATTCGGTTTCTTCTCCACATTCCCAGTGGTGATCGCAAAAACGATGTAGGAATAGAATGAGACTGGACAGGTGCCGCGAGGCCTGGCGTGGGGTCACGTCCCAGAGTGCTGGTTTAGGGGAACACTGGTGGCTGGGCAGGCCTGCTGTACCTGACCTCGGGGGCGGGCACGTCAGAGATGCCGTCCATGCCAAGGAAGCGTGCCGGACAAGCCGCCGCTTTCCTGGGTGAGACCTGCCCCAGCTGGAGAGGGGCCTGCCGGGACCTGATGTCTCGCAGTGCATGATGGGGTGCCTAGTGTTTGAGGGTGGCTATTGGTCCCGCTCTGCCGATCGACGGGAGAAGCAGCCAGTCAGGGGCAGCATGAGGAGCGTGCGGAAGCGGAAGTGAGGTTTCCGTGGAGACAGTGGAGCCTGCGAAAGACGGCGGCGGCACCTGCGAGCGGAGGCCGAGGCAGGGTATGGTGGTGCCCACGACCCTGTGAGAGGAAAGCGGCCGCAGGGTGCGCCATGCGCCGGCGGCTCTGACATGGGCGCCAGCGGCTCCAAAGCTCGGGGCCTGTGGCCCTTCGCCTCGGCGTCGGGGGGCGGCTGCCCGGAAGCGGCGGCCGCTGAGCAAGCTTTGGTGCGTCCGCGAGGCCGAGTCGTGCCCCCCTTCGTATTCACGCGCCGAGGGTAAGGGCGTGGGGTTCCGCCCCGGGGAGGACAGGCGGGCGGGCAGGTTGTGTGCGTCATAAATAGCTCCCGCCGCCGTATACCTGCACCCGAGCTAGGACGACTCCCATATTTAGGTTCCCTTTGGAGCAAGGGATGTGGAAAGCCGGGCAGGTTCCTGGAGGCCTGACTGCTCTTAAGATCTCCCTAGGAGAGAAAAGTGGGTCTGTAGCTTGTCTATGGCAGGCTTACGCACGGGGCACCTAAGATAAGGGCTCTGAGACTTGAGGATATCTCTTGTCCCCTCAAACCCAGCCTGCAAGTTGAAGGCTCCTAGCCTCCCTTTTCTGAGGGGAGAGTGACCCTTTGTTTTGGCTGTTAATCGTCTCCCACAGTGGTGAGGTTGGACCTCTGAGGGTAGGGGGTGGGGAAAGCAGGACCGGGTCCTAGTGTTGGGCATGGAGCCTAGGAAAAAAGACCCTCACCCGGATTTGTTCTCCAGATCTGAAGCACTGACCTTCCGCCTTTCCCCAGGGCTCCAGATAGGAACATTAGATTGACCTTGCCCTGGTGGTCCTCTGGAGACTGACATTCATGTGATGCTGAAGATTTGGCTGTAAATACTGGAGAGACCCAACAGTGGCAGTTTGGCTGCACCAGCCACCCGGGGTTGGTGGGATGGATTCAGCCTTTTTCCTTTTAGGCCCCCTCCTAGCTCAAGCAGCTGCTATCTCAGGCGTTGGCCCTGGGCCAGCAGTGTCTTCTGGAAAGCAACATGCTCAGCCACCATCCTGCCCACTCTAGAAGTCCTGAGTGAAGGCAAGGGCCTGATGCTGCAGTGGCTGTTCTTGTTGAACAAACCAGTGATGACAACTGGCCTTGGCTGCCTGGACAGTGTGCCCTGGTATAGTCTTTCTTCTCGGGATCTGACAGTAGCACTGGCCATTACCTCACTCCCCACTTTTTTCTAGTAGGCCCCAGACCCTAAGCAAGAGATTCTCCAGGCATATTATCGTCCCTTTCTTCCACCAAGGTTGTTCCTCCCCTTTTGGACGTGGGCACACTTCCTGGTGGTCTGTGGTGTTTGCTATGACCAGACGTGAGGCTCCAGCCCAGCCTGTTCCCTTCTCCTTCTACACAGGTCCATGTTCTATGATGAGGATGGAGATCTGGCTCACGAATTCTATGAGGAGACAATCGTCACCAAGAACGGACAGAAGCGGGCCAAGCTGAGGCGGGTGCATAAGAACCTGATTCCTCAGGTGAGGGGCTGGGCAGTAGTCATAGAGCCTATGTTGAGTATTGAGGTAGACCCAGATGGGGTCTACTGTCATGGTGGGGGCTCTTAGGGGAGGAGCTGGGAGGAACAGGAAGGCTTTCTGGAGTAGGGGCACTGAGATGACCCTCACTGGCCCCTGTTTCCATGGCAGGGCATCGTGAAGCTGGATCCCCCCCACATCCACGTGGATTTCCCTGTGATCCTCTATGAGGTGTGAGCCTGGGGGGTTGCAGGCCTAAGCATCTCCTGCCTCAGCAAGAAATCCTCAGGCTCAAAGTGTGGCTTCCACTGAGGAACCTAGGCTGAAGCCACAATCCTGAATAAACTCCACTGGCCTGGAACTGTCAGCTGTGAGCTGTGAGCAGGGCAGTCCTGCAGTACTGGTTGGGTGCTGGTTTGCATTTGGACAAGAGGTGGCTGGTGGCTGGTGAGGGCTAAGGGTGGAGTTACCAGCCCACCTTCCCCAGTAATCCCTATAAGGAGCATGGCAGGACACGTGCTGACTGGGAATGTCTGGTTCCTGAGCCCTTGCCTGGCCTCCTTTCTTCCAAGCTTGCCTAGGGACCAACCCTACTAGGGGCTACAGCACTTTACAAGTAAGGTCTTTTTTCCAGCCCCTGGGCTGTGGGAGCTGTACACAAGTGGGAACTTCCTTTTCCTCACTTCCTTTACCTGTTCGTTGGAGCATTTCAGCCGTTTGCTACCTCGATTCCTCCTCTGTTGACAGAGGCTGGGGGCAACGCAAGCCTGATTCTTCCTATTTACCTGCCCATGTGTTCCCACCCCCAGATGAGTGGACAGTTTGCTGGCTGTTAATAGGAATAGGGACTGATGTGGGAGGCTTCTCCAGCTACCCAGGACTGGGCTGATCCCTCCCCACTGTAACTAGTTGTCCCTTGATGGCACCCTTTCCTCCTCCCCCCATTGAGAGGGACTAGGTTGGGATCAGGAAGGGCTGTGGATGCCTGTGCCTATGGGGAGTTGCCCCTACCCACCTCCATATGATCTTCCTTGCCTTTTGTACCAGCTCCCCCACACACATTGGGAGGACACCATCCACCACCCTGTAGTGAGGGACAGTACCTGAAGGAGCCCATCACCCATTCTTCTACAGTATGTCCATCCCTTCAGGATCAGTAGGGGGAAAGTACCAGAGCCCCTGGATAGGGACAGAAAGGAGAGAACAACTATAAAAAGAATACTTAAAATGTGAAAGTTTGTAAATAGTCTAGTCCGTGATGTTGTTGGGGCAGTCTGGTTTCTAAACAGAAACGACTTTTTAAAAAAAATCCCTTACTGTGCAAGCTCTGTGCTTCAAGAGTGTGGGAAATGGTGTGGGGAGGGTGACCCCCAATTAGGAAGGCTATTGTGTTATTTGTTCAGTTTCAATAAAATTATTTGTAGACCCTGCATACAAGAGTGGCATCCTTGGGGCTGTGACATCCAGCATCTAGACCACCACTTGGGCTCAGTAGGTAGCCCTGGGCCTAGGACTCTGGCCCCCTGTCTCTAGCAAGGACAAGGGCAAGCCTGAGCCCAGTCTGCTGGCATCCCAGCTATGACCAGCAGGTGGCAGTGTACGCACACAGACTTCATTACAGGCCCCTTTAGGATGGAGGGCCACTCACTTGTCTATATTGTTTTCAGTAGGTGGGTACCCCTGAAATTGAAAGGCTTTGAGATGCTTCATAGGGATTGGCTTCACCTGTCTACTGAGGTGAGAGTGTGACCTCAGATAGGCCTGGAGCAACTGTCCTGCCCCAGCAGTGCCAGCTGACCTTACATGAGGCAACAGCCTGAATCTTACGGACTTCCAAGACCCAGCCTTAGGTGGACAGCAGCCAGGTGAATGGCACCATGCCCTTGGTCTACTTCCAGGCTCTGCATCCCATATCCACCTCCCTCCTTCCAGGGCTGCCTGTGGATACCACCAGGAGAGGGGGCTTGGGGCCTCTGTTCCAGCAGACAAAGCTCAGCAACCCAGTACTTCCTGTGTTCCTTGCCACCAGTCATCTCATCTGCAGCCTACCCTCTGTGGACATTCGGCTTATATTTCTCAGGGCCTGCTCTCAGGCTGGTTCACTACTGGGCCCAGCCTTTGGCCATCAGCCTGACTCCCAGTTAGGGAGGAGGGAGTCCAAGCACACAGGCCTCTCGGTCTGGGGAATTGGCCTGCTAATCTTTTGGAGAGTTAAACTTGTCAGGTCTGGGGCAGGATCACACTGTGCAACCTGGACTTACAGTTCTTTGGGCACCTGCCCATTTTCCCAATAAGGTATCAGACATAAGGTCCTGTCATCCTCTGCTGTCCTGCCTACTGACTGCCCCAGGGACAGGGTTCTGCATTGCCAGATGGCATCCATCTCCCAGTGTAGAACTCCCTGTGCTGGGCTTGCCCCAGCTGACCCCAAAGCTGGAAACAATGGGGGTCAGGTCACTCTTTCCCCACTCCCTCCCACTGGGCTTTGCTCACTTCCTTCCTGCTGGCTGCCTGAGGAAGTGTCCCTGCCCTGGGACAGTCTGGCCTGGTCTTTGTTCCCTAGGGGCCCCACCCTTGAACCTTTTAAAGCTAGTGTCCCTTGTGGAGCCAGCATGGTAGTACCGGGACACCATCCTCCCATGCCATGTCTTGGATTCCCTGGTCCTCAGGGGTAGATTCCAGGGTATGTGCCCACTTCCCCCAGACCCCCAGTTTTACACATTTCTGTTAGGAAAGAGGCCCTGGGCTTCAGGGAAGTGGACCAGTAGGGTAAAGGCAAGGGGTGGGGTTAGATTAAGAGTGATTTGAGGGTGCAAATTTGTCCACATCTCACTAGAACCCTGCTGCAGCCTCCCAGGGACCAGCCACATTATGGGCAAGTACTTCCCACGGGAATATATATCCTTACCCATACTGTAAGGAGCCCCCTCCTCTACAGTGTCTCCGTGAAATCCACCAAGAAATGTCCTCCAGCAGGAGAGCACCCTGCAGAACCCTCCCAGCCCCTGCCCACCCCCCACTCCCCACCCCCCAGAATCACACACATCAACATATTGTCTACTTGTCACACTTGGGACACTTCCGCTCTCAGTGGAAAAGAATTGACTCAGCTCCTGGAATTTCTCCCAACCCCTCCCCCAGCCCCCCCCCTTTCCTTCTTCATCACCTGCTTTGAGAAACTATCAACCAAGCATCCCCCAAGTAGTCTGACTCCCCAAATCCCCACCATTAGGGCCCTTCCACTCACATACTACTGGATTTTAGGATGAGTCTCAACCCCAAAGGAAAATTGGATAGAAGAGCATTCAGTGTTAAGGAAGCTGCTGGCACCTAAGTGGGATCCCATAGCCTTCCCATCACCTGGCACAATTCGCCCTGGCCAGAACCTAGGGGGGAAGGGTGGGGAGGACAGTCAGCCAGTAGGGCATACTGTAGGGAAATAGGGTCAAAGCAGTCCCTTCCCCCACACCATTCCTGGCCCTTTCCTCTCTAACGGGCAGCAGGAAATGAGAGGGCTGGGGTGGGAGGCGGGAGCGAGTAGGAGGGGATGGGGTTTATCAAGTCGCCAGCGGGCTGCCCAGTGGGCAGCAGCTGGCGCGAGTAGCAGGTCTGGAGAGACTCACCTGGAGAAGGAGGGGGACTTCTAACTTACTGGGCCGACGGACTCCTATACAGGTGAGCCCAGCGCAGATGACGGGTCTGCACCCCACATAGGTGCGCTCACAGCAGCGCACCCTCCCTCTCACCTGCTTGCGAGCGGGGAATAGGCTGGCGGTGCAGACCCCGGCCCTTCGGGGAGCTGAGCACCGCACAGGGAGCGGAGCTAGGTAGAAGCAAGGAGGTCTCGCACCAGTCTAGCAGCAAACCCGCTACCCAGAGGGAGGGGCTTGCGGGGAAAAAGGGCTCAGGATACTGGGTGGAGGCCTGGGGGAGCCCCTCCGGCCGGGCCAGTGTTCTCCGCGGTCCCACTAGGAACTTCTCTGCAAGGGTGGCAGCCTCTTAAAGGAGAAAGCTGTGGAGGCTCTCACAGCCCCCTATCCCAATCCTCCGAGACTGGGCTGAAGGGGATGGGAGCCCAGGGATTGGCCTGTCCTGTTGCAGGTCGAGGGGAAGGGAGTGCTCCACCCCGAGGGCCCGCTTGCCTTTCCCGGTCCCCAGCCGGCTTGCCAAGCTGAGACCCACAGCTCATGTTGCCAAGACAACCACTGCCTCGGCCCAGCCCAAAAAGGGCTAAGAGGCGGGCGCTCGGCCTCCTTCCCGGGTCAAGCAGGGGGCGGAGCTCCCCTTCAGACCCTAGACGGAGGAGGGGAATCCTGATCCGTAGGGGTTTACAGCCCTGGAAGTCTGGAGATCGGCTCTGGTCACCGTCCCCCTTTCCACACAAAGGGGCCTCAGCGCTGGGGCTACACTGGGATGCAAAGCCAGATCCGTGGTTGTCCCCAACCAAGGCCTTGGGGTCCCACAGCACCTCCTCATGGCTGAGCGGGAGAGCACCACCTCCTTTATTTCCTCCCCGTCCCCTTCCTTTATGCTGTCCCTTTAAGAGGCTGGCCGTGCCGCCGAACGGGGAGGACTGTACCACCGGCTGCAGGCTGAGGGGGGGGACCTTCGGCTGACTGTAGTTCGCTGCTGAGACTCCAGAAGAAATCCCCGTTCGGAGAGGCTCACGATCCCATATGGGTGGTCACGTTCCTCCGCAGAGGATTCGGGTACCCTGGAGCCCGAAACACGGCCCTGGCGGCGCGAAAACCGGGCACACCTTCCCTCCCCCGCCGCAAGTTCTGCCCAGGGCCCGCCTCCGCGCAGGACTCTTAAAGGGCCCTGGGGCCGGGGGGCGGAGCCAGTAGAGGCGCCGAGCCGGGGCGAACCTGGGCGAGCGGCCTGAGGGGGCTGGGCTGGGCCGAGGATGGCGGTGGCCACGGCGCGGGTCCTGGCGGTACACCACGTGAGGTGAGGGCGGGCGGTGCGAGCCTGGCGGCTTTCTCCCCACGGGCTGGGTTCCGAACCCCCAGGGAGGTGGCTCTCGGACCCCACCCCCACACGGCCCGGCTCAGGCCCCACGTGCGGGGCGGGGGCGGGGTCCCGCACAAAGGCCAGGCGAAGTGAACTTTACCCCAACCTGCCTGGCGAAGGGCGCGCGCATTCCCGGCGGCTTTGGAGGGAAGGGCAGGTCTGCCGGCGCCGCCGTGGGAGGTCCGCTGTCCCTTTGTCCCCGTGGGGCCTCCACCAAGCTTGAGAGAGTGTCTGCACTGGGACAAAGTCCTGACAGCCTCACTCTCCTACCGGGCGGGTGCTGGAACAGACACCAGCTCCGCGGCTGTGTTCCAGCGTGCTAGCCGCTGCTTGAGCTGAGCCCTGCCTTACCCAAGTGCTATCGTTTCTCTGGACCGAGAGTTCTTCACCGGCTACACAGTGGGTCTCCGGTTCTGGGCCCTCTGAAACGATGTGTTGGGTGGTATGCGGGCATGTGTGTGTCTCTAGGCACCGAGCCAACAGTTCACTCCGTCCAATTCTCAGAGGGGTCACAGATCTAACAGAAGTCCTTTCCCAGCCACAGACTTATGCTTCTGCTCCTGGCAGTGAGTTCTTAGGGTGTCTTGCCTGCCCCTCTGTGGCCTGTGGTCTCTCAGACCTGTTCCAACCATGTAACAGGGTCTGAACAGCAGTGGGCACAGTGTACCACACACCATGAACTTTGGAAGTGTGGATGAGTTTGGGGTTGGCACCTCCATAATTCTCAGGTTGACTCGCTCTCTTCCATCCTTTCCTCAGTTGCTGAGCTGGTGCCAGGCAGGTGACACTGTCTTCCTGCAGCCCCCAGCATGTGGGCAGGCCTGAGCCCCGTGGTCATACTGGCCCTGGTTTTGGCGATAGTATGGGCCAAGGAGCTCAAGCCCACAGCACCACCCATCTTCACAGGCCGGCCCTTTGTGGTAGCGTGGGATGTGCCCACACAAGAATGTGGCCCACGCCTCAAGGTGCACCTGGACTTGGTGGAGAAAGCCTTCGATGTGCAAGCCTCACCTAATGAGGGTTTCGTGAACCAGAACATAACTATCTTCTACCGGGACCGGCTAGGCCTGTATCCACACTTTGATTCCACAGGGAAGTCTGTGCATGGTGGCGTGCCACAGAATGACAGTGTCCTCAGGGCACACCTAGACATGCTGCAGGAACGAGTGGAGCACTACATTCGTAGACAGGAACCTGCGGGGCTGGCAGTCATAGACTGGGAGGACTGGCGGCCTGTGTGGGTGCGCAACTGGCAGGACAAGGACGTGTACCGCCAGTTATCACGCCAGTTGGTGGCCAACCGCCACCCTGACTGGCCATCAGACCGCATCATCAAGCAGGCACAGTATGAGTTTGAGTTTGGTGCTCGGGAATTCATGCTGAAGACACTGCGCTCTGTCAAGAGATTTCGGCCTCAGCACCTCTGGGGCTTCTACCTCTTCCCCGACTGTTACAACCACGACTATGTGCAGAACTGGGAGACTTATACAGGCCGCTGCCCGGATGTGGAGGTCTCGCGAAATGACCAGCTGGCCTGGCTGTGGGCTGAGAGCACGGCTCTCTTCCCCTCCGTCTACCTGGACGAGACTCTTGCTTCCACTGCCCATGGCCGCAACTTTGTCAGCTTCCGTGTTCAGGAGGCCCTTCGTGTAGCTCAAACCCACCATGCCAACCATGCACTCCCAGTCTACGTCTTCACGCGGCCCACCTACAGCCGCGGGCTCAAAGGCCTTAGCCAGGTATGTGCTTCCCAGGGTTCTGCCTTCTTCCTTGGGAACCACTGCAGGTCTGAGTTACCGGAGGGCCTCCTGCCCTGTACTGGCTGCTCTACATCCCCTCTTCTCAGTCTCTCTATAACCTTGTGAAAGGGTGGCATTATTATCTCCATTTTGCAGATAAGAAAATTAAGGCCCAGAGATGCTAAGAAATGTCCCCAAAGCTTGCCAGCAAATCCAGGACAGCAGGGATTTGGTCCTAGGCATTCGGACTTGAGAGTCTATCTTCATAGATACATCCTAGGCTCAGGAAATGGAGGCCCCAAGAGGGGGTGGAAATGGCTTAAACACTTAAGAGAAAGTGAAATGGAGCCTTTGCCTGGGAGTGAGAAGTGGAGGACTGGGCTGGGGGAGGGTTACCACATTAGAACAGCCTGGGGCCTGTCCCCTGTCTGTCCTCCTCCCCTGTGGTCTCAGCCCCCGCACCCCCCAAGTGACAGCCTCTTCCCGCGCAGATGGATCTCATCTCCACCATTGGTGAGAGTGCCGCCCTGGGCGCAGCCGGTGTCATCCTCTGGGGTGACGCAGGGTTCACCACCAGCATGGTAAGTAAGACCCACCAGCCTACTGGGTATGCATGGTCTGCAGAAAGAGGGTGAGTGTTGGGGCTTTTGGCTGCCACCCTCAAGGTGGGCAAACCTAATCTGACCCTCCTGTCTGACTCCCACCCCAGACATCCCTGATCCCAACAGAGAAGACAAGGCCTCCTCCCCTGCTCCCAGGAAAGGGGACATGCTGGTCTGAACAGCTGTTGAGTTCAACTCTTCCTTGCCTGCCCTGCAGGGCTTCAGTTTCTGTCCCTGCCTCCTTCTCAGTAGGAGCAGGGACAGCGAGGGCTCAGGCACAAGTGTGCACATATACATGTGTGCACCAGTTAAAGAAGGCACAATCGCTGTGTTGTGGACACAGAGTTTCCATCTGGGTCTGGGCTGAAGCAGCTGACTCTGATTCCTCTGCCCCCAGGAGACCTGCCAGTACCTCAAGGATTACCTGATGGATCTGCTGATCCCCTACGTAGTCAATGTGTCCTGGGCTGCCCAGTATTGCAGCCGGGCCCAGTGCCACGGCCACGGACGCTGCGTGCGCCGAGACCCCAGCACCAGTACCTTTCTGCACCTGAGTGCCAGCAGTTTCCGCCTAGTGCCTAGCCACGCACCTGGTGAGCCCCTCTTTCGACCAGAGGGGAAACTCAGCTGGGATGACCTCGACCACCTGCAGAAGCACTTTCAATGCCAATGCTACTTGGGCTGGGGCGGCGAGCAATGCCAGTTGGATCTTAGGCGGGCAGCTGGGGGTGCTAGTGGGGCTTGGGCTGGGTCCCACCTCACTGGCCTGCTGGCTATGGCAACCCTAGCCCTCACCTGGACTTTGTAGGGATCTCTCACCTGGCTTCCAGGCAAGCTGGCCTCTGCCACAAGGGCTCTGCCAGGCATGTAGGAGCCTGCAAGGGGTGGGCAAATGAGTCCAGAGGGGGCAGAGCCCCTGGGATGTCCAGTAGGGCATCCATAACAGCTCTCACCCCCCTGTTCTAAGGGGGAGGGGGTTGGTCCCCTGGGAGACCTCTTCTCTCCCTGCCAGAAAGGAAGAGGGGCATGGCCAGGGAGGACCTGACCCTACTCCTCTGCTCCTTGATAGTTTATTATTATTATTTTGCGGTCTTTTTTGTAAATTAAATATAAAACAACTGCTTCTGTGCTTGGACTGTCTGCACCTGGGCCAGGGCGTGTGCTAGTGATCCCAGGGTCTTCCATGAGGTCTGAGCCCAGCTCTGCCTGTGAAACGCTCTGCTAGGGACTGCTTGTCTGTAGATGTGTTCACTGGGACCCAGGGCCTAGAGCTGTCCGTGCTGCAGCTGTCCTGCTGGGGCAGAGGCCACTGGAAGTGGAGGGACTCGCATGCTGCCCCAATGCCAAGGACCTTGTTCTCCATGTTGATTGGATGCAGTTGAGCCCAGCCTTCTGTAAGGGATGGGACTCACTGTGCCTCTCCTACTGGCCCCTGTATCCCCACCTGGGCCAGTGCCAGCTGCCTCGCCTCGCCCACCCAGGGAGAAAGGGCGAAGTGGATGTTTGCTGTTCCCTGGCTGGGCAAGTAACCAGACCGCCTCTCCCTGCTGTTCCCACAGGCCAGGGCATCTCCTCCACTCCCAGCTCCCGAGGGCAGTGGACTCCAGCCGCATGTACTTCTCCCTCTCTGGGTCACAGTCCTCCACTGGGTATGGTCAGAGGAGGCAAGCAGGGTATTGGGGTGTGAATTCTGAAGTCCAGTCCCTGTCCCACTGCAGACACATGATGAGGCAAGGGGGAGGTATCTGGACTTTAGGAGCAGAGACATCCTCAAAGGTCAGCCCTGTTCTGCCCATGGGAGAACACGCTGGTCCCAGCTTTCCCAGAAGAGGAAAGGAGCAGTCGGAGCAGTCAGACCAGCTCTACCCTGCTTCCCCCCTGGGTCCTGAAGGAAGTTACCCTGCGTGGGTCTCTGCCCCATCCCTCAACCATCCCACCCACACCTGGCTGCCCCTGTCCTAGTCAGTGGTGACTCAGCCCTGCCTCAGGACACACTGGCTCTGGGGAGGCAGATTCAATGAACAGCCCAGTGGTGAGAAGGGCAGATCAGTCACAAGGGAGGTGTTTCCAAAGAATTTCTACCGTGAGTTTTGAAAGGTGGGGAAGCCTGATGCTAGGAACAAAGCAGGAGCAAAGGCTGGAAGAAGCTGAAGTCAGCTGGAATGCCAGCATGATGGGGTGTGGCTGGGCATCTGTGCCAGGCAGAGGCAGGAGGGACAGCCCTGGAGCAGCACGGGCCTGACTGCCTGAGGGTGGTGACTGTCTCACCTGTTTGATAAACGGCGCACACACCTGCCAGTGCTGGGCTAGCTGCTAGGAATGCGTCCATGAAGCACACCACAAAGACCCTTCCCTGTCCCGGTGGGGACGTCAGTGTGAAGGGAAATGCACCCTGGATGTGAAGATCAAGTCAGGTGCTGGACAGTGAAGAGTGCTCCCCAGAGAAGCATGCAGGCAAGGGGTAGCGTGGTTAGGGAGGCAGAGCCTTCGAGAGCAAGTTCCACCGAATCTGTCCACCCGATCTGTGAAGCCATCCCTCATTCCTCTGGCTGGTGATGGCAGAGAATGGAGAGATGGGGCACTGGGAGGGTCACATCAGTTTGCCTGGTGGGGGAGGATACCAAGGTGGAATGGTTCCCAAGCTCCTGGTTGTGGTGGGGAGAGGCCTGCTAGGGAGAAGATTCAAGTGTTGGTCAATAAGGCCATGAGATGATGGAGCCAGCAGAGGGAGGGCAGCTGTGACCCACCCACACACACTTGTGACCTCCCCCGCACAGATGTAACCCACGTACACCTGTGAGCTATCCTGCTCATCTCTATCGTCCCAACACACAGGCACACCAATGGCCTCACCCATGCTAACCCTGACCTTTCCCACCTAGCTGTGATGTCTACATACATGTAACCTGTGTGAAGCAGTGGTGCCCTACATGTGTGACCTCCCCTACACAGCTGTGACCCCACCATGCAAACCTGTGAACACCTTACATCACTTCCCCAGGGGGAAGTGCAACTTGGAGAAAGTGCAACTCAGGAGACAGCCAGAGCTGTCCTGTGGATGGCTGGGTGGGGCGTGGAGGAGTGGGTGGTCCAGGGCCTGAGGTATGCCCAACCAGAGAGCGTGGGCAGAGCTGGATCGGGAAGCTGGACTGACCTGGAAAGAGCTTTAAAAGTACATTCTTGAGCCTTGACCAGTTTTCTCAGTGGTTAGAGCCTCAACCCTTGGACCAAAGAGTCTCGGGTTCTATGCCGGTCAAGGGCCTGTACCTCGGTTGTAGTCTGGCCCTGGCCCTAGCCCTGGTCAGGGTCGTGCGGGAGGAAACCAGTCAATGTGTTCCTCTCACATCAATGTTTCTCTCTCTCCCTCCCACTGTATCTGAAGATAAATAGAAAAAATATCCTCTGGTGAGGATTTTTTTTAAAAGTACATTTTTAAAAAATATTTTTATTACTGATTTTTAGAGAGAGAGGAGGGGAAAGGGAGAGACAGATAGAAACATTGATGAGAGAAACATCAACTGGCTGCCTCCTGCATGCCCCCCACTGGGGATCAGGCCCACAACCTGGGCATATGCCCTGACCAGGAATAAAACCGGTGACCTCTTGGTGTGTGGGTCGACACTCAGCCACAACCACACTGGCTGGGCAAAAAGTATATTCTTGATTGAGAAGAATCAGTTCTATATTCTTTTTTTTTTTTTTATCCTCACCTGAGGACATTTTTCCATTTTTTGTTCAGATAGAGTGGGAAGGAGAGAGAGAAACATCAATGTGAAAGGGACACATTGAGTGGTTGCCACCCACACGACCCAACCAGGGCCGGGGACAAACCGCAACCAAGGTAGGTACGTGCCCTTAGTGGGAACCAAACATGGGTCTCCCCGGAATGCAGGCCGGCTCTCCAACCGCTGAGCCAAACCGGCCAGGGCCAGTTCCGTATTCTTAGCCTCTGGATTGGTCTGAGGTGGTTATGAGTTGGATGTGTGGCCTGGACAACGGGTACCAAGAAGTCAGGTCACATCTGGTGTTGACGGATACGTGAGTCCTTGAGGGGTAACCAGAGGGTTGTCTGGAGTCGGAGGTGTGTCCAGGTGTTGGTGCAGGACTGGAAAGCTCTAAAGCTTAAGTTCACAATCCAGTTAAAATAGAAATAACAATCTTTCCATATGTCTCAACCTACTTGAGTGTGGTAATTTAACAGCTTGACTATAGTGACTCCATTTTACTTTTTCACTGCATTTCTCAGACCCCAGACACACATCACTTGGACCGATCGGACTAGACCAACCCCGCAGCAGCTAGCTTGCGGGTGGGGACCTGGGGTGGGAGAGGGCTTCAGGCACCGCAGCTGCTTCCTGCTGTTCCACTTAGAGCTTCTCCCTTGGACTGAGGCCAACTAGAGAAGGCTGGCCTGCTGGTTGGCTGGATTGTGCCAGTTGCAGCACAGGGTCTCTGGGGGCACCAGGAGGTAGCAAGGAGTCTCAGGGAGAAGGGGTTCAGGGCTGCCTCCTGCCTAATAGTCATCACTCTGGGACCCTGCTTTCTGAGCAGGCTCAGTGGCCACCACCTCTGTGGCTAGATCCTGTGCTCGGCTTGTAGCTGATGCGCCCACAGCACCCAGCACCCTGGACCCTCCTCTCCTTCAGCCCTGCCAGCTTCTCCATCCTAGCCAGGCTAGAGGGCAGCCAGCTGCGCCACTGCTCTCTTGACCACCATGTCACTGGCTCAGGCTCAGACTAGGCTGTAGACTCGGGCAGCACTTTAACCTGAGCCAGGGACCTGATGGTTCCTTCGCCCCACCCTGGCAGGCAAGCCTGGGCCTGGGCACCTAGCAGGTTTCGATCACTAGTTTCTGAATCAGCAAACAAGTGAAATTACGAAGCAATGAATAAGCATGTGGTCACTGATACACTGTGCTCAGACCCGTGGTCACACCGACGGAATCTCACAGTCACAAGACAGCAGGGTCCCGCACTGGCACACACTCTGGTGGAGTTTGTGCAGGGACTCAGATGGTCCCTTCTGGGGCTTCACAGACACAGTCACTGACCCAGCAAGTGGGCAAAGGGTGCCAACACAGCCCTGACTTCATGAACACAGTGCCTTTTAGACACAGGTCCTTAAAGCAGAGATGACATCCACTAGGCAGAGGGCCTAGGGCCACAGTACTTTAGAAACCTACAAATGTTTTAATTTAATTTAATTTTTTTTAATCCTCACCCGAGGACATTTTTGCATCTATCTTCAGAGAGAGCAGGAGGGAGAGAGGGGGGAAGAGAGAGAAAGAAACATTAATGTGAGAGAGAGACATCGACTGGCTGCCACCCACACGACCCCCACCAGGGCCAGAGACAAACTGCAACCAAGGTACGTGCCCTTAGCGGGAACCAAACCCAGGACTCTCTGGTCCGTGGGCCGACACTCTAACTGCTGAGCCAAACTGGCCAGGGCTCATTTTAATTTTTTAAGAGAAGAAAAAATATATAAATAATAATTATATAATGGATTCAGTCTGGATTTTATTTGTCTTTATACCAACATAGTTGTAAAGTATGTTTTTTGTTTTTTTTATCTGATCCCTGGTCAGGCACATACAAGAATCAACCAATGAATGCATAAATAAATTGAACAACACATTAGTTTTTCTCTCTCTCCTTTCCTCTCTCTAAAATCAATAAAGTTAAAAAAAATTTTTTTTTTTCAGGAAGAGGCCCACCCACAAAGGCAAAAGTGCCCAGGGCCCCCAAATGTCATCATGCAGCCATGTGGGGCAGTTACACTCTCTGGGTATCAGTCCCCAGATACCCAGATTCCAGTACCACAAACAGGCCTGCTCAGCTGGGCCCGCCACCCACACAGCCCCCCAACCCTGCCTCCACCCCCACCTCAGCCCAAATTAAACCAGAAAGCCCTGCCCTAGTGCTGACATGGGGGGGCACTTCCTGCCCAGGCCCCACCCCCTACCAAGGGCACTTTGCTAGGGGTGGTGAGGTGGCTCTGCTGCCTGGTCCAGCCCTTCAACGCAGTGCCCACCCCTCAGCCCGCCCCCAAACTGGGTGGGGTGACCCCCTACAAAAGCTCAGAGTTGCCAGCAGCTGCTTCTTCCTCCAAGAGTCTGGTGCAGCTGGGGCCAGAGTTGAGGAACAAAGAATCTTGCTGAGCCCTGCCTAGGACCTCACCCTGGGGTCAGGAAGTTTGGAGGATGAGGCTCTTCAGCCCTGAGGTCAGCAGGGATGAGTGGGCAGACTGGCGGGTATGCAGGAGGGCTGGGCTGACCTGTGCTTGGTCCCGAGCATCCATTCCTCCAATGGGCTGGCTGGGATTCCTGGGGAAAGAGACAGGAAAGGCCCCGCCCCATTAGTCAAGTCAGCCTAGGGGCCTAAGGCTTTGCTCTCTGTCAGTCTTCTCAAAACAGATGTGGCCCTTGGGAAGGTGGGGTGGGTGAGCCTAGGCCAGGCCAAGGCCTGTGGGAGACAGGGCCAAGGCCTGGCCTGCTCAGATGTGCCCTCCAGTGGCATTGCTCCCCTCCATGCCTCCCCTTTGCCTTCTGACTTCCCTGAGCCCTGCCAGTCAGTGTTTACCTGAAGTCAGAGTAGGGATAGATTAATGAATAAGGGACTTGGCCTGCCTGCCCAGCGCAGGGGTTCATTAGTTCAAGGCCCATTCTCAGCTCTGCCTCCTCTGGCCAGGTTTCCCTAGACCTGCCCTGTGCCATGGCAGCCCACCTGCTTCCCATCTGTACCCTCTTCCTGACCTTGCTCAGCACGGCTCAAGGCTTCAGGGGCCCTGTGGTACCCAACCAGCCTTTCACCACCGTCTGGAATGCGAACACCCAGTGGTGCTTGGAGAGGCACGGCGTGGACGTGGATGTCAGTGTCTTTGATGTGGTGGCCAACCCCGGGCAGAGCTTCCTCGGCCCTGACATGACCATTTTCTACAGCTCCCAGCTGGGCACCTACCCCTACTACACGTCTGCTGGGGAACCTGTGTTTGGCGGCCTGCCCCAGAACGCCAGCCTGGAGGCTCACCTGGCCCGCACGTACCAGGACATCCTGGCTGCCATGCCTGCATCTGACTTCTCAGGGCTGGCAGTCATTGACTGGGAGGCCTGGCGTCCACGCTGGGCCTTCAACTGGGACACTAAGGACATTTATCGGCAGCGCTCAAAGGAGCTGGTACAGGGGCAGCACCCTGATTGGCCGGCTCCCTGGGTGGAGGCAGCAGCCCAGGACCAGTTCCAGAGGGCTGCACAGTCCTGGATGGTAGGCACCCTCCAGCTGGGGCAGGCACTGCGGCCACGCGGCCTCTGGGGCTTCTATGGTTTTCCTGACTGCTACAACTATGACTTCCTGAGCCCCAACTACACAGGCGAGTGCCCACCAGGTGTCCGTGCCCAGAACGATCAGCTGGGATGGCTGTGGCGCCAAAGCCGTGCTCTCTACCCCAGCATCTACATTCCCGCAGCGCTGCAGGGCACAGGCAAGACACAGGCGTATGTGCGGCACCGAGTGGGCGAAGCATTTCGTGTGGCTGTGGGTGCTGGAGACTCCAGTCTGCCGGTGCTGCCCTATGTCCAGATCTTCTATGACATGACGAACCACTTTCTGCCCCTGGTGAGTCACCTTCTGTGACCCCGCCCACCTTGTAGCCTACCTTGTCAGGCATTAGGTCCAGCAACTGATGCCACACAGTCTCGAGGCACTTTCATCCATTCATTCTCATGTCCTTTGAACATCTATTGTGTGTCAAGGTCCGCACTAGGCACAGACTATTCAGCATCTATCAGAAGGATGCAGTCCCCACCTGCATGGTACACACAGGCTAGAGTGGGGACAGGCTGGCCTTGACACCTGGGCCAGAGCTGCCCCAGGTGGGGATTTTGAATTATTTGTCTCGTCCAATGGTATTCTAGCAATTTGCTGTGGGGAGGGAGGGAGAACCCACAAAGCTATGCTGTCCCTTTCCCCAGGATGAGCTGGAGCACAGCCTGGGGGAAAGTGCAGCCCAGGGAGCAGCAGGAGTGGTGCTCTGGGTGAGCTGGGAGAACACAAAAACCAAGGTAAGCTCAGGCCCAGGCTGGGGGCTGGGGTGGGGGCAGAGGTCGGCTGGGAGACCCTGACCCATCTGGCCCATTCCTTCTACCCCTGCAGTCCTGGCTGGCCAGCCTGAGAGGGCCTCAGTGCCCTAGGTGGGCCCGTACATGGCTATGGTGTCCCTGATACTACCCCTCCTACCCAGGAATCATGCCAGGCCATCAAGGAGTATATGGACACCACACTGGGGCCCTTCATCCTGAACGTGACCAGTGGGGCTCGTCTGTGCAGTCAAGCCCTGTGCTCGGGCCACGGCCGCTGTACCCGGCGCCCCAGCCACCCCAAGGCCCTCCTCATCCTCAGCCCCACCAGTTTCTCCATTGAACTCACACCTGGTGGCGGGCCCCTGACCCTACAAGGTGCACTGTCACTTGAGGATCTGGAACGGATGGCGGTAGAGTTCAAATGTCAATGCTACCCTGGCTGGAGGGGAGCACGGTGTGAGCAGCAGGGCACATGGTGATTGGCCACACACCAGGATGCACATGTTGAGCACCACTTAATGCACTCTGGGCCTGACCAAGGCTTTCTCAAGTAAAGGCACAGTTACACAGATCATGGTCACAGTCAGGAGTGTTCTCAGCCACCGTCATGAGCATTTGCCTGCACGTGCTCACATATACAGACCGGGATAGTTGCGTAAGGAGTTAAGAGCCTCCAGCACCCACCCAGCAAGGTCATAAACATCCCCTCCAGAGACACTGACTGAGCCAGTCTTTAAATTGCAGCAATCACAAGAACTGATTCTCTGAGCGCCTACGCTTCACCAAGTCCTGTGGTAAGCATTTTAAGTAGGCTAACTCATTCAGTCCTAACGCAACGCTATGAGGACACGGAGCAACACACAGGAAGGAAAAGCACTTTGCCAAAGGTTGCACAGCCAGAAAATGGAGAAACTGAGAATCGAGCCCAGGCTGTCTAGCTGTCGAGAGAGCGCCTTCTGGCTCCTACTGTGTTGATGGTAACCAGCCCTGCACGCAACCTGAATCCGCTCAGAGGCACGAGCCCTGTAAATAAAGCAGACATGAGTTCTCCAAGCGCTGTTTATTGAGCGCCTAAAACGTGCAGGCTCCAGGATCCAGAGGGCACAGGGAAGGCTCCCCTAAGATCTGGCGTCTGCCTGAGGGCGGCTGCTTCCCAGGGTGGGACCCACAGTTCAGGAGGAAGCTCCACCTGGCCGTTTCCACGCCTGACACAGGCAGGAGGCCGGCGGGAACCGAGACAAAGGGGTGCGAGGGCGAGCCCAGTCTGAGCCCAGGGCGAGGCGGAAACGAAGGCAGCTGGAGGAAGGGCCTGCGCCCGGTCCAGGTTGTGGCACGCTGGGCGCCGGCCCGGGCTCGCTGGAGCCGAATTGAGGCGGGATCTGAGCGGTGACGCACAGAACCGGAGCCTGGGTCCGTGTGGGGCGGGGCCAGGAGGGGCGGGGCCAATGGGAGACGGAGCAGGCGTCCAGCCCGCGCCGGCTGCGCAGGGAGCGGGCGGGGCAGAGGGGCCGCCGGGCTAGAGGCGGAGCCGGCGTCGCGTCAGTGTTATGACGCACGAGCCGCGGGGTGGGGCCTGGCCGCCCAGGAGACTCTGAACCAAATGGTCCGCCGCACCGCCAGGGGGCAGCGCGGACGGACGAGGGAGCCCGAGCCAGAGACAGCGTGAAACGGGTCTGTGCGCAGCCAGGACGCCGAGCATCCTGAAGCCCAGCTTCAACATGTCAGTATCGCTCCCTCCCCACGCGCGGCGTGTTGGTCCTCACTGTCCCCCGTGCTTCCGTCCGCTCCGCGCGCCAGGGCAAGTGGCCATGCCGCTCCCTCGTCCTCCCTGTGTCTGTGGTTCCCTCTCGGAACATGCCGAGCCACACCCACCCAAAGCCAGGTTCCCGAAGCCTCCACTCCCCAAACTCCGCGGTTTATGGCCCACTAGGAGGGAGGGGGAAACCGAGGCACAGGAGGGACAGTGCTGCCTATCTCTGCGAACCCGGGAGCCCCGCCCACAGTGTGTTGGGTTGGTACTGAAGAGGTTAAACCCGCGGGGAAGCCTGGGGTTCCTGGTCTTGAGGCAGATCTTGGGGCTTCCTCCCTTCCGGTCAAGGGGTGCGGCTGCTGTGGAGGTAGCTGGTTGCAGGTGAGGGGCTTATAGCCTGAGTGAAGTGTGGCATGAGGGGAGGGGGCTACCTGTTACCGGTGAGAAATTGGCCTCAAGCTCAGGGGGCCTTCCTGGGAAGGTGGGGAAGGGAGCCTGGATGTCCCCTCTGGTGACAAGGTGAGTAGAGTGGTGAGGACCAGCGCCTCTCCCAGTCCCCACCGCCAGAAATTCCTCCAGCATAGACCCTCCTGCTGGAAGGGCTTGGGGCCGGATGGGCAAACAGTGGGGTATAGGTGCAGGAGGTCTGGGCCCCCGACCTGGTGGCCGTTGGACCCCTGTGGATGTAGGAAGGAAGCTGTGGTCCTTATCTAGAGTGGCTACAAAACTCTGACCAGTGAGGAACCAGGCTTGCAGGAGCCACATTGCTGTGTGAACCTAGCCAGGACCCTTGCTAGTGGTGCGTCTGGGGCCCATCTGAGGAGACAGTTGGACCCATGACCAATTAAAGTGTCCTGAGAGAGAAGGAGGTGTGAATGGAGGCAGAGGTTGGAGTGATGCCATTGCTGGCTTTGAAGATGGAGAGGGGACCATGAGCCAAAAAAAACAGGTTGCCTCTAGAAGTTAAAGAAGGCAAGAAAATGAATTTTTCCTAGAGCCTCCAGAAGGATCCAGTCCTGCAAAACCTTGACTTTATCCCAGTGAGACTCATTTCAGATTTCTGTCCTCCTAAACTATTAAGATAATACATTTGTGTTATTGTAAGCACTAAAAAAAGAAGTACCCTGAACTGGGCTGGGCTGGGCATTGTTGAGGAGGAGGCCATGGGCTGTGTGTACCAGGCAGGGAAGACTGTCCAGGGACGGGGAAAACAGGGTCGGTGGTTGAGTGGCCAGCATAGCCCATGTGATTAAAGAGTCGGTGGTTGAGTGGCCAGCATAGCCCATGTGATTAAAAAGTATGACCTGGAATTTAGGGAAGGGAGGAACAGAGGAGCTCCCGAGGATAGATGCACTGCCTCCGAAAGGAACCTTGGGTGGGTTTAAGCGAGGGGTTCATTGTGTCTGGTTTGCATGATCTATCTGATGGCCAACCAGTCACGATGCCGTGGGGCTGGATCAACTGTCCTGGGGAGGACAAAGTTGTAGCCAGAATAGGCTGGGGCCAGGACTCGGTTTCTACGTCAGCTTTAGCCCTTAACCTCCCTCTATCCAGTGTGGGGCAGGACACCCTGAACCCATCCCCTCTGCTGTCCATCTGAGTCAGCTCCCCCAGGTACAGGTCTCCACCAGCTCACTTGTGCTATCAGGTGAATATGGGAACAAGGTGCAGCCTACCACTCCCTTGTTCTAAGATGCATGGCTCTCCTAGCACTCTGTCAGCTCTTCCCTGCCCCAACCCGGTCCTCCTTCCTGGCACAGCCCAGCATGGCTGGTGTCCACAGGAGCAGCACCCTTGTGGTCTGAGGAGATGCCACTTCCTGGAGGCCTTGGCCTTAACCCCCAGGCTGCCGCTGAGCCACCTACAACCCAGCAGGACATGACCCTGGCTCCCAGCCTGATTCAGTTGTGCCTGGATCTTTTATGTAGCTGGAGCTGACTCTGAGCCCTGGCCTAGCCACGCTGACCCCCACCCTAGACCCTGCACACTGAATGGAGCTGATCCTAAGTGCCAGCCCAGCTGAGCTGACTCTGGATCCTGCCTGCCAGCTAGACTTGACCCTGAGATCCAACCTGGCCAAGCTGACCCAGGATCCTGCACACCAACCAGAGCTGACCCTGAGCCCCAGGCTAGCTGAGCTGACCCCGGGTTCTACATGCCACCCAGAGATGACTCTCATTCCTGGCTTGACTGAGCTGACCCTGGAGCCCACACAGCAGCCAGAGGAGACTCCAGCTCCCAGCCTGGCTAAACTGACTCTGGAGCCTGTGCACTGCCGACCTGAGCTCCTGGATGCCTGTGCCGACCTCATCAATGAGCAATGGCCCCGCAGCCGTGCCTCCCGCCTGCATTCATTGGGCCAGTCCTCAGACAACTTCCCCCTCTGCCTGATGCTGCTGAGTCCCCACCCCATGCCCGGAGCAGCCCCCATTGTAGTGGGACATGCCCGCCTGTCACGGGTGCTAGACAGGCCCCAGAGCCTTCTGGTGGAGACAGTGGTGGTGGCCCGGGCCCTGAGGGGCCGTGGTTTTGGCCGCTGCCTCATGGAGGGTCTGGAGGAATTTGCTCAGGCCCGGGGCTTCCGCCGGCTACACCTCACCACCCATGACCAGCGGCACTTCTATGCCCACCTGGGCTATCAGCTAGGTGAGCCTGTGCAGGGCCTGGTCTTCACCAGCCGACAGCTGCCCGCCAGTCTGCTCAGTGCGTTCCCCAGGGCCCCTCGCCCCCAGCCACCCTGCAAGGCCCCTTGCCTGACTACCCAAGCTACCCCAAGAGCCTCCAAAGGGCCGTCATTGCCTCCACCCCCTCCCCTGCCTGAATCCTTGACCACTTCACCCCCACCTCCAACAGGGCCCTCTCCACAAAGTCTGCTGGAGACACAATACCATGACCTGAGAGGATGCCCCATATTTTGGATGGAGAAGGACATCTGAGGGCCACCTAGGGCAAGGCACTGTCTTTCTGGTTTAGTGGACTCCCCAGGACAGTCCCAGCCTCAGCCCACTGGCCATACCACAGCCCCGTGGGCAGCTTTAGCCTGAGCATGTTTCCTAAGGGCCAGGGGCCAGGATATGTCTCCGTGGCTGTGGCTCGGAGCTGTCAGTGTGGCTGAATAAAGGCTTCTGTTGGGTGTGGCTATAACAGTTTATTTGTTGACCCCTACCCTTGCCTCCCAGCCTCATCTTAGGTCCTCTATCCCTGCAGGAGCCCCCAGATCCACCTTGGCCCTGGGGCCATGGATGGAAGGACACCTGCCCTTTGCCCCTCCCACTCTGCCAGGCCCAGGAGAAAGGTGTTGGTTCCCTTCCACCTTCGCTGCTCACTCATCACCATTCACTGAGTGAGCACCTACTGTATGTCAGGCCCTGGACTAGGCACAGGCAATGGGGAACTAGACAGATAGGATCTTGACCCAAGGGGCCGATAGATAGGGATACAGATAGGCACACAGTGGCAGGATCCATGCTGGGACTGTGGGAAGTGATGGAGATCCAGTAGCCTCCCAGGGGAGGTGATGTCATAGCAGAGACCTGAGTGCTGAGTAGGCAAGGTGGGGGCTAAGTGTTCTTGGGGCAGGAAAGAAAAGGACTTGTGAGAGCTGTGGGTGGGGGAGGTGCCAGGGATGGAAAACATGGGAGGGGAGTGGCCCAGGCCAGCTTAGGGGATGGCTGTTCTGAGAGGCCTATGGGACCCCTTTGGGACCCTGCTTTCCCCACTCCTTTGTGGGGAGGAGCTAGGGATGTTTTCCTAGCTCTCCCTGCTGTGCGGGAGGTATGGCCTTGGACTCTAAGCTCACATCCTCTCTTCTGCAGGTTTCCATTCCTGGGGCATGACCATGCAGCTAGGCGAGGCCCTGGTGCTAGGGGTGGCCCTTTGCCTGGGGTGTGGCCAGCCCCTGCTGCAGGCCCCTGAACGCCCCTTCTCTGTGCTCTGGAATGTACCATCAGCACACTGTAGGGCCCGCTTTAGTGTGCAACTGCCATTAGAGACCCTGGGCAACACAGCCAACCATGGCCAGCGTTTCCACGGGCAGAACATCACCATCTTCTACAAGAACCAGCTTGGTCTCTATCCCTACTTTGGGCCCAGGGGCACAGCTCACAATGGGGGCATCCCTCAGGCTATGCTCCTTGACCGCCACCTGGCACGGGCTGCTTACCAGATCCACCGCAGCCTGAAACCTGGCTTCGCTGGCCTGGCAGTGCTGGACTGGGAAGAATGGTGTCCACTCTGGGCTGGGAACTGGGGCCGCCGCCGAGCCTATCAGGCAGCCTCGTGGGCTTGGGCACAGCAGGTGTTCCCCCACCTGGACCCCCTGGAGCAGCTCCACAAGGCCCGTACTGGCTTTGAACAAGCAGCCCGTGCACTAATGGAGGGCACACTGCGGCTGGGCCGGGCACTACAGCCCCGTGGGCTCTGGGGCTTCTATCGCTTCCCAGCCTGTGGCAATGGGTGGCGTGGTATGGCTTCCAATTACACAGGCCACTGCCATGCAGCCGCCCTTGCCCGCAACACCCAACTGCATTGGCTCTGGGCCGCCTCCAGCGCCCTCTTTCCCAGCATCTACCTCCCACCCAGGCTGCCTCCTGCTCACTATCAGGCATTTGTTCGATACCGCCTGGAGGAGGCCTTCCGTATAGCCCGAGCTGGGCACCCACATCCCCTGCCTGTCCTGGCTTATGCCCGCCTCACACACCGGAGCTCTGGAAGGTTCCTGTCCCAGGTGAGTGAAAGCTGGTGTCTAGTGGGGAGGCATGGCCCTGTCTTAGGAAGGTCTGAGTGGAAGACCTTGCTCAGGGGGATGTGATGGGGAGGCCCTGATCTAGTTCTGAGGGGGACAGTCCCATCCTGGAGCATCTGATAAGATGTGGCAGCCCTGGAAGATCTTGGGGAAGGCAACACCCAGCTTTTGCTGTCCTGATCAGAGGGGAAGGTCTGAGAAACTCAGTGCCAAGGGGCCCTACTCTAGAGGTAGAATCAGATTGTGGCAATGAGCCAGGAGTTTCTGGAAGGTGGAGGTAGGCCCAAATGAATTTGACCAGCTCAGCCCTGGCTTAGCAGCTCTCTGCCTCCAGGATGACCTTGTGCAGACCATTGGTGTGAGTGCAGCACTGGGGGCAGCCGGCGTGGTGCTCTGGGGGGACCTGAGCAGCTCCAGCTCTGAGGTGATCATTGCCCCCTCCAGCCTGCCAGGCAGCCCATGTTGGGGGTCCCAGGGTCGGGGAGAGACCATGTCAAGGCCATGGAGCAGACACATTGATACATCCTTCCGCTTTCCTCAGGAGAGGTGCTGGCATCTTTATGACTACCTGGTGGACACCCTGGGCCCCTATGTGATTAACGTGACCAGGGCGGCCATAGCCTGTAGTCACCAGTTGTGCCATGGCCATGGGCGCTGTGCCCGGCGAGACCCAGAACAGCCGGAAGCCTTTCTACACCTGCAGCCAGATGGCAGCCCTGGAGCTTGGGAATCCTTCAGTTGCCACTGTTACTGGGGCTGGGCGGGTCCCACCTGCCAGGAACCCAGGCCTGAGCCTGGGCCTGAAGAAACAGAATAAAGCCAGGAATCACCTACCACAACCCTCTTGTCCCTGTTGCCATTTGCTGGTCCTTGAGGATTCTGTCCCACTCCTGTTCTATTTAGCTTAGCCAGCCCTCCCATATACACATCCTACTTCCCATGGGGAGTGGAAAGGGCCAGAAAAAAACATTTACACCATGTTAAAACTAGAGGCCCTCTGAAATAACCTGACCCCTTCTAAAAAGGAAGCAGTTCTGGGAGAGAGAGACAAGGTTGCAGATGGTTAGGACTGCAGCCCAGGGCAGTGTTCCTACACATCACTGGGTCCATGGAGACATCAAAGAGACCAAAGGGCAGGTGGGCCTCAGGATCTTGACTATGGTCTGTATGTGCTAAACTGTTGTCTGTATTTTGCCTTCATCATAAATCACTTTTCTTTCACTGCCTGGGGTTTAGCTGTTCACTGTGTTGTCCCAAGCCCCATGTTCATCCAGCACTAAGTGTCCCACTGCAAGTGCGCAGAGGTGCGAGTCCTGAGCGGTGGGCGGCTCAGCTTCAGACCTAACGACTGAGCGCACGCACGTGGTGGGGGTGGGGGAGGACACAGAGCATTGTGGGTGCATAGTTCCGCTCGAGAGCGTCGTGGGCTTAAGGGTCACGGGACTAGACTACAGTTCCCGGGGTGCCCTGCGCCCAACCTGCCAGCGGTGATTTGCGCGCGCAGCCCCTTGGGAATAGTAGTTTAGGTGGCGGGGCTGTGGGTCTGAACCGAATGGCCTGGAACTCGCCTTCCCGGCAACCTGTCTAGCAGGGCGGGGCGCTTCGGCCAGTCGGGCAGGGCGGGGCGCCTAGTGAAGATGGTGGCACGCGCGGCGTGTGGCTCCCGTCGTCTGCCCAAGTCTCAGCTCAGCGCTCCGGCCGGCGTCTCGCTGGTCTGGAGCCCCAGTCCGCCGGGCCCCTGACCCCGCGCCCCTCGCGCCCGACTCCCGGTATGCCCCGCGCCCGAAAGGGCAGCGCGCCCCGCAAGGGCGGCCAGCGCCGCAGAGGCGGTAAGTGTGGGCACGGGGCAGCTGATGAACGGCGAGCGGGGGACCCTCCGTGGTTCCCCGCCCGTGCCCCTGAGGGTCCCGGGCGGGAACTCCTGCCTGGACCAGTTTGGCGCAGCTTCCTGCAACAGCGCCGCCGCCGGCACGTGCCCCGGGAGACAGCGGCCACGTGTGCGCCCGACTGGAGCGCGCCCCTCGTGGGTCTGGAGCCCGAGTTCCTGACCATCAAGTGGTGGCAACTCCCGGGCACGGTTTCACATTGCTCCTTCGCCCTAGTTGCCTGCTGTAACGGCCAAACCCGCAGGACAGTAGGAAGTTCGCCCCCTTCCCAAACTCTGATGCTTTCTTGGACTGGACAAGGAAGTTGGTGGGAGGCCTGGGTGAGAACTGAGGGAGGGGGCGATAGGAAGGTTATAGGATTTCAGCCTTGGTGGACTTGGCCCTAGACGATGGGAGCCCTTGGTGGGTAGGAGCCCTAGAACCTGAGGCAGCAGCGAGAGGCTTATCGGCGTCGACCAGGAGAGTGTCTTGGTGTAGTAAACACACATGTTTACTTCGCAGGGATGGGGTGCCTGCCAGGCACAGCAGAGATCAGGCCACCTCCCTAAATAGGGATGGGGTAGGGGGGTACATCCAGAAGGACTGATTATGGGGGGGAAAGTTCACCGACGTGGTAGGCCCAGACTTAGGAACCAAGGGAGCCTCAAGGTTGGGCCTTCGGGCTGAGTCTTGAGAAGATGAAGAGAAGAGAACCATGGGGAGGGAACGAGTTGTGCAAAGGCCTAGTATCTGGAGGGACCATGGCACAGTGGAGCAAATGAAGGCAGGCTGGGCTGCTTTGGCTGGTGGGGAAGTGAAAGATGAGCAGAGGCCTGCGTGGTTGTTGGCCTTTATTGGCAGGTACATGGAGTATGTAGTTCCTGAGAAGTAGGACCAGCCTGGTGGTGACTGGAACCCATTTAGGGCTCAGATGTGGCCACTGCCCTGGCCAAAGCCGAACCTACACACAGGAATGTTCACTTCTGCTGAGCCTGACATTCGCCCGTGTTCACGTATTTTCAAGGGCTCATACAGTCATGGGCCACTCCACTTTCTGCACTTCCCAGGGACAGGAGGAACCTCTTGTTCATCCACTCAGGGCTGAAGGCCTGGGATGGACCAAGGGAAGCTCAGAAGACAGTATGTTTGAAGCCTGGGGCATCTACCCACATCCACTAGGAACTGGGCCTCTATCCCCGGGTCCAATGGGTGACCTGGTGAGCATGTTAGTCCACAGAAGAGCCATAACTAGTCACTTATTTAGTCATTGTCTTCACTTACTCTACCCAAAAAAGGTGCTTTTGCATCTCAGTTTTGCAGAGAAACAGGCTTTGAAAGCTAGGCACCTGTCCTGGTTACACCCCTGTTAAGATGTGCAGCTGGGATTTGAATTCTGGGGGTCTGTCTGAATCTATAATCTTAAGTCCCTGATTCTTGCTTTGGCCATTTGGGGGCATGATGTGGGCCAGTGGCCGAGCTCCCCCAGGATCTGCCTAGGTATGCTTCTACTTCAGACTGGGCCCCAGCCCCTTCTGCCTTACCAGGCTTTCGGTCTCCGTAAAGCTCTGACCTCAGGGAGGCTCTGTTCACTGAGCCTGCCAGGTTTTCCTAGGCTGGGCCTGGTGCCAGACGTTCTGACAAGTAGACCTTGTTCCCTTTCTCCTGCTTCTTGGCTCAGTGTTCTTTGCATTGGCCCTTGTGCCGCCCACCTGAGCCTTGGTTTTCTTATCTCTGAGAGGGGCAGCGTTCTGTCTTGTGGGGTCGTGAGGCTGGGTGAGGTACCCCCAGCTGTCTAAATGGAGGCAGGCCAAGTGCCCCGTTCCACCCTTCCCAGGTGCTCGGAGCAGTGCCCAAGCTGACTCAGGTTCCAGTGAGGATGAGGCAGCCAGTGAGGCCCGCAGCACCACCAGTGATTGCCCCAGCCTTCTTAGCACCGCGGCAGAGGACAGCCTTGGTGAGAGCGCATGGGGTTTTGGCAGGGGCTCTGGGGGCTCCGAGGGCCAGGGTAAGAAGCAGGGCTGACCAGATGGCCTTGCAGGGGGGGATGCTGTGGACGAGCAGGGCCAGCAGGAGGACCTTGAGGAGAAGCTGAAGGAGTATGTGGACTGCCTTACAGATAAGAGGTACCCCTGGCTGACAGCCAACCCACCCGTGTCCCTGCTCAGCCCATGATAGATGTGACCCAGGTCAGGCCGGCCCACAAGACACCCCTTCTTCATCCCCCAGTGCTAAGACCCGGCAAGGTGCTCTTGAGAACTTGCGTCTGGCCCTGGCGTCCCGCCTACTCCCTGACTTCTTGCTGGAACGTAGCCTTACACTGGCCGATGCCTTGGAAAAGTGCCTCAAGAAAGGTTGGATATGGGGTGTGTGGGGGACCTGAAACGGCCAGGTGCTGACCTTGTGCAGTGGCTGACTGGAAAGCATCCCTGCAGGAAGGGGCGAGGAACAGGCCCTGGCTGCCGCCGTGCTAGGCCTGCTCTGCGTGCAGCTGGGTCCTGGACCCAAGAGTGAGGAGCTGTTCCATGGCCTGCAGCCCCTCCTGGTCTCCGTGCTTAGCGATGGCACAGCCAGCCCTTCTGCCCGGCTCCATGTGAGTGTTCCATGCTCTGTGACACCCTTCCCTGCCACAGTCCCAAAGCAGAGAGGTCGTTCCACCTGCCTCTGGGCTCCCCTACTCTGAGGGTGAGCCCCCATGGTTGGGAACCAAGGCTCACTCTCTGACCATGGCCTGGCTTTGTTCTCCCCTCAACAGTGCGCTTCTGCTCTGGGCTTGGGCTGCTACGTGGCTGCCGCTGACGTCCAGGTAAGTGGCCTTTGGGCACAGGTAGTAGAGCATTTAGACCCTAGCTCTGCACCTGAGCCACTCCCCTGCTCCCCTGTCCCTAGGACCTGGTCTCTTGCCTCACCTGCTTGGAAGGTGTTTTTAGCCGATCCTGTGGTGCGGGTGGATCCCCAGCCCCTGCCAGCCTGCATGGCCTGTTCTGTGCTACCCTGCAAGCCTGGGCATTGCTACTCACCATCTGCCCTAGCACCCACCTCAGCCACATCCTTGACAGGTAGAGGCGTCTGCCCACTGGGGATGGGAGGGGAAAGGTGACGCGGCCCCCAGCCCACACATGTAGGTCAGCTTGCCCCCTCCCCAGGCAGCTGCCACGGCTACTCCAGCTCTTGTCCAGTGAAACTGTGAACCTGAGAATTGCTGCCGGCGAGACCATCGCGCTGCTTTTTGAGCTCGCCCGGGACCTTGAGGTGTGAGTGGGGGGGTGCTGCTGATAGCACAGGCCCATCCCAGGCTGGATGCAGGGGAGGCCACAGAAAACAGGCAGCCTTAAGGCATTGTGGAGTGGAAGTAGCCCCAACACAGTCTTAGGTACCAGGAGCTATTTGGGGGCCCTGAGCAGGGTTGTCTGGACAAGGCAGGGGCCAAGAAGGGCTTCAAGGGCAGAGAAGAAAATGACATCCTTGGTGAAAGACAGGGTTTGGGCACCCCCATGTTGAGAGCCAGCAGAGCTCAGGCGCCTCACATGCCCTCCATCACTCACGCTGCAGGAGGACTTGATTTACGAGGACATGGATGCCCTCTTCAGTGCCCTGCGTACTCTGGCCACTGACAGCAACAAGCACCGTGCCAAAGCTGACCGCCGGCGCCAGCGCTCTACGTTCCGTGCGGTGCTGCACTTTGTCGAGGTGCGTGTGAGCATGCGACCTAGCAAGAGTGCGTCCAGGCCCAGCCGCCAAGCCCAGTCTTATGGGCCCCTCTACCCTGCAGGGTGGCGAGTGTGAGGAAGAGACTGTGCGCTTCGGCCTCGAGGTGCTCTACGTGGACAGCTGGGCTCGGCGCCGAATCTACGCTGCGTTCAAGGCTGTGCTGGGTTCGGGCATGCACCACCACCTCCAGGTGGAGCGGCCAGCAGGGAGGGCGCCCCCAGCTTGTCTGCTGCAGACTGGCCTGAGCTCACTGTCCTCTCTGCCCCCAGAACAACGAGCTGCTCCGTGATATCTTCGGCTTGGGCCCTGTGCTGGTGCTGGATGCCACAGCCCTGAAGGCCTGCAAGATCTCACGATTTGAGAAGGTTTGCATCCTCGGGCACTTTTACTTTCTCTCTATTCCCTCTGCCTGGAGCTGTGCAGGGGCTGAAGGAGAAGCCCTGGGCCCCCCTCCCCAGCTGACCAGATCACCTCTCTCTGCCCCCCGCAGCACCTGTGCAATGCCGCTGCCTTCAAAGCGCGGACCAAGGCGCGCAGCCGCGTGCGGGATAAGCGGGCAGACATCCTGTGAGGCAGGACCAGCAGAGAGGAGCTTGTCCACACCCTTGCCCGTATTTTTAACAGAAGACAGTGCACCAACTGGTCTCTGCCAGAAATTGTCGCTTTATTTTTTTAATGACTAAACCAAAAACAGACATGGGGGTGGGTGGCTGGAGGCCAGGTCTCTTGGGATCCTGGTTCTGTGCCCCTGCTCTCAGCCTTGTGGCCTCTTTCTGCCCTGTCCCAGGTCAGGCCAGATGTGTCCCTGTCCCAGAGCTGTGAGGCAGGCAGGAGGAGGGCGTGCTCTCCTGGGATGAACCACTTTCTTAAGGGTGGGGATGGCATCTGGACTAATGTCACCACAACAGGTGGGGAGGTGAGGCTACATGGAATGGATTTATGTGCTGATTTTTAAAGATTATTAGATATAATTAAACTGAATGCTCAGCCTCTGTGGCCTGGCTCCTGGGTATTTCTGCCTGCCCTTCCTCCGCATTCACCACCCCAAGCTTGGGCCCAGCTGGTTCTTCCCAACTCCAGTTCACCTCTGCCCTCACGGTCTTTCCCCAGATGGCCCTCCTACTCAGAGCCTGGCCTGTCTTGGGAGCTGAGGCTGGACACCCCCCCCCCCCCAACACACACAGGGAACTTGGCAGTTCGGGTGACTGGGGGTGGGGGTTGACTATTTCTAGACTTCTGAATCTGCTGTCTGGGGGAGGCCAGAGTGCTGCTAGGCCACAGGAAGAGCCAGGAGGTATAGCTTCCTCTGACCTTGGGCCACCCAAAGCAGGGCCTTGGACCAGGGCTTGGCTAGGCCTATTCAGAAGCAGCCAGGAGCAGCAGGCAGCTGTGGGGCCAGATCAAGTCCTTATACAAGAACCTCAGCAAGGAAGTAGTGTGAAGCAGCAGTGGGAGAGGAGAAACCTGCCAAGGGCCACTCTAATTCCCCCAACACACGCACGCACCCCTAGACTCCAGGTCCAAGCAGCACCTCAGCTGGGTGCTCGGGCCTCGCTGGAGTTGAGCCTCCGCAGCTGGCTGAGGCTGGCCAGCCGGAGTTTGAGTAGCGTCTCCTCCTGCGTGTGCAGTGTGTGTGCCAGCATGCGTAGAGACTCACTCTGCAGCACTGTGGACAGGCAGGTGGGAAGGGGGGGTTATCAGACCATGTGCCACCCCACGACTCCCCGCCCATCCACCTCAGCGCCACAGGCTGCTGTGACACCATCCACCCTTCACTGCCTCGGCCCCTGCAGTTGCTTCCTCCAATCCCACTTTCTTGCCCTTGGTTCCCACTGGCTTTGCGCCTCCATACCGCTCAGGTAGACAGCCAGGGTGGCAAGTGCCAGGCAGGTGAACACCAGCAGCGCGAGCAACAGCAGGAAGCCACCACGGCTGTGCAGAGGGCTGCAGCCAGGCTGGGCACACAGCGATGGCGGCAAGATGTCCAGCAGCTCATCCCATGGCTGTGCCTCCTCAGCCAGGTAGGGGCACAGCAAACCTGAGGGGCAAATGGGTGGGGCATGAGGAAGGTAGTGGGTGCACTGGCTTTCCTCTCCCCTCCCCTCCCCTGCCCCCTTTACCTCCACTGTGTAGGTCACTGATGGACTCCACTTGGTGCAGGCGCACCTCCTGCACGCGGTTGGGGGCCAGTGATGCCCTGTTCCTCGGGCTCAGCGTCGGTGCCACGGTGTCTGCTGGGCAGCATAGGGTTGATTCAGCCAGTGGGTCACCCCCTTCCTTCTAGGTGGCTTTCAGAGGCAGCATGGGCTCAGCGAAGATGGGGACAGGACAAAGGGACATGGGACTCTCAATCCCCTAAATCCAACTCAGGAATGATCCTTGATTTTGGAGCCAGGATGGCGCCGGAACCCCATAGGCCTGATTTACCTACAGTAACAGGAGGTGCACTGGACTTGCTCATGTTTGTTTCCTTCCAAGCACTTCAGGGACTTCCAGGTATTCATTCCTCTGCTTGCTCATTTCTAGAGAAGAGTTTATCAGCCTTGGAGGAATGAACCCACAGTGCACGAAGTTCATTCCTGCCTCCTGCTATCCGTTTTCTTGCAGACCCTGGGAGTTAGCATCAGGCGAGAGCCTGGTGATCTGGTCCCCAGCAGAAGCAGCACCATGCTAGCCAGCGGTGCCTCTCCCTCCTGGCCTTGGCTGTGTTCTTCAACATACTCAGTGTGATTTTGCTGCACTGCTGTGAACCCTGCTGTTCTCACTCAAAGTCACAACAGGAGACCTGCCTTTGTTATCAGACTGTTTCTCAGCCTTCTGAAGTCTTCTTTCAGGTGTCCCTTTGAGGCTGCCTGGGCATTTAGGTTGTTTCCAGTCCCCTTTGGAAATGAACAACCCCTGGTGAAGGACATGCACCATTGAGTATGGAGGTTTCTCTGAATTTCCCAATAGTTAATAAGGACAGCCTCCAAGAAGCAGAATTAATGGATCGAAAAGCAGGGGCCTTTTAAAAAAAACGTCTTTTTAAATAGTCTAGAATGGCTGCCCACAGCCCCCAAAAGGGTACACTGTTGCCACTATTAGGCATCTACACTGAAAAAAATTATATATGTATCTGTGTACACGTTTGCTAAGTTGGGAGATGAAAAAAAGCATTTTTTTGACCCATTTGATTGAGTCCCTCTCTAGGGGGCCTAATATGTGTGTGGCTTCCTAATTATCCATTCACAGCCCCTGCCCAGTTAGTTGCTGAGACCTGTGTACTTTTCCTGGATTTTAATTACTTATTTCTAAGATTTATATTTTCTTTTGGGTGTTCTTTGTCTTGATTTTCTTTTTTTTTTTAATCTTAGCCCCTTAAGACCCCCAGATACCCAGCTGGAAGCTAGATTACAAATTGATGGGCATTGCCTGGCCGGTGTGGCTCAGTGGTTGAGCGTCGACCCTGCACCAAGAGGTCGCCAGTTCAATTCCTAGTCAGGGCACATGCCAGGTTGTGGGCCAGATCCCCAGTGGGGGGCGTGCAGGAGGCGGCCAATCGATGCTCTGTCTCATTGGTGTTTCCATCTCTCCCTCTCCCTCTAAAATCAATAAAGAAAAAAAATTTTTTTTAAATACAAATTGGCAGGCATTGAAGGGTCATCTCTGGATGGGGGCAAGGGTAAGTGGGCTCTGGGTCTATCACTTTCTGAACAATAACTCAACCTTCATGATTTTCCTAAAACTGACCCTTGATGTGCTCAACAGTAAAACAAAAATTGATGCTGTGCTAGTGTTATGTCTGGGTGGTGTGTTGGAGTCATACAAAATTCCTTCTTTGCACTTGGCTGCTTTCCCCACACTTTCTAAATTGAACTCGGATTCTGTTTGCTACCAGGAGAAACACACAGTAAATAGTATTAAGACCCCCAAAGGAGGCAACCTTTTCCCCCCACCGCAACAACAGGGGCTGGGCCACTCCCATCCAGTGTAAAATCTATTTTTTAATTAAATCTATTGGGTGACATTGGTGAATAAGATTATATACATTTCAGGTGTACACATGATACATGATCTGCATATTGCACTGGGTGCCCACCACCCGAAGTCAAATCATCTTCCGTCACCATATATTTGACACACACACACACACCCGCAAAATATTGAAAATGTGATGGGGGGCCCTGGCCAATGTAGTTCAGTGTTTAGAGTGTCGGCCTGTGCACAGAAGGGTCACAGGTTTGATTTCCTGTCAAGGGCACCTACCTGGGTTGCAGGTTCAATCCCTAGTCCCAGGCAGGGTATGTGCATGAGGCAACCAATTGAGGTATCTCTCACATCAATGTTTTTTTTTCCTCTTTCTCCCTTCCACTCTAAAAAATTCAGTGGGAAAAATATCCTCGGGTGAGCATTAAACAAAAAAAAAGTGATGGGGGGATTCGACTAGCTGAGCCAAGCTGGAGCTGAGGAGGTGCTGGGCCTGCATCCTGGCCAGCAATTGGACCTGAAGCTTCCTAGGTCCCTGCTCTGGCCCCTCTGAGCCTCCATACTTCTTGCATGTGGCGGGGCAGTTAGACATGTGGCCATCAAAGTTTTAACTAGCAGTCAGCTTGACTAGCCAAGGGGCTCCAACCTTTAGTCATTTGGGGCCACTTAGGCCCAAGCTGGAGGAAGACAGAAGCCTATGTACCCCCAGTCCCTGGGCCATGTGCCCAAATGCTTCCTGCAGCCGCGGCACACCCCCAGTGCCAGCTTTTCCCTGAAGGAAGAGCTGAACTAGCCAGGCAGCTGCCCCACCCACACCCACTTGGCCACAGCCTATAGTTAACCCTCCCCCAACTGGGTAGCTCCCCCAATCCTTCCTTGTTGTCCTTAGCAGGGGAAACAGGCAGGGCCTGAGGTGAGAGGTTCCAGGCACGGTAGGCCTTCCTCCATATACAGGGTGCAGGTTCCATTACTTGAACTGGGACATGGTGACTGATGAGTAACTAGTAAAGGAGGTGAGGTCAGTGGGACGGCAGGTTTCTCCCTGGTCCACAAGGTCATAATTCTGGGGTCTTACCCTCCCTCAGTCATCTCCTACCTTCTTGGGTCTCCTCAGGCATGATGGGGGTGGGCAGTCAGGGGGCCTGATGTCAGCACCCAGTAACGGGACAGGATGGAGGCAGCGGTGGCTCCTCTGAGAACCTGGGGAAGGCCTGGCTGCCTCCCAGCCAGGACCTAAAATAGGCCTGAGCTCAGCCCACTGGGCTATATTTAGAGGGGACAGGTCTCAGCCATGAGAAGGGGCAAAGTGACCCACATGGGCCAGTGTGGACTATTGACCTGGTGATGGAGGCCAGGCAAGGGCACACCTCCCACTAGCGCATGGGCCCGGGGGCTTTCCTGGGGAACCCTGCCACTCCCATATAAACACGAGCGGAGCCTCGGTGTCTTCGGTGTCTTCAGACAAGCCTCGGGCGCACTTCCAGCAATACCTCACGGGGCAGCCGAGACACGCAAGAGGGCCCTGAACATCTCCACTTCTCCACCCCCAACACCCCCACCCACAGCTGGGTGGTCTCTCCAAGCAAATGCGGGGTAAACACCTACCACTAACCTGCTGAAACCAGGGATTGAGGGTGATGGACAACCCCGGAGCCCAGTGCCATGAGGACCCAGAACCCTAAAAGGGGGTAGATATCCCCGTACATGTGGGCACTCATGCTGGTCAGTGGGAGGACCTAGCCTGAAGGCTGGTACTTCTGGTACTAAGCCTACAACCTTGTGTAAAGGATTGCCCCGTCTGACCTCAGTTTTCTCATCTGTAAATAGGAATAACAATGGTTCCTCCCTGCCATACTATACAAGACTGGAAATATAACCACGTGTCTGAAGCACTGAGCACAAAGCAGTTTTGATTCTCCTTTTCACAAGGGCACACAGGTCACACGAGGTGTGTAAAGATGCAGGGCACCACTTACCCTTCAGTGGAGAAAGTGGTCCGGCTTAGGGCCCACCTTCCGCTGTTAGATCCCTGTGTCACTCCCCAAATGGGGCAAAGCAGGACAGTGGGGCTCTGTCTCCTAAAACATCCCAAACCCATTACTCCACTGTATTACACTGGCCTCCTCGACGTTTCTCAAGCACAGCAAACTTGTGCCCACTTCAGGGCCTTTGTACCGTAATGTTCTGCCCCCAGATATTCCCATGATTGGTTCCTTGTCATTGAGCTCAAATACCCCCTTAGTGAGGCCCTCTACTCACATTCTTTTCCCCATCACCCAATTTTATTTTCTCCATAGCACTTAGCCCAGAAATTATATTATTTAGAATACACTGTGCATGTCAGTATCTCCACAGGCCGTGTAAGGTCCACTCAGTCACATGGTAGCCACCTTTAATCCTCACCACAGCATCCTTAGAAGAAAACGGTCCTGAGACTGCTAGGAAGGTGCCCAAGGCCACACAGTGAGACCTAGGACCAGCGGTTGTCTGCTGGGGCCACTCCAGCTTCAGCTAATAATGTGTTTATTGCATTAGTACAGTGGGCCTGCCCTGCCCCACCCCACCCCCACCAGCTCATGCTGTTCACAGCTTTCTGCTCCTTGCCCAACGAGGAGGCCCTTCTCCCAGGGTGGGCACTGCAGGCACCTCCCTGGCCCAGGTCGTTGTTCTGGAGCCCTGCTTCTCTGTCTCCTCCTGACCGGCCGGACCCCGTGCCCGCCTGGGCTGCTTCTCCCCGGGCTACATTCAAGGGTTATCCTGTTAATAAATAAGCCGGCGCGGCTGCCCCTTGGCCAGAGCCTGTCGGTCGATGTCCTGGTTGGCCGGGGACCGCAGCGAGCCTGCCCTCTAGCTGTCTGTCTCCCAGGGTCTGTCTGTCCTCCCCCTCTCCAGCTCGTCGTCTCGTCTCCTCCCCAGTCCCCGGCGTGGAGTCGGCTGAGTCACCAGTGCGCTGCGCTGCGCGGCCCCCGCTCAGCGCGCGGCTCCGGGGCGTGCGTCCTCCGGTTGCGGCCCTTCCTCCGGGACTCGAAAGGCGGTGGGCGCGGCGCGGGCTGCGGTCGGCACATGCGCATGGAGCTCACGCCGCCGCCACCCGGCTCCACCAGCTGCAGGAAGTCCCGGTACCAGAGCTTGGGGCTCAGCGGCGCGGCGGGCGCAGCCTCCTCGCTTCGGGCCAGCCTTTCGGCCTGAGCAGCACTCAGCACGTGCAGCACCAGGCGCCGCAGCGGCTGCGAAAAGCCCTGCTCCACCGCCGCGCACAGGTACGCGCCCGAGTCCCCGCGCCGCAGCCCGCGCAGCAGCAGCCCCCGCGGGGTGCGCTCGGCGCGTTCCTCCGCCGGCACCTGCGGGCGGGCCAGCGTGAAGCGGGGCGCGTGGGGAGCCCGGCCCCGGCCCCAGCGTGGGACAGGAGAAGCAAGGGTCACCGGTGGCCGAGTGGGAGCGGTAAAGGGGCGCGCGCAGGTACATATTTGAACGCTGGGTGCAGAGGGCGGTGGTCTTCAAGCCGGGAAATCAAACCCGGCGGGGCTTTATCTGAACGCGGGGGGCGGGTCAGGGCTCTAAATAGGCGGGGCGAGGGCGGGGTTTTTCTCGTGTGTGTGTGTGTGTGTGTGTGTGTGTGTGTGTGAGAGAGAGAGAGAGAGAGAGAGAGAGAGAGAGGGAAAGAGAGGAAGGGAGGGAGAGGGAGATGCAGGAGAGACAGCGGTCAGGAGCCCAGTTAGCAGGAATGGGGCCTCGTGAGGATGAGGGACCAAACTGGACGTAAGGGAGTCCGGGTGGGCGGGACCTCAGTGGGCGGGGCGGGACCTCATCTAGATGTGGGGAACAGGCCAGGGCCTCATTAGTCAGGGCTGAAGAGGGCGGGACAAGGGCCTGGAGGGGGGATCCTCCCACACCAACTCTCACTCCTCCCCAGGCTCACCGGGGTGCTGGCCCCCTCCCCTGCGCGCTGAAAAGTCCACTCCACGTGCGCCTGCAGTGAGCGGGGCTCACACTCCAGGAAGGTGCTGCCTCCCTCCACACCAAACACCTTCCGCTCCAGCAGCGCGGGGTGGGACGAATCTGGGGGTGGGGGCATGGGGAATGTCTGATTCAGGCCAGGCAGGGCGGGGTGGGGCATCTTCAAGGGGTGAGAGGTGGGGGCAGTTGCGCACTCACCCCCAGAGCACAGCATACTGGGATCGCCGTTCTTTATGTCTTGTCGCCGGAACCGCCTGGGGTAGGGGGTAAATATTGGAGCTTCCTGAGCCCTTCTTTCCACCAGGGACTCCCGCCCAATGGCCCGCCCAGCCCGAACCCTGCCCACCTCTTGGCACTGGGCTGAAAGCGTGTGCACGCGGCCCCATCCCAGGCGCAGTAGGGGTCACGCGCCAGGCAGCACTCAGCACAGGCGCGGCCGTGGACAGCACAGCGGTACAACGGGATCTGGGCCACTGCACTCCGCGAGGCTACGTACAGCTGGTGCTAGGGGGCACGAGGGGCTCCGCGCTGACCGAAGGGCCCTGTGCCCGCCTCCCCTCGGTCAGGGATCCCTTCCCCACTTGACAGATGAGAACACTGAGGTCTCAGGTCACACAGTCTAACAAAGGCAGAACCTACACTCAAACCCGGGGCTTAAAACTACCAGGGGAGGGGTGGGGGTGCCCCGGCACCCATTTGGTCCATTCCACTCCTGAGACTTCTGGTCACTTACCCTCTTGGAGGAGATTTGCATGCTGGTGACAGCAGCAGAGTCCTGAGAGAGAGAAGGGGTGTTGGGGATTAGGGCTGAGTGGAGTGGGGGTGCCTCAGATGATGGGTGCTAGGCCTTACCTCAAACACATGCAGCTCCTCCAGGAGCAGCCCCTCGTCATTAGGCCGGCTGCCCTTGGGGACTGAGATGACCTTCAGCACGGTGCCAGCGTCTGCGGGGTTGAGAAAGAGGAGGCGTGAGTGACTGTGTGTCCTTGAGAGCTAGGGGCCAGGGATCTCTTCCCCGTGGAGGCCCCCACCCTCAGCATAGCTGGGTTGGTGGAAAATGTGGTTGGAATAATCAAAGCAGCATCCAGGAGATGGGGGCACAGCCCAAGTAAAGGCGTGGAGAGGGGACTGAACAAGGGGATCTCCTACTAACAGGCCACAGAGCCTGGACTGGGTCTGGTGGACGGTCATGGCAGGACCCTGACCTGTGCCAATGAAGAGGACGTCGTAGTGTCCGTCAGCAGCTGCTACTCGGTCTGCAACAATCTGGGTGAAGGTATACCCAGCACCCACTTGTAGGAAGAGAGGGCGCCCCCCCAAGGGCAGGATGGAATTGTACATGAGAGGGTGGTTCCGGGCAAACTGGATGACATCATCAGGAAAGTCCTTGGTGGAACTGAAGGTGCCAAAAGTCTTGCTGGGGCACTGGGGGTGGGGAGGAGGCACGAAAAGGATATGGTTTGAGGGCTTGGTGGGCAGCCCTCCACAAGAGACCTCTGGGAACCTGGAGTGGGGGGAAGCGGGTATTGGACAGAGCCCTGTCTTGGGAATCAGAGGAGACCGAGCCCTGCCTTTGGGAGTCTGAGGAGATGTGGCCTGACCCTGAGGAGCCCTGCCTGATGAAGGTGACTTTTCTTTCCACCCATAACAAAAAGTAGAAACCATATTTAACCAAGAAGAACCCAGGCCAAGTTCTCCACCCATGAGGCATTTAGTGGATTCTGGGGGGGGTCCCTGGGCTACGTACCATGCCAGGCCGGGGGTAGGGGACACGGCCCTGGTAGGACACCCACTGGTGCGTGGGCCCCTCCTTGTGTGCAAAGGGTCCCAGGAAGGCCCGGCGCACGTCACTCATGCTGTACACACACACTGCGGAGCCCTGGAAGATGCCACTGCGGGCGAGAACATGAGTGATGGGCCCCGTGGAGCCCAGGCTGTCCCACACGGCTGCCTCCCACCCCTCACCTGGAAGTGGAGAAGACGGCATAGAGCAGTGGGGTCCAGCGGTCCCTGGAGGACAGCAGGAACACATCCTCTGTGGGGAAGGGGCCTAGTTGGAGGAGGGCACACAGCCCAGCAGGCCAGCCAGGCTCCAGAGTGTGTGCCCCTGCGCTCCCTTCCCCCTCACTCCATCCTCCACGCCTGGCACTCACGGAGCTTGTCAAAGTGTGTGTCACCCTCGATGCCAGGCACTGAGCACACCAGTCGTGCCTTCAGGAAC